TTGTCATCTATGAATTCGTCTATCCTGTAATAGGCTTTCTTACATAAAAATTGTTTAATATAAGATTTGAATTGCCTCTCTGTCAGATTTAATGCAGATTCCGGCAGTTTATTATAAAATCTTATGCAATTACCATAGAATGAATTACTGATTTTGTGCAGACGGCATTTAGGTAAAATAAGCTTATTTATATTGCGTAAGTTTCTACTTGTACAGTCTTTGAGTTTTTTAAAACTCTCTAAGTTCTTCCGTGTATACATAATATTTTCATAAATGTATTGTGAAGTAACTGTGAGGATATTTGAGTCTTTAAAGCACTGACGTAATGACTCTCTCGAACCCATACCATAAATAGAACGTATGGCTCTCTTTTGTAAAACAAATATAGTATTTATATCGGCTGCTTTACCCCACAGCAGTATGCCATAAGACATTATGCTATGGAAATAACTAAAATATACAAGTTTAGCCGTTGCCACGTCTGTTAATTGTCTAATTCTTCTAATTGCATATGCAGCAGAACTGAGTCTACTGGCCAATTTTGAAATATGGGGCCCCCATTGTAATTTCGAGTCCACTGTTATACCTAAAAAAACTGTATCATTAACAAAATTTACTATTTCATCATTAAGCAATAACTGTGTATTTATTAGTCTTACATTAGGAAGTGTAAATTTTATACACTTTGTTTTGCTGGAATTTAATAATAGGTTATTACATGTAAACCAATTTAATATTGCAGACATAGCACAATTTACATCGTCTAATTGATTACTTTGACGTCCAATTTTAAACACTAACGAAGTATCATCCGCAAACAGCACTATATCTGCAATTTTCTCTACCATAAAGGGAAGGTCATTTATGTAGATTAAAAAGAGAAAGGGGCCTAAGATTGACCCTTGTGGAATGCCCATCTTAATATTAGCTCCCTTAGATTTTACACCGTCAATATCTACAGTTTGAACCCTATCCTCTAAATAAGTTCTCATTAATTTTAGATCATTATCTCTTATACCATAATGTTCGAGCTTGTACAAAAGCGTTTTATGATCCACACAATCAAATGCCTTTGATAGGTCACAAAAAACTCCGAGTGCATCCTGTGACCTCTCCCAAGATTCGAAAATATGTGTCACTAGCGCAACACCTGCGTCAGTGGTAGACTTGCCGGCGGTGAAACCATATTGCTGACTGTGAAGCAGTCCGTTAACCCTGAAGTGATGTAACATTTGATTTAACATTATCTTTTCAAACACCTTACTTAGAACTGGCAAAATAGATATAGGTCTATAGTTCCCTGGCTCAAATTTATCTCCTGATTTAAATAGTGGGATTAATTTGCTAAATTTCATTAAATGTGGAAAAACGCCATTATAAATACATTTATTAAAAATAGTGGCTAGATATGGAGCAACAATATCTATGAAAGAACTAACTACTTTTACAGACATGCCCCAAAGGTCTTCCGTATTTTTTAAATTTAGCTGTTTGAATATTTTTATGATATGAAAGGGGCTAACATATAGAGCTAACAAATAGAGTGCATCGTTACATAGACATTTCTTTTCCGTACAATATGATAGATAGATAAAGAATGTATTTGCATCTAAAGCATTTAATTACAATTTAAATCAATTTTGGAACATAGAAAACAACAAACAAAATATAGCTTGTAAATATACCTGCACGTGTGTGCTCAGCAATGCAAAAAAGCTCAAAGCTCAGTGTGGAATTTTACTGTTTTTTTAGTCAAGGTCAAACAAGGTTTGAGCACCCTTGATCCTTGATGGTATATGACCTTAATAATGTGGTGTAGAGGAATAATGTAAACGAATGTCTCCTTTGATTAATTTTAAATGGAAAAAAGTTGATAGTCCACCTGTTGGCAATTTGTAACGGTCATCAATAGACATGAACCATGCATTCCGCTCATACATTCCCATTCGTAAATCCTGAGGACTGGCGATGATGGCGTTAAACCTCCATAATATGGAGGTTTCAATTATGGAGGAATTATGTCATTGAAGCAACACAACTGCTTCAAAAGAGAGACACGTGTAGAACAGAGTCGCTGAAAGCAAATTTTTGTACATAACATTTTGTAATAGATTTTTAAGTTCTAAAGAAAATTTACTAGAATCATAATTCACACAAGTAATGGGTTCAACTCTATACCTATATTTTTTTAACCGACTTAAAAAAGGAGGACAATGTCAATTCTGTTGTCTTTTTTATGTTTGTTACTTCACAACTTCATCAGTTATATACCGATTTGAAAAATTCTTTTGTACTTGAAACTGATTTTGTCATAATTTAAGTCGATTTTTTTGTGGGACCAAACTTAATTATTGTTGTTTTATTATTAAATAATTATATAAAATATTAAAACATACACCTATACAATCTTAATATCAAACCATTAAAGTAACAATGAGTTAAGCACTGAATTCTCACCAAACGTGAAATCGGCTACCTTTTAGTTGAATCACAGTCAGAAGGTCAAGTTCGCAGGGGTGAATTGTGATTGTGATGTATGAATCACCGTGAGCCGATAGATCGGCTAAGGGCTTGACCTTCTCGCCCTTCGCTTGTACTACTAATATAAATCGAGTCATTAGCATGTTACGGTTTATTATTACGATAAAGTTACGAAACTGTATCATCCTTCTACTATTACGTAAAAAATTGAATAGGTTCGATTCTGAGTGCCATTTCTATATCTCTTAATCCAATATTTTAATTCCTTAATATTCTCTGGAATAGACCACGTGAACAGACCATATGAATAGACCATGTGAAGAGACCATGTGAATAGAACAAGTGGATAGACCATGTGAAGAGACCATATGAATAGAACATGTGAATAGACCCTGTGAATAGACCATGTGAAGAGACCATGTGAAGAGACCGTGTGAAGAGACCATGTGAAGAGACCATGTGAAGAGCGCATGTGAAAAGAGCATGTGAGTAGAACATGTGAATAGACCATGTGAAGAGACCATGTGAATAGAACATGTGAATAGACCCTATGAATAGAACTTATGAATACACCCTGTGAATAGACCATGTGAATAAAAAATGTAAGTGTCAAAATCACATATTTTTTTGCATAATTGACTACATATTGTATAATAAAAACAACAGCTGAGTTCCTTGGCAGTTTTTCGAAACTGAACTCCACTCTGAATTGGGCAATGATGGAAAGTATATTCGCCTATAGACATGAGCAGTACCATAGACATAACAGAGTATACTGTTTCGTCCATGATACCCCCCATGCGTTGCCATTCCTGAGGACTCAGGTGTTATTCCTCTGTACCCTGTAAATTCTTTGTATTCACTATATTTATTATTCATTTAATCAAACTGATTAATTATGTGCCCTGAGGGGGAGATGTGTTCATACGTATTATAATTATCTTATCTTACAGATAGAACCTATCTAATCGTAACCAATAATATTATGATAAAATAAAAAAAAAAATCATTAAACGGAATTAATCATATTACGTTGCGGTGTGGGCCACCCTTTTGTTTCACGTGGCTATTGTAAAAGACGACAAAGTTAACTTAATTGTCCAGGAATGAGCAGCAGTATCTTTCTCATCGCCTTACCTGAAGCCTAATTGCAGTTGCTAACCCACCTGCCAAACTTGGCAACTACTGACAGAACCCACCGGTTTTATCTATCTGTCCACTGTCCACTGACAGGTAACGGCTGATATAATAAAAAAAAGTCGTATCACGATTCATATAAATTGCCCTAGCGATAAGACCGCCTTTTGTACCTTTACGTATATAATTTAATCAGTACTTTATATTACCATATTTCACTTAATTTTTTTTATACAAATTAGAATGGCAAACAAGCTGACGACCCACCTGATGGAAAGTGGTAACCGTCGCCCATAGACATAAGCAGTACCATAGACATAACAGAGTATACTGTTTCGCTCATGATACCCCCCATGCGTTGCTATTTCTGAGGACTCAGGTGTTAATCCTCTGTACCCTGTAAATTCACGCCATATCCCACTCTTCAAACCGAAACACAGCCATGCAAACACAACTGCTTCACGGTTGAAACACGAATGAGACAGAGGTACCCAAGCAATCGACTTTTGTACAAAGTCTCCCTCTGGTAATTGCTTAATTGTCGTTGTATATTTTTATGTTTCTGGTACAATAAAGAAAGCGACATACAGTACTTACGACAAATAATACAATAAATAAATAAAGCGACTTTTACCCCCTCTCCCTCTCCCACCAATAATGACAACGCAAAAATGTTTGTAATAATGTCAGTAAATGAAACGTTAATTTGCTATCAACTCACGAATCTGTTATCTATGTCACAGACAATATACTAAATTGGCAATGTCAACACACATTTACATATCTAATCTCCAACTTTATAATGTTGGAAACTCCAACAAAAATTAATACTGGCATAAAAACTTTTTATTATATTTTTTAATTTCAAATAAAGAATAAATAAAATTGTCATAAAAAGGGAGAATAAAAAATTGTATTCCTAATTAACTTTGGCCTTTTATATATTAAATCCATGTATCTATATTGAGTACAATACAAATTTGGTCCATTTCGAGCATCGTAAGGCAAGAAACAGCGAATTACAAAAAATCTCAGTTCAATATACGTGGATACGAGAAGCGCCATTGTTTCAAGAATACAACATATATGAAATCTATTCTCCTCCGTGCGTTCGACAGGCGATTGCAATTTTGTTGAAGTCTACAAGTAAATATTATATTTTTCTCCGAGTGGTAACTACAATTTCTTTAGTTGTCAATTAAGAGATTTATATAGACTACGACAAACGATTATCTCAGTTGGCCTGCAAGAAAAATATACATCGAACAACGGCAAATTCATTCATGACACGAGGTGGGAACTACGATTTTTATATTCAATAAATACATTTGAACATTTTCCATAACATCTACATATTTTAATTTTGTGGCAATCGTCGTGCAATGGCCACTGATAGTGAAACTTCACTACGCGCCTCGCGAGGCTATGTTAAAGGGGCGATTACTCGTCTTCACAGTTTTGTTAGCAACGAGTCTGAATTAGAAGAAAGTACCTTACAGGCCCTTACAACGCGTAAAGAAAGACTGCTCACAGCCTTCCGTGAATATGAAGGATTTAATATGCGGATTCTTTCAATGCGACCAGATGATGACGAGGACGTAGCAGCTGTTGAAAATAAATATCTATATACTCTTACCGTTCTTAATGAAGTGATTAGCCGTAAGACTTCTAGTGTAGAGGACTCTAAAGGTCATGTTAGTACTATTGCACGATCAAAAACTAAGTTGCCCGCGATTCAAATGTCCATATTTTCTGGTAATTATGTTGAATATGTAGCGTTTCAATCATTGTTTACTTCATTGATTCATAATGACTTAACATTAGATAATGTTCAGAAGTTGTATTATCTTAGGTCTTATTTAAAAAACGAACCGTATGATCTTATTAAGAACTTACCATTAACAGCCAGTAGCTATGATCAAGCTAGACAATTATTAGACGAGAGATATAACAATAGGTATCGTATTGTAAATGAACATATTGGTCAATTACTAGACTTACCTGCGCTTGTCAAATCAACCCCTGAAAACATTCGAAATTTTGTAGCGAGTCTTAAGCAGACTTTGGCTGCTCTGCAAAACTTAGATGTGAAGGTTGAAACTTGGGATCCAATAATTGTTTGTATTCTTAATCGTAAGTTAGATACATACACGGCTCGGTCGTATCAAATGGAAAGAGATACTGCCGAGGAACACAGCGTCAAGCACTTCATCGAGTATCTTGAGAAGAGGGCACTTGCATTGGAGAACGCTGCGCCGTCAACTGCGATGTCATCTACAAAAGCCAAGGGTTTATCAATCAACGTAGCGGCTGCTGGTGAGAAGGCGGTGACGTGTCATTACTGTAAGTCCAACAATCATAAATTATTTTTCTGTAATACATTCAAATTAATAACTTCTGTGGAACGCTATAAATTCTGTAAAGACAATAAGTTATGTCTGATTTGTTTGAATAAGCACAATGGAAAATGCAAATTTCATTTCAAATGCGATCAGTGCAAAAAGGCACACAACTCACTAGTTCATCATGGCGAATGTGACGAAGGTCTTGTTTCCTTATTATCCAAGGGCCACGATTCTAAGGTTTTGCTTCCCACAGTACAAGTGAAATTATTCACAAAGGATAAAAAGACGATAATAGTGAAGGCGATTTTAGATACAGGTTCACAAGCCTCCCTCGCTACGAGCAAGTTAATCCAGCAATTGGGTTTAACTCCAACACCCAACAATACAAATATAATAGGTGTAGGCAATGCTCAGAATAATACAAGATATTGTATTCCATTAAACATACACTCTGTGAATTCTTCTTTTAATATGACTGCCAATTTTTATGTAGTCGAAAAAATTACCTGCAAGCATCCACAAACAAAACTTGATATTCGGCAATTGAAATTACCTCCCAATATAGTGTTGGCAGATGATCAATTTGATGTTCCATCTGAAATAAATCTCTTAATGGGTGCTGACATATTTTTCCATGTGATAATGCCCAATGAGCCTGAGCGACCGTGGTCTCGAAATCTGCACCGGCCGCTACCTAGTCAAGATGACATTACGCCCTGCATTATCAATACACGTTTTGGATATATTATTGGTGGTTCAATGCTTGAATATCAGCAAGCTTCAAAACAGGTAACATCACTATTATGTATTAAATGCGATCCTGAAATCAATGATAATATCAAATTATTTTGGGAAGCTGAGAGTATACCACAAACCTTTTCTGAGAATCAAAGTGAACAAGAGTTAGCTGAAACTATCTTTCAGAAATCTGTAGAATTGATTGATAATAGATTCCAGGTGAATTTACCTCTTAAAGTCGAGGATAATGAAATTCATAATTACTTGGGTAATTCTTTTGTATTAGCTTGGCATCGATTTTTAAGTTTGGAAAGGCGTTTACAAAAGAATATTAATCTATTGTCAGAATATAATAAATTTATTCACGAATATGTAGAGCTAGGTCATGGCGATTTTATTAACTTTGATTTCTATGATTTTGACAAAGATGCTGTATATTTTTTACCGCATCATGCGGTCATTAATGAATCGAGTAAAACTGCTCGCACAAGAGTCGTTTTTGATGCCTCAATGAAGACGGATAAAAAGGTTTCATTAAACGATTTATTACTGAATGGACCTTCAGTCCAGAAAGAGCTTTTTGATGTAATTTTATTGTTCCGAATTGGTAAATATACGTTTTCCACGGATATAAGGCGTATGTTTAGAAATATTCTGGTGAATCCCAAACACAGGGCTCTTCAAAATATTCCTTGGCGAAATAATCCTGATGAGGCAATAAAATGTATACGTTTAAATACTGTTACGTACGGTATGAAAAGTTCAAGTTATTTATCAACTCGTTGTTTACTCGAACTTACTGAACTATTTGGTCAAGAATTTCCTATAGCTTCATTTATATTGCGAAACTGTACTTACGTCGATGATATCCTCTATTCGTCATCAGATCTTAGTGAAATAAAAGAAGCTAAGCAACAATTACAGTCTTTGCTACAAAAAGGAAGTTTTGAAACACATAAATGGTCAGCTAATGATCCAGAAATTTTGTCTGATGTTCCAATTAGTAAACAACATTTTGACGAGCTAGAGTTGCAAAAGGATAATTATAGCATGAAAGTATTAGGTTTAAATCTAGATATAAAGAATGATTGGTTTAATATCACATGCCCAGAAACTATTGATATAAAATCGGTAACAAAAAAGTCAATTTTAAGCTGTATTGCTTAGTTTTATGATCCACTTGGATTTGTGTGTCCAATTATAGTAAAGGCTAAGATTATTATGCAGAAACTGTGGGCTGAAGGTATTATTAGTTGGGATGCTTCTCCCTCCGATCATGTTAAAGAAGAATGGTTGTTTTTTATTGACGGTCTTAAGGCAATGGAACCTATTCATATTAATAGAAATATACCAATTCCATTAGGTTCTAAGGCTGTTCAATTGATCGGCTTTGCTGATGCCTCAAGTAAAATAGGCTACGGATGCTGTATATATCTTAGAACGGTAGACTCTGATTGTAATGTGCGCATGTTTCTTTTATGTGCGAAGTCCAGAATTAATTCGTTTTCGAAACCAATAACAATACCACGATTAGAGTTGAATGCGGCCTTATTGCTATCAAGTCTAGTACGGAGGACATGTGAAACGTTACAGCTCAAACTTTCAATTGATAGTGTTTATCTCTTTACCGATTCTAAGATTGTTTTAGGTTGGTTGAATACTGATATTTTTAATTTACAAGCATATGTGGCTAACCGAGTAAAAGTGATTACAGAAAAAACTGTACAATTTCAATGGAATTATGTTAACACAAAGGAAAATCCAGCCGATTTAATAAGTAGAGGTATAGATCCAAAAGAATTACCATCTTGCTCTCTATGGTGGAACGGACCAGACTTTCTAAAAGACAATAGGTACAATTTTACAAACAAGGCTTCCTTACCTATTGACTTACCTGAATTGAAGAATTCTGGTGCGGCTGTATATTCCTCTAAGGTAGTATCCCTCTCAACACAAATAAAGAGTGATATCTATCAGCTTATAGATAAGTACTCGGATATAAATAAAATGATCAGGGTGTTAGCCTAGATATTAAGATTTTGTCATAATCTTAAAAATAAAAATGATCAGATTAAATGTAATTATTTAACTACAAAGGAATTGCAACAGTCATCACAAAACATTATTAAACACGAACAAAGTATCCATTTTAGCAAGGAAATAAAATCGTTGACTGAAAGCAAAGATGTAGAGGGTATTTTAAAACCTCTTTATATTTTCCTGGATAAGCACGGTCTAATAAGGGTAGGTGGAAGGCTTCATAATGCTGAAATATCTTATAATCAAAAACATCCTATTGTTTTACCGAAGCAATCGAGAATAACCGAACTTATAATTCAGAATGAACATATTAGATTATTTCATGCAAGTCCGAAGTTGCTCCTTTCGAGTCTTAATCAAAGGTACTGGCTGATTAATGGCATGCGACAAGTTAAGAAAATAACTTATAGATGTTTTGTTTGCTTTAAATTGAAGGCAGAGGCGGCAAAGCAACTGATGGGTTCGCTACCATATCAACGTGTTACTGCCTGTAGGCCTTTCCAGACCATTGGCGTAGATTTTGCCGGTCCACTTCGAGTTAAGAATTCTAGAGTCAGACATGCAATCGAAACTAAAGGTTATATATGTGTATTTGTCTGTTTCGTAACGAAGGCGGTTCATCTTGAACTAGCTTCAGATTTGAGCACCGAAATCTTTCTCGCCTGTTTTAAAAGGTTCATTTCGAGACGTGGCCTTCCCAGTGAAATTTTCGCTGATAATGGAGGTGCTTTCAAGGGTGCGGCGAACCAGTTTGTTGAACTTTACCGGCTCCAAGCTTCCAAGGGTCATCAAACGCGAATACAAGCGTATGCAGCGCAGCAAGGGATGAAATTTCACTTCATACCCAGTTATTCACCTACTTTTGCTGGCCTGGCAGAAGCTGCTGTCAAGAGTACCAAATTTCATTTAAAAAGGATTTTACAAAAGCTTTTGTTAACATATGAGCAATTGTACACAATTTTAGTTCAGATAGAGGGTGTCTTAAATTCAAGGCCTATTTTACCTATGGGTTCTGATATAACGGATTTTAGTTATCTAACTCCCGGTCATTTCTTGACTGGTAATGCTATTGTAGCTTATCCTGAAAATGATGTATCAGATTTACCTATTAATAGACTAAGTTTTTGGAAACAATGTGAACATTTAAAATAATGTTTTTGGAAAATATGGCATAAGTACTATTTAAATGCTTTGCAGTTTAGATCCAAATGGCAAAAGAGTTATCCTAATGTAACAGTAGGAATGTTGGTGATACTCAAGGACCCAAACAATCCTCCTTTGCACTGGCCTATGGCTAGAATAAGTAAGGTTTTTCCAGGTAGAGATGGGAAGGTTAGAGCTTTCGAAGTTGTAACACCTAATGGTAAAACTTATAAACGTTCCTTATCTGGTATATGTATTCTTCCTATAAATGATGCCTAGATTTAATTATTATTTGCTCATTTTAAACTGCTTTCTTTTTCTTCTTCTTTTAATGTATAACGATAAAGAGAAGTAAGAATATGTTATTTGTAATTGTTTAGTTATTTATACAATTTGTTATTGTTATACTTAATGTAATTGGGCATCACCCACAATATTGGATTTACTAATATAACAATCAACTGTAATATTTTTATGGTTTTGTTATGTTTATGCAAGTTGTATTAGTATGAAGTAAAGACATTTTATGTTATATGTTATATGTTATGTAGCACATGTTACTGTTCTGGTAATTTATCCACTAATAAACCGCTGGTGTGGCGAGCATGTTGGAAACTCCAACAAAAATTAATACTGGCATAAAAACTTTTTGTGGGCGAAAGGACTGTATGCTGGTATGGAAACACGGTGTTTTAGAAAGATAATATAATAATATAAAAAATATACATATCAAACCAACGGAGTAAAAAAGCGAAGGCGAAAACAAAACCGAAACTGACACAGACTTCAAATTATAAAAAGAACATCTTTTTAATAAACTTAAAAAAGAAACTAAAAAGGTGCGTCGTGCACATCGTCTAGGACTAAAAAAAAAAGATTACTTATTTACAGAAATTATTAGTCGAAAACTAAACAAAAGTAATTATTCAGTTCTAACTATCGGCACTAACTTTTTAAAGGACGCCTTAACGTTCCTGATACCATTTGAACATCAGCCACACGAACAAAATTGTCTCTTCCAAGAAACAGAGCAACCACGTGACCTCGCGGCCATGTACCTCGGGGTAAATCTCCATCAGCTATAAGAACAACATCTTTGATAGAAATACTTGGTGCTGAAGAGCTGGAACTTGAACGACGGGGCAGTAAACCGGGGAGATATTCTCTTACCCACCGGCTCCAAAACATGTCACTTAGTCATACAGCAATTCTCCAGTTATTGCGTGAATTAGATCTCGATTGCAGCGTCGCTGGTAAGGAGCTGCCAGCTGTGAGCAATTGATCGCACAGCATTGCGTAATCCAAGAATCCAGTATTTTTGTCGAAGTTCGTTAATAATGGTTTCCGTATTTCCATGAGGAGTTCAAACGTGATAATAATGAATTAAAAGGAGAATACTTGGATGTTTCCATCTAAAAAAATAGAAAACTTATCTTCTTCATTGACATCTAAAACCGCTGTAATACGACCAGAGATGTATAAGTTTGTCAGGACCAATTTGTGGTGACAGCTTGCGGAGACGAGTCTGAGGTTAAGTGGCCGATTATTAGCAATGTATGCAATCTCTTCTTGAAAATCGTCTTCTTGGCTACGACGTAGTATATGTGACTCAGCGAGATTTAAAGCTTCCGCCGTTAGAATATTTGAAATATTAGACTGTCTACACGAAGTTAAGTGCCGTTACATTAATAGAATTATCTAAAAAAGAACAAATACAATAATTTAATTTAATTAATTTAGAAATATCAACTTCTCGTTTTCGTAAACTACGCAATCGCAATATAAAAATGAATTTATGCGCAGTTGCTGTTGAACGTACTAATCTAATCCATGAACATATAAAGATGAATGAATCTAATCCATTAACGTAATAGATCAGCTGAGAGTGACAACTGCGAACTGGATGAAGTGATCTGATTGACTTGATGCAAATGAGGTTAAGTTAATTATGAGCTTCGATGATTATTAGAATGAATAAAGCGCCAGTAAGCTACTACTAAATAAGCTACTTTACTGACATCATAAAAAAAAAACATGGAGTTCGCGCTCTAAAAGAACGCGACCTCTGACGAGTATTAGTGTTAATAAAACTAGTGGACCCGTATAATATAAGTAAGAACCTGTGGTTTGGTGAGTTTAGTAGGCATTACAAAATCTTTTTGAAGACCGGTATTAACAGCGATTAAATCAGTGCCTGGGTACCATAATAAACCAAGTGTGCGTACGGGTGTACTAACATCACCTTTATCTACTTGAAGTGTATCTAATGACTGACTATGACACAAACTCTTAGGTATTAGTGATAGCGCCCTTGGTTCATTAGATATCCAGTTACGCATCTCAAATCCTGCTTTCTGATGTATATCAACAATATCTGCTACCAAACGAGCAGCTCTTTCCACAGACTCTACACTACTTATGCAAACGTCCATGTGTCCGTGATCAAATGTCCATGATCATGAACGATTACATGGGCCTTTTCAGGAAACTGCTGTTGAATATCATCAGCATTCTTATTTTAATGAACAAAGCTGTAGACGGGCTTGATGCAGCGCCAAAAATCATTAAAGAAATACGAAATAATTTCAAAGGTTCATTAGGACTATCGCGCCTTGGAAAACGCTGTGCATCTCGATCTGCGTTACGAATTTTAACCTGAGGAAACATTTCTTTAATGTCACCATTAATCGCGACACTCTCCTCACGAAAACGCATTAATATATTAAGCAGAGATTGCACGAGCAGCTCTTTCCACAGACTCTACACTACTTATGCAATCGTCCATGTAATGGTCATGAACGATTACATGGACCTTTTCAGGAAACTGCTGTTGAATATCATCAGCATTCTTATTTTAATAAACAAAGCTGTGTGGACGGGCTTGATGCAGCGCCAAAAATCATTAAAGACATACGAAATAATTTCAAAGGTTCATTAGGACTATCGCGCCTTGGAAAACGCTGTGCATCTCGGTCTGCGTTACAAATTTTAACCTGAGGAAACATTTCTTTAATGTCACCATTAATCGCGACACTCTCCTCACGAAAACGCATTAATATATTAAGCAGAGATTGCAAAAGATCTGGTCCGGTTAAAAGTAAATCGTATAAACTAACTCCTTGTGATTTAGCGGCTGCATCATTAATTATTAGCTTTCCACAAAAAGGCCAACCTCGAATCAACCCTCACGCTTTTCATGTCTCATAATATCTATACAGTCGAGACGATATTGCATTTTAAATATATTTTCTATAGACGCATCACTACCTGCGTTGCAATCACACACATTATTTACGAAATGAACAACATTCGTTTTACTTGACACAAAACCGAAAAGAACCCAACCCAAAGCTGTTAAAATAGCAACTGGTTGAGACCTAGTTCCCTGTCTAGTCGCAATAGGTACAGATAGATGCCAATTATCAATACCAATTATAATGGTAGGTTTTGCATCATAACATAACTCGTCAGCTATATCTGATAAGTACGAAAAAGTATTAATCTCATTTTTATTAACATAACGATCTGCTAAACCTAAATTACTAATAGATCTAGCTTGTTTGACATCAAAAGTTTTTATTGATTTCCGCCCTTTAATTTGAAAATCAACGTATTGAACTTCCGATTCCTTTGATAAACCACCCACACACTGTAAGTCTATTTGTCCCATTTGACCCGTTACTCCTATCTGAGAAGATATTTCAGCATCAATAAAGGTAGCCGTAGACCCGTCATCAAGTAATGCGAAAGTATCAACAGAACCAGATGGACCCGATACTGTGACGGCGACGACCTTTAATAATGGTTTACGAGAAACAGTGGTACTACCTGAAGACGTCTGAGTCACCAATTCTGAACGCGGCTGGTCCGCATTATTGTCTACAGCATGCGAACTTGACTCTCCGGACTCCTGTGTGCTAGCTATGGAATGTGTAAAATTAGAATTATGAAGTATTTTATGATGTTTACGAGAGCAACCGACTATAGTACAAACACCTTTGATACGACAGGTATTATAATTATGTAAACCTCTTTTTAAACATTTGTGGCATAATTTATTTTTCTTAACAAAATGCCATTTGTCATCAATTGTCAGTGCCAAAAATTTATTACAATTGATTAATGAATGAAATGCTCGACAATATAAACAAGACTGTTTTGATGAAATTTTTGATGAGTTTTCAGTCGTTGTAAGAAGAGATGTTTCGACACAGAAATCGGTCTCGGAAGCTTGCGTGTCGTGTTCCAAACTATCACACACCTCTGTGGCATTTACTCGTTCTAATTTCTTATGCCTGTCGAAATTAAAAGTCATATTAAAATTGAAAATATCAACAATACCGAATTTAGCTTGTACCTCTACCTCTCGATTTAAAAATTCTGCAAGCATCTCTAGTTTGCTTTGACCACTATATTCATGGGTAACAGCAAAGTCATACCACCTACTTTTTAACACAATAGGTAATTTTGAGAGCACTGCTTTGAACAATTCTGGTGATTTTAAATAGTCATTACCATCTAATAGGCGTAATGTCTCAGTGCAATTACGAACTTTACTGGCAAATACTGTTAAGTCCCTATCGTTAGTCAATCTCGACAAAGACCTTACCGAATGAAGTTCTTGTAAAATAATTAACTCTGGTCGTCCAAATCGAACCTCAAGTGCACTCATTACAACTTCTGGGCCAAGGGCGGTAACCAAGAGCTTATCAACGGTTTCTTTTGCCATACCTCGCAATGCGTGGCCTATGCGAGCCAAGTTTTCTATAGGAGAATAAAATGATTGTGTGTCCTGGAAGACACGTTTAAATGAAAGCCACTCCGTAGGGGACTTTCCGTCAAAATAGGGAAGCTTCGTATTAATCCCTTTCGGAGGAGCAACAATTTTATCTGTTAATTTACCTACTGCAGACACCAACGCAGAGATTGGTTCGATTAAATTAACAGCAGGGGGGTGTGTATTTACCTGTGGATTATTAGAAAATTTTAAAGGTGTAGAATAATCGTGACCATCTAACCATTTATCCACATCTTCATTGCAGCTACGACCAATACTAGCATGATCACTAGATCGGCTGCCCCGACAGCTGGCTGCTTCAATTTCTGCAATTTCTGCATTATATTTCTTTCTCGCCACCTCCAACTCAACGCGGCGACGTGCTTCGGCTGCCTCCAACTCGATCTTGGCGAGCCGTTGTGCGAGTAGCGCTTCCGCTGCAAGCTTCTTAGCACGAACCGTAGCTGATGAGCGGCTGCAGGTCGATGTGCTGTGAGCACTAACTGCGATCGGTGGTACGGTGGACACCGACGCCGAGGCGGCGGCATCAGGGTGCGTTTCCTCTCCCGACGGTGGTAGGGGCAACGCTATTGCCGTACGAGTATTTGCCGAACTCAGTTTACGACCCGACCGTGTTTCCATTTTTTTTGAAAATTTCGAATATTGATTCACTGAATATAATAAAATAAGGGAGAAGGACCAAAAATGTGGGCGAAAGGACTGTATGCTGGTATGGAAACACGGTGTTTTAGAAAGATAATATAATAATATAAAAAATATACATATCAAACCAACGGAGTAAAAAAGCGAAGGCGAAAACAAAACCGAAACTGACACAGACTTCAAATTATAAAAAGAACATCTTTTTAATAAACTTAAAAAAGAAACTAAAAAGGTGCGTCGTGCACACTTTTTATTATATTTTTTAATTTCAAATAAAGAATAAATAAAATTGTCATAAAAAGGGAGAATAAAAAATTGTATTCCTAATTAACTTTGGCCTTTTATATATTAAATCCATGTATCTATATTGAGTACAATACATATAATAAGTCTCTATTCACGCGTCTCGCCAAATTTTACTGACGATCGTACACGTTCATTACGTCACATTTACATTGTTTGCATAATACGTTATCTGGTGTCATTTCGCGAGCGCGCCAACCAGTCATATGGCGTTCACAATGAGAGACGCTTCCTATCCTAATATGTTTTAGCAAATTACGTGATGTAAATTAAATATATAATTTATTACTATGTAAATACGTATTGTTATAGATTGTTCTAGAGTAGCCGGTGATTTGCGAGGATAAAAAGGAATTTGTAAGTACATGTGTGGATATTAACTTTATCTATGTAACTAATAAGGTACATTTTACATTAACAATTGAGCTATAGGTAAAATTATAACAGGCACTACTTACGTATTTCTTTTTCTCAGATTTTATTAAATAAATACCTGAATGATAAAGACGTTTCAATTTTTTTTATGCAACTTAGGATTAGACTTATGCTGACGGCCCACCTGATGGTAAGTGGTAACCGTCGCCTACAGACATGAACAGTATATAATCATAACAGAGTATACTGTGTCGCCCATGATACTCTTCATTCGTTGCCATTCCTAAGGACTAAGGTTTTTTTAATGGATGTAATGAAATGGTAACTACACCAGTGAGGGATGATTGGTGAGGATGAAAAGGCAGGTCAGTTAACTCATCGTGACGTATACAACGATAAATTAGTCACTGTGGTTTCCATGGGGAACCGTGTGGAGGTCGACCTGATAGGATATATTGACAGGGACTAACTTCCCGAATACTAACAATCCCTTCCCCACACTAAGATGGTATGCCTTTGTACACTGTAATGTCATTACTATATCCCACCCTTCAAACCGAAACACAGTCGTGCAAACACAACTGCTTCACGGTAGAAACACGAAGAGGACAGAGGTACCCAAACAGACGACTTTTGTACAAAGTTTCCATGTGGTAACATTTATTAAATGCGTATTCACTAGTTAAACTTTCATTTTATCAAAATGTGTACTCACCTTTATAATAATAATAATAAAGTTAGATACTCTTTCTTATCAAAGTATATACTTGCCTTTAGAGTAATTAAACATAGATATTAAATAGAACAGAGATTGTACGCAGCCCTCTGTCTACAGGCACGTATCTCTGTCAAACCCATATTTCTGGGGGAGAAGGCTAACCAGGACCAACCTCCCCGTGCCCCCCCCCCTCCTGGAATTCATCATGCTGAATTCCAAGTGTATTCACCCGATGGGCTAACTGATCTGCCTTTTTCATTCTCTTCTATTAATGCTCACTGGTGCCCCGCCAGCGTATACCGTTAGCAAAGGCAGGTTACCATTCCATTATCATCCATTAAAAAAAAAATATTTTTTAAAATTCTTTCGCTATATTTCAGTTTTTATGACAGCGAAATTACGGACACGGAGGTAGTGTATAAGCTAAATCATGGGCGTCACAGTGTACATTCAAATCTATAGGCGACTGTTCAAACAAAACTTTTATTATTATTTTTTATTTACTTAAACTTTCCTTCGCATGTGTTGTAAACTTATGTCACTGTAGGTCCTATAAATAATAACACAGCGTCACAGTGTATTCTGTGATGTTCAAGTTTATAATGATACCAATTTACATCATAACGACATGAGTCGTCGAAGGGATGGGTAACATATGCCAATATCTGTATATTGCAGTAACAATATCTAATATATATTAGACTAATAACGGATTAATAAAATGTCGGTTATTAATTTATGTTCGACTAGTACGAGCGAACTGATACAAGTAACTCCATTTTTCTATCAATATCAAAATCTGAACCCAATATATAGATATTGGTTATTACGTATGCTTTTTTTAAGGGTGATAATGGAATGGTAACGACCCCGCATGTTTACGCTGGTGAGGCACCAGTGAGGGATGATAAGTGAGGATGAAAAGGCAGATCAGTTAGCCCATCGTGATGAATTCTACTAGAATTAACCACGATGGTTCCAGGGAAACCGCGTGGAAGTCGACCTGATATGGTGTATTGCTAGCAATGGGTCAGTTAGACCCCATTACTAACAATCCTTTACCCCCCTATTACGTATTAGTTAGTCGCCAGCTTTTGTCACAATAGGTCTTACAGATCAAACGTTTCAAACATTAAACAGATCATGGACTTCCTGATTGGCGGGCTTGCGGGTGCGGGGGCAACAGTGTTCACCAACCCGATAGATGTGGTTAAAACGCGCATGCAGTTGCAAGGCGAGCTGCGCACGCGCAGTGAACAGAGCACCAGATACAGAGGGATCTTTCACGCGCTGTATGTGATAGCACGCGCGGACGGTGCGCTCGCGTTGCAGAAAGGTCTCGTGCCCGCTGTGTTGTTGGGATTCAGTATGAACTCTGTTAGGTTAGTACAACTTAATTAACCACTAGATGGAGTTATGACCTCAAATATAAACTAATATTATAAAGAGGATTCCCGTGTGGTCCCGGCGTAGAATAGGCCACCCCTTCCTTTCCCGTAGGTGTCGTAAGAGGCGACTAAGGGAGGGCGAGGGATGGGTAGCAGCGTCCCTTTTAAAACATCTCCAAAGCCTGACTGCGGCTGTCAATTCGCCTGGTAAGCGTGGCAACTATTGGTAAACCTGCCTAAGGGGAGGCTTATGTTCAGCAATGGACAAAAAGGCTGATATGATGACGATGATGATTATAAAGAGGAATGATTAAAATTTTAGTTTATGATGGATAAACTTACAAAATAGCTGATTTCAAAATTCTTTTATATAATATAGAAAGCTACCGCGAATGACAATGTATTTCATTTTAAAAAAAATAAGTGAATCCGAGGTGGATAGCTAGTGTTTCGTAAGAAGGCAATGAATGCCAGTTTCGATAGATTCTAATAAAAAAAATATCCTTTCTCACTCGTCTACGCACTATAGTAGATCCTTTACTGCCTATACTATGCCTATTCGTGAGAATCAAACCATAAATATTTTTAACAGCAGACTTAGACCATCTTTTATCTTTATGAACATATTGTATTTATTTGTATGTGTAAGTATATATTTATGTCTTGTTTTTTATACAACTTAGAATGGCAAACAAGCTGACGATCCACCTGATGGAAAGTAATAACCGTCGCCCATGATACCCCCATGCGTTGCCATTCCTGAGGACTCAGGTGTTATTTCTCTGTACCCAGTAAATTCACGCCATATCCCACCCTTCAAACTGAAACACAGCCATACAAACACAACTGCTTCACGGTTGAAACACGAATGAGACAGAGGTACCCAAGCAATCGACTTTTGTACAAAGTCTTCCTCTGGTCTATGTATATATATTTGTGTACTAGACGATGATAGACAAATCATTTAATTTGATACTCTTGTAGTATTTATTATAACGGTAAATCATGAGAGCTAACACAGACATCACAGTATATTCTGTTATATCCATAGTTTTACTAATGTCTATAGGGGGAAAGGGATTGTTAGTAATGGAGACTGAGAATCCCATTGCTAGCAATATACCCAACCAGGTCGACCTCCTCGCGGTTCCCCCTGGAAACTATCATGGTTAATTCCTGATGAATTTATCATGATGGGCTAACTGGCCTGTTTTCATTCTCATCGATCACCCTTCACTGGTGCTCCGCCAGCGTATCCCGTTAGCGCAGGTGGGGCTACCATACCATTTTCACCCATCAAAAAAAAAAAAACTAATGTCTATAACTTGTTGGTCATTCATAAACAGTAAATGGATTCAATAGATAAATGCATGCCGTGAACTAATTAAGATAATACAAATAATACAATTGTTACGACTTGACATTGAAAGATACTCGCATCTTAAAGATATAAGGTGATAGAGTGGTCAATATCCTGGAAACTTGGTAGCAAAGTTTCAATTTTATCTCAACAAGTGTTATCAAATAATTAGACAAGTAACGAATCATCTGTTTAGGTCAAAAGTCACTCATTATATCATATGATTAACGTGTTTAGGTATCTACGTTTTATATTATGTGTCTACTCTCTGTGTGATAACAGAGTGGAATACATTGTGTTTTATTTATCTTCAACCTTCGTAAGTTTGATCTCATATCTCTCTGTCGGTCTCAGCTCAAATGGCTTCCTATTCGTTAATGCTGAAATCTTAGGACAGTTTGGACTCTTTTTACTCTTTACTCCAAGTTAACTTAAGCAGCAAATTCCAGTACCTTTTTCAAAAACTTATGCTCCTGTGATGCTCTCTAATTCTCTGTCCTCAATTTTTTTTTTTTTACATTCTTCATGGCTCTGGAAAACGCTCCCTGATGACTTTTTTTAATGACGGTTTAGACGGTTTAAACTGTCATTAAAAATGTTTACTTTTATATTTTATCCGAACAGTACGTATTATCTTTTATTCTCATCTTTGCGTATAATATAGTACCTTTTATTTATATGTAAGTATATTTGTTATTTATATCTCTTTATTTGTTTAGATATATATATATATATATATATATATATATATATATATATTCAGTTTTTTTTTGTTGGATGAAAATGGTATGGTAACCCCGCCCGCGCTAACGGGTAACGCTGGCGGAGCACCAATGAAGGGTGATCGATGAGAATGAAAACAGGCCAGTTAGCCAATCATGATGAATTCATCATTAAAAATTAATCATGATAGTTTCCAGGGGGAACCGCGTGGACGTCGACCTGGTTAGGTATATTGCAATAGGATTTTTAGTCTCCATTTCTAACAATTCCTTTCCCCCCTGATTTTTTCAGATTAGGCACATATCATGTCGCAGAAGTGCAAGACTGGACAAAAACCAAAGAGGGAAATGTTAGTCTCGCAAAGTGTGCATTCTGGTCTAGCATGAGCGGCATTTTGAGCTGCGTAGCTAGCAATCCTGCATCTGTTTTGAAGACAAGAATACAGGCTGCCTCGCACCCGAGCATAGCTGTCGGTAAACAGCATAGTTATAAAGGTAAGTATAAATACAGTATACTGATAGCGCAGGCGGGGTTACCATTTCATTTCCATCCAATAAAAGAAGTATAAATACATACAATTCTTTGGAACCTACTTACTTATTGTAAGTAGGTTCCAAAAAATTGTAACACACACTACATCGGTTACTATATATATAGGTAAAGATAAAACGTATCGCCGTGTAGGTCCCGGCATAGAATGGACCACCCCTTCCTTTCCCGTGGGTGTCGTAAGAGGCGACTAAGGGAGCTTATGGTGGAGGGATAGGCAATAGTGTCCCTCTTAAAACATCTGTAAAACTTAACTTGTAACTGCGCTTGACAAACAAACAGCAATCCGCAAGCCAAGCGCGGCAACTACTGGCAAAACTCCCCTTATGGGGAAGGCATAAACAAGGTAATCTCAGCCAACTGTCTATCCTCCCCATAAAGATTGAAAACCTTTCTGATGATGATTTTGGAATAAAGGTCATATATAAAGGAAAATCCCTCTTTCCTTGTTCTTTCAGGTTTCTGGCACGGCTGTCAGACAATATATAAGACTGAAGGTATGAGAGGATTCTTTGCGGGGATCAGCGCGAATTGTACCAGATTAGCGGTCGGCAGCGCAGCTCAACTCACCACGTTCTCTGTGTAAAGACTTGTTCATTTTCTTTATAATAGATTAATCTTATATTAATTAACGATAGTAGACTTTGCACTCTTATTACTGTACTTAACCTATCATGTTAATATTAGTGCAGTACTTGGAAAATAAATAAATGAATAACAATCACATTCCCAGAGCAAAAGAGGCGTTGCTGAATCACAAAATATGCAACAACTCAGCGCTTGGGCTCGCATTCGCTGCGAGTTCTCTGAGTGGCATCATCGTTGCATTTACCGTGTGCCCCTTCGACGTCATCAGCGTCCGTCTCTATAACCAGGGTAATGATGGAATTCTTTTCAAATATTACAGAATGAAACAGGAGCTATTAGTTCGCGGATATTTCGAAGATTCGCCGTACCAGCTCGCTTTTGTCTCGAGTCTTGTCTCCAGTGTTTTTATTCTATTCTTTGAACCGCCATTGGATATCGTTATCACGCGGCTTTACAATCAGGGTAATTTAAAGATATTTTTCCCGATTCTCAACATATTCATGTGGGTATTGGGTTTTGAAGTAAATGTAATTTCCTTTAAATATAGCACTCAACTAAACACCTCTTTTTCTGTCAAAATCTTTTACCTGTATAGTTCACCCATGATTAATACATACAATTTATAACAATCCAAATGAAAGTTGTATAAGGTTCTACAAAATATTTTGCCACAAAATCATATATAATTAGACATCTAATGAGCGATTCACGTTTTAACTCTACCACTTACACTTATGTGTGAAATTTACATTACAGTAACTTTAGAATTGCTAAAATTTTGTATTTTTATATACATTTTGATTGATCAGGCAGTTAATAGCTCGGAAAATAACTGGTAGATATAGAAATGCATCGCACGAGCAACTATAGTACCCTCATTCATTGAAGTAGACTCACTTAATTCTTCTCAATTTCACTCTTCGTGTACTGGGAGAGTCCTTCTTTTCATCTTTACTATTTAGATTATCGTAAAAGCCTATTAAAGGAACAAACCAGCTCAAGGACTTAGGTCAAACTGCTTTGTTCTTCCTAATCGCTGAAACTTAGTACCTAATACGACCACTAGAGAGCATCCCATATTATACACTAACTACATACATTGGCGTATTTAAGATCATTCCAAATGGCCTGTATCATTAAAAAAGACGCATTTGTAGATTTTCAGATATCTTTACTCATAACTCTACTTGGATTCTGGGCTTGGCACCGGAGAATTCTGGATTGAGCATAGGCCATTTCTTAAATACGCCTGTCCCCTTCCCTCATGTGAAGACTTGTGCCGTGTTACATTAACTGTTATGTTATGTGCTATGTTACATTAACCTTAATAATTATATTATACTCTTGGCATATAGTTTTAAATACCAAACTGCTTTGCAGGTACTGGCAGGGATTCACTGTACAATGGCGTATGGGACTGTTTCCGAAAAATATGCCGCACTGAAGGCTTTATCGGGCTGTACAAGGGGATTGGTCCACTGTATTTGCGCATAGCTCCTCAGACCACTTTGTCTCTTGTTATTTGGGACTTGTTAAACAATACATTAATTAAACGTGAAAATTTAAAATTGTAATTCGAAAATAATATGCAAATAATTAGTGTCAATTCTGAAGTATCATTTCCAATATCTATCTCGTAACTAAAATTTTATATCGTTAGAATTTTACAACTGATTTTGAAATATAAAAAGTGCTGCTTCAGAATTAACCCCAACACTTATTGTGATATTTTCGTAAAGAAACAATTTCAGTGGATTTTTCAAATGGACTATTTCAACTACTACTATCTGTTGAACGCTAAGTTATAAAGTCGTTGATATAAATGCATATATCGTATTTTCATTTATGTTCAAGATCTATAATAAAATTAATACAATAGAATAAATGAGTTCTACAAAACAATCCGCCTGGCTAGCATAAAATAAGCTAATATCCTTCTTGTATAGGGAGAGACCAATGTAAACTTAAACCTTATTGGGTAGATTAAAATATATAATTACATATATACCCACTTAATTATTAAGCGATAAGACAATCTGTTAAATAAGTATATATAAATTGTTACGTTGTTACTTGATTAAACTATATTTACATATAGAATTACCACATCATGCTGTATACATTTCTTTCAGAATCTTTTCAAATACTGTTATGTTAATTCTACAAAAAAGATGTTAAGAATAAGCAGTAATATTATGCCAGATAAACAACTCATGACCAAAATCTTACTGATTAAAACAACTATAATATAAATTTGTGTTCTACTAAAAAAAAAACTTTGTGGCAAAACCAATTATTTTTATTTAAAAACTACTAAGCTGATTTTGATAATATTTTATTTACGGCGAGGTGATAACAATCGTTAAAAAAGTAGCCGTGTAGGTCCTTACATAGAATACCACCACCCTTCCTTTCCCGTGAGTGTCGCAAGAGGCAACTAAGGAGGACGAGGGATAATCAGCAGCATCTCTCTTAAAACATCTCCAAAAGTCAAACTGCGGTTGCCAATCCCATGTAGTATGCATTATGGGGGAGGTTATGTTCATCAGTGGACAGTACAACAAGATGGTTGAAAATTAAAATCTGATCTAAAAATTTTATTATCTTTCCATAAAATACTCCAAAAACAATGAACAAAAATATTAAAATACCTAACTATGGTATGGAAGAGAATAACGTATCTCCCAATCCATATCCATTGAACTACAATCCGAAATAATATCCTCGTCAGATGAGCAGCTTCTTTCCATATTGTCTTCAATATCGCATATACAACCAGGATTGTTGGGATCCAAAGGCAAAAGAGCAATTGCTTGTTTGTAAGCTTTCAGACAAGTCTTCTCACATATTTCTGGATGGCAAGAATCAGACCAGACATCTCCAACAGCTTTCCTTATGAGCCTCCGTTTTTTCCTCTCCAACTTTCTTATTCTGTCTTCATTGTCAGCTTTAGCTATTTTGTATACTAAAGGAGTACACTGGTCTTGATATCCCACACTCGACGGTGTTACTTGCATTTCAATTCTGTAGTCACCACTTCGTTTACTTATAATAAGAGTTGGTTTGTCCTCAATGCACCTTTTGGGTTTCTTTGAAGGTTTTGACAATACAACAGAAGATTTTATCCGTTTCGCTTTATTTAGTTTACGCAGTAGGTGTTTAGATATAGCTCCAGGTCTCCAACCATGGGCCACCTAGAATGCAATTTTATTCATAAAATATTTGATATATATATATTATATATTTCATATTTTTACATTTTTACATAAAAAAATAATAAAAATATATATCTTACTTTCATATTTTCATGTCTTCAAATCAGTTTAAGATAAAAAAAAATCAATCTATAATAAATATTTATTGACCTTACAGTTAAACGTTACAAATTTGACCTAGAACAATGTCGAATAAAATTTTCACTTAGTTCTAATCACACAATACAAATTCTCACATCCAAAATAATACATTGCTTGGACACAGAATGTAAAATTAATTAGCCAGTTTGTGTAGAAACGACTTTACTTTTATCAGTTGTTAATGAAAATAGCAGTTTACGCTGTTGCTGTTTCATTAATTCGGTATTGATAAAGGAGTGGAAACAAGGCACGTGGAACGAACTTAAACTGATACCCTGGTCTGTTATAGTAGCGATCCTCTCCTTAGGTCTTTGATTGTTATAGTCTTTTAGCCTAAAGAATGTTTTATTTCCATGTGCATCAACAGCCACTATACCTTTCTCTGAAGGTACTGGATGACTACATTTCGTTCTTTTTAAGAAGAAATTGCGAGAATCGAAACCTTTCGGAGAGAGCATTTTTGTTCTTTTACCCTTTCTAGATGATGGTAAACGAGGCACTGAGGAAGGCTCCGGTATTTTTACATCTTCGCCGCGTGCTAGCATATCTTTTAACTTCGATAACAATAGTCGTTTGTCAGTCCCATGACCAATAACTCCCACCTTTGACAACTGTTTTAGAGAAGCATCACCAAAACAACTCCAAGTTACTTCAGAAGTTTTATCATGATAAAGAACATGCCCCTTGGCGCCTGCTCCACCTTTTCTGTCACTGGCGCCAAATATTCCCCGTTTTTTTTGTGATACTGTACCACGAGGTTTTGAATAGAAATGCCATCTTCCTTGACTATCGATATAACCATCTACACCAACAACTAACCATTTACCGCTAGTGGTTTGAAACTTTCCAGTTTCGGCATCCACTTGTTCACCATTTGGACCTATGAAGATATTGGGCGCCCATCTTCCGTCAGGTGCTATGTAGCCATCGACATTTATTTCTAGCCAATTATGGTCAGCACTCCAAAATCCCCCTAGATCACTACATTGTTGTTTACCATCTGGTCCTTTAAAATATCTCGGCACAGGATTTCCGAAACGATCAACTAGTTTCACTCTGTAATCTAAATATGAATATTGGGTTGTGTTGTTTGTTTTAATAACTTTTTTACTTTTAAATGTAGGATCAAATGTGGCATTAGGTGGTGTGAATTCAACTATCCACTCATCAGAATCAGTATCAGAACCAATGGAAGACTTTTCTTCAGAACATGAACAAGAAACGCCTACATTTGCCATCTCGCCATTAGGGTGAACGGGATAACAAGGACAGCCAGGACTTTCTGCATCAGGTAGTATACCTAATGCTTGTTGATACGTTTTCAGACATATCTCTTGGCATACGTCTCTAAATGCACTTTGTATAAATTGACGTTGAGCTCTTTCAAGTCGCCGTCGCTCTCGTTCTTTCTTTTTTTGCCTTTCCTTGTTCTCTTTGTCTGTTCTACCTATAGTATAAGTCAAAACAGGTTTATCTTCATAAGGATATTGATTAAAAGTTCTAGGTTTCGCATAAGTTTTCATTGTCTCCATAGTAACTGAATATTCGCCATCCTTCTTACGCACAATAAGGAGAGGTCGTTTTAGGGACCGCTTTTTAAGTAGCGAATCTTTCCTTTTTTTCTTTGATATAACTACACCAGGATTCTTAGCCATTCGTAATAATCTTACTACATGTTTATTTGTTGCTCCTGGTTTCCACAAAGGACGAAACTATAAAAAAAAATTAAAAAATTAAAAAAATATGCTTGTTAAAAGAAAATAATAGCTACAATCTTAATACCTTTATCCCGGGTATATCCTCGGCTGTCCAAAGCCAGCCCATATTCTTAGGTACTGAACCTAGAGTTCCTGTACAGGGCATAGCACAATGTTCGTGTCCAATTTGAGGCGCTGAAATTATAAATAAACGTCGACTTCATTGTGATAAAATAACGCCGCTGCCTACACTGAATATATTATTGTACTAATAAAATACAATTAATTCTCCTGTCCATTCTGGGTTTCGGAAGAAAAGTTATTGCAGAATTAAACTAGCACATCTTTGTTTAAAATAATTTATAACAATGTAACCTGTGTGTGCAATATATAATAAAAAAAAAATACAAAGCAACAAAAATAAAATAAAAATATCGTTAAATACATACGTATACCTTGATAACCATAGTTGAACTTGAAACGATCATCCTTCTTTTTCTTTTTCCCCTTTTTAGGATCTTTTTCGGATTCAGCGCTCTTTTCCGAAACAATTGGCCGCTTCTCATTTGAAGATTTAGAAGCAGATTTAAACATTTTCTGGCTGTCGTCAGTTCTCTTTTTACTGTCACTACCAGATGTACTCAAAGTTTTAAGTTTATTTTTATCAACTAATTTATGAAAAATGGGGCATGGAAATGGTTCTTGACCAACTACATCATCTCCAGTAGTTTCATATCCACCACAAACCTTACAATATGTCGTCTTTTTTGTAAAACCGAATCTGCATTCGCATGTACAAAAACAAGGATCTTCTTCAAATTTCATTTTTGCTTTCATATCTCCAACTACTTCTTCAACAGCTTGTGTGATACCACAACATTCTTTCTGCATACTAGATATATCTAATAAAATACGCTCATCTGTTACAGGTGCTTTATACACCTTGTGATCACAATCAAATTGTTGACACTTTGTAACACTTATCAAACGTGAAGTTTTCACTGGTAAATCCAACGAACAATAACTATGGGTGCAAGAACAATTTGTTTCTTTTTTGCATTGTACTTCACTGTCGCATAATTTGATTTTATAACTCGGTTGAGGTTCGCTTGATTTTTCTGAACTTTTTCCTTTTAATGAACTACCAAAGGGTGTCGGATCTTTTTCAACCATAAAATAACCTACATAATAGACTTGGTTCCCGTACGAACTCCCTTCATCTCCAAAGATGTAATTCAACGCATTTAAACGCTTTACTGTTGAGCAGGATCTACATTGTTGCAGATTTTTTTGATGTTGATATATGACTGTATCACTTTTCACAAGACTTGTATTTCTGTATTCTGCATTAATATATTCTTTAATTATAGTTTCAGCATTAATTTTTTTATTTTTAATATTTAAATGTGACTCTTTACGTGTTATTTTCTTTTGTGTATCAATGACTTTAGAAATTTGCTTTGTAATATTATTGTTATAGTTATTTAATTGTTTAATTTTTCTTTTCTCACCACTATATATTGTTTTAATAATTCCAGTTTCAATGTTTTCCGCATTAGCATGATATTCTCTTATTGTACTCAAACTAGCAGTCGGTTTATAATTAAATTTCGTGTACATGAAATTATCTGGATTATTTTCAGAAGCAGATTTATATTGTGTAGTAATTTTATCCTTCAAATAACTTAGTTTGATAGAAAGTTTAATTGTAGCTATGCGTTTTGAAGTAAATTCATCAAAAACATTATAATATCCACCAATTAATACTGAACGTGGTTCATTTTTGGTGTTTAATTTACTCAAATAATCTATGTAGTCATGGCTCCAAGAAATATGTGTTGAACCCATTTTATATTTGGGATTTACTTTGCTCCAAAGGGACAATTCAACTGGAAAGTTTTCCATATTAGATATAAGCATATTAATATTATTTGCCAATAGTACCGATTGTCTTATTTGCACTTTATATTGTAAAGGAGCCTTTTGAATAAGTGCAGCATGAACTCTTACCTTTGATTTTCTTTTAATTATTTTCTTTTTAAACTGCTTTGGTACATTAGGTTTGGTAAAAGAAGCCAGCTTATTAGAGTCTTTTAAATCGAGTGAAAAAACATCAGCAAATTGAATTTTTATTAGAAAATCTGTACACTCTATATAACTTTTCAATTCTTCTACTACTATTTCGAACAAAAACATTGAATGCAAAGAAGACATTTTTAGTTTTTACTTATTCTATTAAAAATTGTATTCGTTATTAAAACCAAATAAAATTGAAATAAATTTTATCTCACTTACAATTTTTAAAAAGCCAATATTTTAATGTCAAAATTTGAAATCTTATTTATTTTTAATAATTCATACATGTATTTAAAAATATAAAAACTTCTTATAGATAATACGTACGGAGTACAAAATATTAGTATAATTATGTAACTAAATATTAATTGATGTGTAAATAAAGAATTAAATAGAAATAGAAATATGTAAGTATATAAATCTGATCACCTATGTCACATGATAATAATATATATAATAATACTCATGCCCATACTATGGTCGATGACGAAATTATTGTACGTAATAGCAATGTATCTCATTTAATTTTTCATTTAAGATTTAAACGACGGATTTGTTTTATTTGCTGACGATGGGACAGTAGTCAAGTAAGTATTCTTAGTGCCGCTCTTGCTATATGGTGACAATTTCTTTTTTGATGTATTGGAAGCTCTGTTTATTTTCATTGGTGCTCTGAATTCCCCCAAATCCTCGTATATTTGTAATCCCTGCATTATTTCACGATACTTAGCTATCTTTTTTGTATCCAAATAACTCATTTTGCCTTTTATTGGTAATCGGGGATGTCTGTTTCTATTATAATCAACTGAAACACTCATCACAATAGGATTCTTTGCTTTGACAGATGAATGAGATACTGCTTTGTTTACTTTATCTCCTCTGCTCTTTAATGCCGGTATAGTGCCTTTCGTTTGATGAGTCGTTGTATCAGGAGAAGTTTTACCTTTAACATTAGGTTTATCCGTTGTGGCTTTCTCCTGTTCATTAGCTTTACCAGACTTCTTTGTATCTGCTGTAGACATTGACATATTGGATTTAAATTTACCATCCTTTTGTCCTTTTCTTTTAGAATACCAAGCCCACTTGCCATCTTTATCTACGTATCCATCTATGCCAATCTTCAATAGCTGACCACTACTATCAGTAAAACACCCCTCTTCAGCTGAGTAAAACATACCATCAGGTCCAATAAAATTCATCGGTACCCATCGATTATCTGAACCAATATAACCGTCTTTATTAATTTCCATCCAAACATGACCAGGACCCCAAAATCCGCCTAAATCACTACATTCTTGTTTACCGTCAGGACCTTTAAAATATCGTGGTAAAGGATTTCCGTGCTTATCGAGCAGTTTAACTTTGTAATCTAAATATGAGTACTGACTCTCATTTTCCACTAAAATAGGTGGATGTTTAACTTTCACATCCCATCTAGCTGCTGGAGGAGTAAACTCTATGGTCCATTCGTCACCGTCTGTATCGCTACTTGAAATAGATCCTTCTTCGGAACAAGAACATGAATCTATAGGTGGACTAATATTTTTCTCAGGTTCTGTATAACAAGGACATTCAGGATCATTGGGATTTGGTAATGGGAGTAAACCGATAGCTTGATTATAAGCCTTTAAACAAATCTCTTGACATTTATCTCTAAAAGTCGATTGTAAGAGTCTACTTTTACGTCTTGTTTCCCTACGTTCTCTTCTTTCTCGTTGCCTTTGTATTTTAAGCTTTTCTGCTTCAGTTTTACCTACTGTGTATATTAACGGTGGTTTTTCATCATATGGATACTGAAACAATAATCGTTCCTTTGAATACTTCTTAAACACTTCCATTTGCACTGTATACTCTCCATTCTGTTTTTTTACAACTAATGTTGGTTTCATTTCTATCTTCTTTTTGCGTTGCATCATAGCCCGTTTTTTCTTTGCTATAATATCGATACCTTCTCTCATTGCTCTGTACCGTCTGACCAAGATTTTGTTGGCTGCACCTGGCTTCCATTTTGGTCGAGGCTGCAAAGACAAATTTCATTATGATTATTACGCTTAATTATTATCACCTTCACCATCACCTACATTTCATTAGTTAAATAAAATATTTTGCTATTAAAAAAGAATATCAAGAATGTATCATGAAAATATATTTTTGGACATAAAACCAAATTACAATTTACTTATTTAAATATCACTTATTCTAATATAATTAATATTAAACAATCGCTTATAATTTAATTTTATATTGTTAAATTTCTTTGAGTTGTTCATTATCTGTATTTCCATTTTCTATCCTGTAATAAAAACATACTGCTAAGAGAGCGTTCATAACGAATGTATGAAAACGTCGCAATTATCAATTTTCAAACAAAAAACAAAAACAGTTGAACATTTTTCAATGTTTCTGAGTGATTATTTAAAATGTACTCTGCTAGTGAACTAAGAAGTTAATCATAAATTGCTCCATGCATATAAATCTCCTACAAAAATTTTGCACCTACTTCATATTTTGCTTCGGAATTTTTTAAATATATTTTGGCCATTCAAATTAAAATTATCACTGACACCTTTATATATTATTGCATGATTACCTTTCACTGGTAGAGAACATTTTAAATAATCTATCAAAAACATTATAAATTGTTAAATTGTTCATGGTTTGGTAAGCAAAAGTCGATTGCTTGGGTACCTCTGTCCCATTTGTGTTTCTACTGTGAAGCAGTTGTGTTTGCATGGTTGTATTTCGGTTTGAAGGGTGGGATGGCGTGAATTTATAGGGTACAGAGGAATAAAACCTGAGTCCTCAGAAATGGCAACGCATGGGGGGTATCATGAGCGAAACAATATACTATGTTATGTCCATGGTACTACTCATGACTATAGGCGACAGTTACCACTTTCCATCAGGTGGGCCGTCAGCTTGTTTGCCATTATTTATTATATTTTTTAGTTGTATAAAAAAAATGAACCAAAATAAGATACCTATCCAAACCAAACTAAGATAAAAAAATATATTTAAAATATCAAAACTTACCAAAAACATATAAAAAAAAGAAACATAGTAATTAGTCGTACTTTATGACATATAAAAAATGAAAATTATGTTATTATTATGAATTATTATGTTTGTTTACACTTTGCAACTTTACGTGAAATAACAATTAAAAAGTACAAGGCCTGATACAATATCATAGTACATAATATTTGATTATATGGCACGTTGTAAAGACTGCAACCGTGTTCCAGTTTAAGGTACGAAATATTTTAATTCAAATATATATTCAAGTACCTTCATTCCAGGAATGTCTTCAGCAACCCAATTCCACCCCATATATTTAGGAACTGGAGGATAGGGATACTTGGTGTCAGGTTTTTTTTCTACCACCGGAGCCACTGAAAGATAAACGCTAAACGATAACGCTTTGTTATCAAAATATACATTTTAATTATGACATTATTGGTTTATATTGAACTAAAATACAGATTAAATTTTAAGGTTAACTCCTATAATTGATATTCCTTATAAACATAATACGCACGTGCTTTTTCAACGTTTGCTGTGAATTTGCCAACTTTCTTTTTTTCTTGCTTTACTCTCTTAGTTTTCTCCTCTCCTGTATCTTTTTTTTCTGATCCTCTATCAGATATGCTTTTTACAGAACGAGTTGATGTCAGTCTACTCTCTAATATACCTCCTCCACGAGAAGCTACTGTTTTTGAACTTTTAGTACTCACATTATCAGCTTGTTGCTTAGACTTTTTTTCTTCTAGAAATGGACTTTTAACATTTATATATTTCTTATCATATAACTTGTGATACACAGGGCACGGATGAGGCTTAGCATATACCGGTTGATCTTTCATGTCATCTCCCAGGCATTCGTAACCACCACAAACAGCACAATAAGTAGTTTTTTTGGAAAAATTAAAATTACATACACAATCACAATAACATGGATCTTGATCTTGCATAGTCTTATATTTTTTACTATTCACACCATCTGATATAAAATCTTTTACTTTTTCAGCTACATCGCATGTTTTAACGCAACATGAATTATGAATATCATCAAAATGTATAATAATATCACTGTCCGCAGGGCTTGGAGGAAAGTCCCGTTTACTTAGACAAGTTGGTTCTTGACATTTTGAATCTTCAGAACATTCATAAACCTTTTTACCAGTCACGCTACTACATGTACTTTTGGTGAATGATGTGACGTCAGAAGTTTTACTGCTGGGGCAATCAGATGAACAGTATTTAAATCTTAAAGATTTTTCAGAAGCCGGCGTGGGTGTAGGCCCACCATCCTTGTCGTAGTCGTGTTCAACAGTAAAATAGTAGACATTGTATACCTGTGGTTTTTTAGCAAAGGGGCATCCCTTTCCTTCACACTGACTGGCTTCACTTTCACTATTTTCGCAATCTTTACTACATATTGAAGAACAAGACTTTCGTTTTGTCAAAGCTACTTGCATTTGATTTATGCACGCGCATTGAGTAGAAAGACCTTCAAGATTACTGCCTTGGCTAAATACACCCTCGTGACGTAAGAATTCTTTAATTTTTTCAGCAAGATTACAAGATTTGCTACCACAAGGTCCGATAATATCATCAATGTTGAATTCTTTATTATCTTCTGCGATGAGATTTTCTAAATAAGCTCTCATTGCTCTTGCAATTTTACAGTCAGCTCTACCACAAGGACCTCTTATATTGGCTATATCCAATGTTGCTGCACGAAAACCTTCGGGTTTTTTTTCAGCCTTTGTACAAACAGGACAAGGATCGTTTTGGACTTCTTTTTTAAATCTTCCTGCTAATTTACCATCAGGCCATCTAGTCTCTTTGCAATAACAAAGTCTATCTATATCAGTAGCTTTAACTCTGGGGCTAATTGTTGGACGAGGTGTTAGCATTCTCATATTATCATTGCAAGATATAATAATTTTCCGAACATAATCAATAATATAATCTATATCGGGATATGTTTCTGGTGCTTTGTAAATAGATTCTGGTGGTTTGTCTGCATTACTCATGCAACAATAATCGCCTTCATTGAAGAAAGTTAGATTAGCACCAGGAGCATTTTTATAATCAGCATAAACGATTTTATTTAGCTTTGGTTTATCTTTAACAAAGGTATTTTCAATTTTGTTACAATTTTCTTCAAAAACAGCATCCGTTGTTTTCATAGTGCAAATATAAGAGGTTGTTTTGGAATTAACGCCCGTATATAAATATTTCTTCACTGTCGGATCTTCAGAGAGTGTGCGAAATGTTGTTGTTACTTTATCAGTCAAGTAGGTGAGTTTGATTTGAAGACCTATTTTCGCCATTAATTTTGCTGTGCCTTCTTCGAAAACATTATATTCTTCATTTAAAGTAACAGGTAAAGGCTCTTGGCAATCGCATATTTTTTTTAAATATTTTAAAAATATATCATCCCATGGAATACTAATGGAGCCAATAAAGACCAAATTATCTTCTTTACTCCACAAAGAGACTTCCATTGGAAATTTCTTCATGCTTTGTATAAGAAATTCTGCACTACTCGTAAATAAAACCGACTGTCCCGATTGTATTACTGGTTCTGGAGGAGATTCTTCCACTTTGCCTTTCTTCCCTTTTTTTGGTTTTGGTGGTTTCTTTTTCTTTCCTTTTCCAGTTGGCTCTGGCGGCAAAGGTGGAGGCTCTGGCATAACAATATGCATTTGTTTGGGATCTTTCAGCTCCAGTGAGAATATATCAGCAAAATCGCTTCTTATGATCAAACAACGGCTGTCTACCAAACTCTTGATTCTTTCTACGACCACTTCAAAAAGAAACATTCCATTTGTCACAGCCATTTTTATATTTTAGGCTTTTATTAAAAAATATGTTTAAAAATACTAAAAATTTACATGGTGCTAACGATAATATTGTTCTATGACTGAAGTAATTTGTTTAACAACACTAATAATAAATGCCAGTATTGTTTTACAAATCACTTCGTACGTACCTTTTTTAAACGTATAATCTCGTAGATGAAGGATAATATCTACAAACCTATTCTGTTTCTACGGAGATTCTCCTAAATATAATTCGAAACAAGCATCAATAAAAAATTTGTGGCATATTACTGGCTATCATAATATGCCTATTATATTTTTCTATCGATTTTCTATCTTCTTTTTTTTTTGTATTTTTGTTCTTCGTAGTCTTTATGTTTTCCACCGATGAAGAAGAGATATGACAAAAGAGAACTACATTATCTAGCATTTTAATTATTTAGCCGTTTCTCTTAAAATTTAAATTTTTACAATCTAAGATTTATATGTAGCTCCAAAATATGAAATAAATTTGATTTTTATAAATATATATTAAGTAAGAGATAAATGAAAATTTTCTTAGTATTAATACGTTGACAAAAATAATTTCTGATAAAATACTCTTTCTAAAAATATTTCTTAGAACCTAAAAATAATATTTACATATTTGACGATTAACTGGTTTTTCTTATTTGTGATACAATATCCACTGTAATAAAAGATAAAAATCAAAGAGATGAATTATAATTAGAATTCCAACCGTAAAAACAGGGTTTTGAAAAAATTTATATTCTGCTATAGTCAATTGTAGTTTATATTTTTCATGTCAAAATACCTATAAAATACATATAACTGGAAATATTTTTTTTAATGAGTGATAATGGAATGGTAACCCCACCCGTGCTATCGGCTATATACAAGTATATACACTGGCAAGGTACCAATGAAAGATGATTGTTTGTGATGTTACCATTCCTTTTATCATCAATTAAAAAAAAAGATAAACATTACCCTCTATTTTGGCAGTCGGATAAATATAACGTCATGCCATTGTTAACACAAAATATTTTATTTTTTCTATCACTGTACAAGAACATTCTATTTTTCAACCAACTTCAAAAAGAAGAAGGTATTTTTTATGTTTGTTACCTCATAACTCCGTCAGTTATAATCAAAATAAAAAATTTTGTTATCTAAAAGGATATGCTTACACATTGGTCCCATAGAAATTTTATCAGAATCGGTTCAGTAATTTAGTTTTAAAACCAAAATTGCCATGGTTTTGCCAGAATTGAAATCGGTTTTTTTTTGTAGAACACAGTTTATACGGAAATAAATTCCGTAGTTATTTACCAAACCAGACACGATGTATCATGGAACATTGCCAGAAAAATATTTCATTGGAATCCAGAGATAGATATTATAAATGGGTACACAACAAGAACGAAGCGAAGCGATGGTTGTAATACAACTGTAAAGGACAAAAAGCAAGGTCATGGTAATGTATTTATATAAATAAAACACAATTGCCGAATATATGATATGTAAGCGCATCACTTCAGAACGACTACACCTACTTATTATAAATTATAACTGTCCAGTTACTGTAATAGGAATAACACATTTGTAAAAGTGTGTATAATTTAATAGGTTCCACAGATATAGGCTCAACCCATATTAGGACATAGTTTAGCAATTCTGTAACTTTCTGTGTTCATGATATATAATATATAAAGGAAAAATAGTAAAATAAAAATAAAAAAAAAATGAAAAATAGTATTTTAATGGGTGATAATGAAAAGGTTACCCCACCTACGCTACCGGTATACATCGGTGGGACACCAATGAAGAATGATATATAAGGATGAAGCAGATCAGTTAGCCTATTGTGACAAATTAACAAAAATAATTCATGATGATTTCCAGGGGGAACCACGTGGAGGTCGACCTGATACCAATATTGTTAATAATTGATACCAATAGGGCTGTTAAACTCCACTGCTGACAGTTCCTTTCCCCTCATATATATATATATATATATATATATATATATATATATATATATATATATATATATATATATATATATATATATATATATATATATATAACTGCACCTACTTATTATAAATTATAACTGTCCAATTACTGTAATAGGAATAACAAATTTGTAAAAGTATATAAATGCATAGGTTCCCCAGGTATAGGCTCGATCCATATTGGGATATAGTTAAGCAATTCTGTAACTTTCTGTAACTTTTTGTTGTATTTGTAATCGTCAAGTCAAGTTTTATGTGAAAGAAAATGTTTAAAATGTCATATGAAAAAATGAAAAAATTAAGTATACACATACGAAGCCGAAGCGGGCAACTAATAATAAATAAAAAGAAATCTCTTTTATGTATTACTCGAAGTGGCTCTGATAATCCCATTAGGGATATATCTATTAATTTTAAAATTTTATGTGGTGATGATTCTTTGATCCCTGTTTGTATTTATAAAAAAAAAAAAAGATATTTGGTGACGTTCTCAGCTACCAAAGTACAAAGTGCGCATATTAGGTACCTACGATATTATAGTGAGACATTATCTTTACTTGATAAACATTTTGTCAAGAGTGCGGATAAAATTTTTATCTTACGTTTACACATTATCTTTTGAAATAATTCACAAGTATTGTATATAATTACTAGCTGACTCGGCAAACGTTGTTTTACCATATACATTATTTCAAGAACTATACATGAAAATATATCGTACTACAATTATTATATTCGATCGCCATCTTGCTACCCTATTGCGGAATATAAAAATCGCGATTAAAAAACAGGAGTTGATTGTAGAGTTGATTGTAAAAGCGTGAAAATTCGAAGTTGTATGTGTTTTTCAATGCTAAATCATAGTAATATAAAAATAAAAAAATAAAATGTCGAAAAAATAAAAATAAAATATTTAGGGGTAGGTCACCCTTATCATTGAGGGGTATGAAAAATAAATGTTGGCCGATTCTCAGACCTACCCAATATGCATACAAAATTTCATACAAATCGGTAAAGCCGTTTCGGAAGAGTTTGGTAACAAACACCGCGACACGAGAATTTTATATATTAGATTACTTGGCCGTGTGGTCCCGACATAAAATAGGTCACTCCTTCCTTTTACGTGAGTGCCCTAAAAGATTAAGGGAATTTAGGGGTCGAGGGACGGGCAGCAGCGTCCCTTTTAAAACATTACCAAAACCTAACTACGGTTGTCAACCTGCCTACCAAGCTTGGTAACTACTAGCAAAACTTTCCAAGGGAGATGCCTAAGTTCATCAGTGGACAGTTAACGGCGCCGCTAGTCTATTTTTAGTTCTAATAACCCCATGGCCCGTCCTTGACGGTGGGTACGAGTTATATTTCCACACAACACAAATATTTCTTCATATAAACTTATCCAACACTTTATTGATATGAGCTTTTTGCAATTATTCATTAATTATTATAGATAATAATAAATTTCACGTGAAAAATATATATATATATATATATATATATATATAATCTATCAGTTTTATGGTACCCTGGCTATATTTTATTCTTTCAATTACCAAGAATGCAAGCAAGCGGTCTGTGAAAACCTTAATAATATTTAAACTATACTAATACCATGCATCCAGTTTGTAAAGTTTATTCTTCGGTCAATTAGTGATCATAAAAAAGTCCCGAAAATGTCTGATGAAGTCTCAAATATACATATAAAAATAGATCGTTCCGGCTAATCGAAAAGATAATTCTCTCAGTGTATGCGGAAGTTATGAACAAAAAGATAGGCTAATCTTTATTGAATTTTCTGTGGTTGTGAAATGCTGAACGTAACGAAATCATCCGATATCAGCTGACTTGCTAGCACTCACGTCATTTTGATTGTCAAATCTGTCATTTTTAATGACTTTGGACTTCTGATAAAACGTCATGAAAAGCTGAAACTTTCTGACGTTCACCAAAGATGTTAGAGGCCTATCCTAAAGGGTTACGAAACAAAGTTGAATAAAAATTTCCATGATTTAGAGCAGTGTTAATTTAGGATACAATGACAAGTTACGAATTCACAATAAAATGTAGAAGATGATATTCGTGTATCTACTGTTTAAATAAAAAGGTAACCTATAAGCTTGATTAAATATCTTGTGTTTAAACTTGAAGAGGATCTAACAATGATAACTAAAGATAATGAAAATATTTCCACGAATATAGTGTAATATCTTGCTTGCAATTATGACAAAAATTACGTATTATAATCACGTGTAACTCGTTTCGATTTAAGTAATGACATCAACTTACGAACTTCATTCATCTATCGTTTAGTGGGTAATGTTTTCTAAAATAGATCCGATATTTCCGTTATTTACATTAGAGTGTTATCATTTTACTATTTCCGATTTTTATAATTTAACTTTTATTAAATTAAAACTTGTGCTTTTTTTAATTTTAAACACATCGCACAAGGCGCAATTTTTTTTTTTAACTAACAGCGAATTAAACAATATTGCCAATTATTTTTTAAATAGACTGTACTGTTATATCTAAATATTTAGTGTTTATAAAATATAAGGTATTATTGGTGTTATAATAAATATTAAATAAATTGTTATATTATTATGTAATTTAATTAAAGAACTAAAACTCTACATAAAAATAAATATTAGTTGCAACAAAAGTATTAACATTGCAGAGTGTAACTAAAAACTAGGTAGGTAAGTTATTAACTGTTTTTGTTATTATAAATAAATCATCTTATATTTTTAAAATGCTTAATTTTAAATTTGATGGTATTTAATAATTATTTAATATATTTTTTTTTATAATATTGTATTGCAAATAATACATATATAAAGATTATTCATAAAATGAATATGTATTCTATTGGTATTTGGTAATAATATTTATTATAAATATGTAGAAATTAATATGAAATTACAATTATTTACCTAGTGAAATATTAATCATTTATTTAGATTTAATATAGATTATAAATATAATAATAGAAGTGAGATTGATTGTAAACAACCTATTTTACAAATCTAAAATTTAAAAAGAAATTCTAACATACAAATGAATATTTAGGAAAAATAAAAATAGTTTGCATGAAAAATATAACAATACTAAACTATGAAATTACTCATAAATAGTGATGAAGTATTAATAAATAAATTGTTGAGTGAAGATTAGCCGGTTTAAACAAAAATCAAAGTGCATGAAAACAAAATTAACAATACTAAAATAACAAATTACTTACAAATTGTGATGGAGTAATCGTTTGTAGCACAATGGAATTTATTGTGGGCGGGCTGGCCGGTGTAGGTGCTGGGTTCTTCAGTAACCCGTTTGATGTGGTGAAGACTAGAATGCAACTCCAAGGCGAGCTCCGTGCTAAGGGACAGCATGCTGTATATTATAAAAACATACCTCATGCTATGTATACTATTGTTAAACATGATGGCCTCTCGTCCTTGCAGAAAGGTCTTGTACCGGCTTTATGGTTTCAATTAATGGTCAACGGTGTACGGTAAGGAATTTCCAATGCATCTAACATTATTATTTAATTTATAAACTGATATTTATTTATAGTATGGTTGTTTATTTATTATATTATTTTAATTATGAATTATTGTATGTAATAATAACTGATAGAGATAAACCTAATAACTTGGACTAAGGGAATTAAAGTATATTACACATATTGCACAATGTTAATTGTTTAGGAAGATACAATGTAATTATCTTATATGTATATTTCAGGTTAGGTATATACCAAAATGCAGATAATTTAGGCTACCTCAGAGATGAGAATGGGAATACAAAATTTTTAAACAGTTTGTTCTTTGGATCCCTATCTGGCTTAAGTGGTGGTTTTGTGGGCAGTCCCTTGCAGCTTGTAAAGACACAACTCATGTCATATTCTTCAGAGAAAATAGCTGTAGGAACCCAACATGCCCACAAAGGACTTGTATATGCATTATCAAAGATTTATAGAAAGAATGGCCTCGGTGGGCTGTGGAGAGGAGCACATGGAATGATGTTGAGGAATTCAATGGGATCAGCATCACAGATCTCTGCATATGCTGTGTATGTACATATTTTTTTTATATATTCACATAAAATTGAATAGAGATTGTAGATTTTTTAAGCACCTGAACATACTTAATGGCAGGGGTTCTCAAACTTTTTCACATTATGATGCACCGAGATTTTATATCACAGTGTCCACTTTTGGACAAACCATCTTTATGATGCATATAAATCTGAGCTTACAGATATATATAAATATAATAAATCCAACTCCATTTTCATTTTTAATGGACTAACCACAATAAAATATAATTATTTATTATATTGGAATTAGAGTACTCAGACAATGCTATTGGCGCATAAAATAACATTTTATAAAGAATTCTGTATCTGGGGGTCACCATAGATTTTAATTTATACTTTGTAAAATCTCTAGTTTTTTTTTTTTATTTAATTTACTTTTAATGACAATAATAAAAAAGTTAAAAAACATTAACTGAACGTTATTTTAATATTTTTATCTTATAAATATCATGACGACTATATTTGCAGATGTAAGGAGTGGATGGACGATAATAATATGTTCCAACAGTCAAAGTATTTGTCGGCGTTTGTCGCTAGCAACATAGGGGCAATAGTCAAGACGGCAGTGTTGACCCCCATGGACGTCATCATGACACGGCTGTACAATCAAGGTAACTTCTAATATATATCTAAGGTATTCTTTCTCAACAATTTTTATATTACGGGCCACGAAAATGCCAAACAGTTAAGTAAAAAATCATGCAAATCATCCCCCCTCACTATAAAATTATATATAGTATATGAAATTAGTAGTCGAATAAATAAATATAGTAGTCAAACTATTTGAAAATCATTCGAATAATCTGGATGTATTTTTCAGAAATAATTAGGATTCCAACTAGGATTAATATAATCGCGTATTTATCTTAAACGAATCTTTCGAGGTCTTATTATTTTTCAACAGACTGCGACCCCCTTTAATAATAAATGCAACGATAGGGTTATGACACCCCTGTTGAAAAACAATGGTCTGAGGATTTATAGCAAATTGTATAGGAGGTAAAATTTGCAGTGGTGGTTAAATTCAAGAGACTGCTCATTTCCTACCTTGTTTAATTATACTTGTAATATATATGGATAAATAACGCGTTTGTTATTAAAGAATTGTTCAAACTCCGATATACTGTTTGTTTTTTTCTTATTTTATACTTTGTGTTCCAAATTATGTTGACTGTATGTTTCAAAATTCTTGATTTCAATTCTTTTGTTTAGGGGTAATGACTTTAAATTCTTTTACTGTAATTGTTGTTTCATCGTAAGTGTATTTATTTAATGTACTTAAAACATAGATTTTTTTTTATTTACAGCTGTTGACGCCGAAGGTCGTGGTGTACTCTATTCAGGAATAGCTGATTGCGCTAGAAAAATTACGAAAACGGAAGGTCTATTAGCTTTCTACAAAGGCATGGGCCCTTCGTATTTGAGGCAGGCTCCTCATACTGTACTCTTACTCGTCTTCTGGGATATGCTCAAGGATCTACAGAAGAGTCTACAATTAGAAATAAGATGAAGTATAGTGCTTTAAATATAGTTACAGTTGTAGGTATTTATTGTTTTTATATGTTAGACATAAAACATTGTTTATATGCAATATTTACATGCTGTGATTAGATAGATTTTTTTTATGATTAGGAAACTTTGTTAACACTTTCATTCTAACTTAGTTACTAAATGTTATGTTAGTTTCATTTACTAAAATTAACAACACTTGTTATAAATCACATTATTTCTTTAATGGTATAGGCAGAGAGTACAAAATGCAGTTGCCTAAACTCTGTCACTATGTATAATTTCACTATCACTACATATACATCGGTTATTTTTTATGTTATGTATTATTAGCTAATTTGCAGATTAATAACTAACTCAGTGAATCAACGAAACCACGATATGCATCACATAATGCATTTGAACGATATAAAATAAATCAGTGTGTAGATTAAATTAGAAATACTATTTAAAGAATCATAAGTGAAAAACGCCCTATAATATTGCTACGTCACCTCTATCCTATAGATCTGTCCACATCGTATCCTCGTCCTTTACAACCGTAATCACAATTATTCTAGAACACTACTTACGCTGTTTTTTTTATACTTTTCATATTTAGTAAACACATAACTTTTTTTTTATTTAAATATCACAACAAACAAAATACACAAACAGCTTAAATAAAAAATGTATTGATTATGTGTTATTTGCATATTGTAACTTTTTGTCAGTTTTTTTAATGACTAAATTCGATAAGACATGCTAAGATTGTTCGCAAAATATACCAAGTACCTATAAAAACAGAATTTATATTATGAAATCATAAAAATATATTTAAATAAACCAATGATCACATTGTGTTGCTGTAAGGTGTCCAAAGACGTTAATTCTCATATTATTCCCTAAAATTATTAAAAAATAAGTACCTGAATGATTACACATGGAATAATATGTACGCAGTATTATTTTAAGCGAAGTCCGTATTCGTCATGTTAATCATACCTCTCTCCCAATGTTCTAAATATTTGTTAGTAGCATTTAATAAAATATAAGTAAACGACTTCTTGGTGCGAAACGCATTTTTGATTATTACTGAATAAACATAAATCGATTATTATAAGTGTATAAAATATAGACATTTTATTGAATCATGTCTTATTTTGTGGAAGTCCATATCGCTGTTTTGTTTAATTACTATTTTGTTTAATTCCGCTACTGTTATGAAATGAATAATAGCGGAATTAAACAAAATAATAATATCTGTTTACCTTCCTCCCTACCTTGTTTCTCTTCCCGGGCTTAAAAATGTCCATGGATTGATTCTCATGGGACTTTTTACGTAGAAAATGTATGCACAAAACGCATACGTATTGGGCTTCTATTAAAAGGAATTGTATCTATATGTTTGTTTGTATTTTGAGACAAAATGTTTACTTTGACTTTTATTTGTTGATCAGATATTCAGTTTACTGTTATGAACTAAAACACATTTCTATTTATTTACTTTTTTTATTAAAAATACATTAGTTTGAAAACGAGTAGTTCTAAAAAATACATGTTGTTATTATTAAAATTAATTAGTTCAAAACAATATTAAAAAAAAAACACATAGGTATGATGTGATGAGTTAAAAAAACTATTTGTCAACATTTTAATGATGAAAGTCATGAAATTTACATATACATTATGTAAAATATACATAAATCATTTTTTTTTATTGTATTATCACGTTTAATACCTATGCTATGAATGGTTACATAAGAAATCGGCCAGATAAATGCTACTTTTAAAATGATAATGATGTGGTCAGAGATATTGATAATTTTTTACCGCCCACACAACTTATATAATAGTCAAAATAAACAATTAGTGAATTTTAATTATTTTAATTAGTTGGTAAGTGGACTTAGTACTTAGAATTGTTTATTAATTAATGTCTTAGTTAACTAAGATTAAAATGTTTTTAATTGTTAATGTTTAAGAGATTAATGATAATTGTTGTATAAAATATTTTTGTTTTAAACATTTTTCAGTTTTATTATTGTAAGTCCTAAACGCGAAAACTCGACTTCGTATTTTATGAATCGTATATATATATATATATATATATATATATATATATATATATATATATATATATATATATATATATATATATATATATATATATATATATATATATATATATATATATATATATATAATTATAATGTACTTGACGACCTTGATGGTGAACGGTTCGACACAATTCCTCACCTTTTGATCATCGCAGATATGATTCCCACATTATACAATAATTTATTCATGTTTGTTTATATTAGTCTGAATATTTTATATATATGTATTTATGTATTTAAAAAAAATAACAATTGCCCATATATATTTTCTTTTTTCTTCATCGGATACATTTTTCATAAATTTATTTATTTCATGTATTATTCCTTAATACACAGTGTAAATGTAATTTTACATTACATTGTAAAATAAATGTATCTGATAAATGAAAAAGTTAATTCATTTGCGATTAAGTACTCTTATTTGTTGTTATATTTTATTATTGTATGCTATCACGCCAGTTTCCTTGAGGTTGTAGACATCACTGCTTTAAACTTTCTGTATTGCTATCGAGCTTAGCTATCGACTCTTGCTAGTCAGAGGTTACAAAGGTTATTGGTGCCTTCATTGTCTTCCATACAGTCAAGATGAAGAATCGTCTTCATGAATTCTCACCTGCTTCGTTATATACTTGTATAATTAAGTGTTGTGAGTTCGAAGACATGATGAGATTTTTAGAAAAATAAAACAGCCTACCTTACAAAATATAATACCTACTGGGTATTATACTTCAAAATAAATTTTATAAATTGACTCTAAAAATAAGTATACGTCCTACTTTTTTTTTTCCTTCGACGCGTATTTTTTTTTTACCGAATATTAGTTCAATGAAAAAAATACGCGCCAAACATAATGAGCTTCCTTTTTTAAATAAAATTACATTGCATTTAAATTTGGTATATATATATATATATATATATATATATATATATATATATATATATATATATATATATATATATATATATATATATATATAAACTAATTACTAATAAAATGTTATCATGCTTTGTTACACAAATGGAGTTTATACCGGAAGATACGTATCTAAAATCATAATACCGTGTTTACACGAGATTTGTAGCTACTTTTTAATACTCAATACTTTATTTAAATATGGTTCAATATATCAGCATATTGCTTGTTAACTGTCTACTGTTGAAGGTTAGATTAGTCTCCATACAAATGCTTCGAGAAAAACAGGTAAACTTTTTCATACAATTTTGCGCGATAAATAGTTATGAGTGATTCCTTTATAACTTCTATATTTATTTTGACTTATAATTTTTGCATCTTTTTAATATGTAAACACTCTTTTTATGTATTAAATAATACGTCAAGGTCCATTTTATGTGTAATATACAAAACTGGTAAAAAAACGAGTCAGTTAATTTGACAATTAGCTGACAAAAAGTTGACCCGTTTTTGAGGCTCGATGCTCTATTTATATAATCTAATTGTTGAATATAGACCTTTCTTTATTAGGGAGTTTTGACATTAGCAAATATAGTTACTAAGTGAAAAATCGACGAATCCAACCACATTACTTGGTTATCACCTACGCATATATCAGTCGGTAATACAATTCTTCTAATACCAAATTCTATCATCTCACTTGTAACCAACACCTTTTTTGCAAGTTAACTTGCAACTTCTTACAGTTAATTATTTAAGAAACTTGTATCAACTACTAAGCTCGTGTAAATCTGACATAATGAATATAATTTTACATTTTAAAATAATATAATGAAAGATAATAGTATTAAATGTAGGTAAATTAGTCTCAAGTGAATCGAATCCTCGCATTGTGTTACAACAGAATTATGTCGGTATTTTATTTAAATAAATAATTGTTTTTATTTACGATGACTTTCATTTTTAGTCCCATGTAAGTAACGCCCATACCTAAATAATAAAAATAACGAGTAAAATAAATAGATAATAATAGCTGTGTTTCGGTTTAAAGGGTACAGAGGAATAACACCTGAGTCCTCAGGAATGGCAACGCATGGGGGTATCGTGGGCGAAACAGTATACTCTGTTATGTCCATGGTACTGCTCATGTCTATAGGCGACGGTTACCACTTTCCATCAGGTGGGCCGTCAGCTTGTTTGTCATTCTAAGTTGTATAAAAAATTACAAATATCTGTACATATGGTAGAGTGGAAATTATTAGCTGTTTTTAATGGAAATTTTGTTATTAAAACTGAAAATAATTTAAAAATTTAGTAATTAATATTATTAATATAATTTAGTAACTATAAAACGTAAAAAAATTTACATAATATTGTTTATTTTTCTTTGTACCAAGAAGCCTCTCGTTCTAAAAGCGAAACCCTAACAAATAGGAAAGTAAATGATTTTTATAATCATTTCAGTAATTCACTATACAGGCCTCCATCACAAAGATATTAACTACCAATAGGTATATATTTTAATCTATTTACAAACGCACTTACATAAAATCGATCGAAAATAGACACGATTCCAAACTTGACAGTCTGAATCCATAAGCGTTCATGAAAATGAACAATTTTCCCCAAAAGAACTTACAATTTTTTAACTTTACATACATACTAAATATATTAAGGATCGTCCAATTAATTCTTCATACCAACCAAACTTCGACGTTGGGGGAGAAGGGATTATTAGTAATGCGGATTACCAGTCCCATTACCAGCTGGAAACCATCGTGCTGAGTTCCTGGTGTATACATGACGATAGGCTAACTGACCTGCCTGAACTTGGACGTTTCTTGGGGAAAGTTATTTAGTTTCATAAATATTGTAGTTGAATGTCATGATTATGAATTACACACACATAGTGAATTAAATTAGGCCTTAGGAATAGGCACAATAGCAATTTTACCCATGGGAACTGTAAAAAACAAACGCTGCATAAAGACCATGTATTAATTATGTCAAGTAGCTTATTACGAAGGGGTTCCTATTCAAATAAAATTACTGGCCGATTTGAGTCAAGACCTTAACATCACATGAAAGATATCTTTATAGTTGCAACCACACTTGAGTCTTATATCTGCAGTATCACCATTGATCATCAGACTAACTGTATGCTTGATCCGTCCTTAGTTAAAAAAAAATATTCATCTTCTCAGATAAAAAATGGCCGCCAACAAAGATGGAGTTGCCCGCGATGTCACCGACATGGCGATGGGCGGAGTCTCTGCTATGTTTGCAACACTGTTCACAAATCCGCTAGAAGTAGTGAAGACCCGTCTGCAATTGCAAGGGGAGTTAACATCGAAAGGTCAGCACGTGATGCATTATAAGAACGTACCGCATGGACTGTTCGTTATAGCAAGAAATGAGGGTTTCGTAGCACTGCAGAGTGGACTGCCTGCCATGTTGGGGTTTCAATTCTTTTTAAACACTTTCAGGTAAGAAAAGATAAGTACATTTCTTATACAACTTGAAAGGGCATAAAATTAAAGGTTACGGCCGCCTATATACTCGTACATGGGAAACACCATTAATGTGGGGGGAAGAGGATTGTTAGTAATGGAGTGAAATAGCCCCATTACTAGCAATATAACCCTGTCGGGTCGACCTCCACGTGGTCCCCCCTGGAAACCATCGTGGCTAATTCTAGTTGAATTCGTCAAGATGGGCTAACTGACCTGCTTTCATCCTCATTTCTCATCTATCACTGGTGCCCCGTCATTGTAAACCGATAGCGCAGGCGGGGTTACCATACCATTATCACGCATTAAAAAAAAACACCATTAATGTACAGTTTATTAAACTACATTGTTATGGTTATTGTCATGCAGTGCCATGACCATTCGTGCCATAATATGTTATATACTAATTGCCATGGTTTATTTCCCACTAAGGCGTTAAATCCCGTATCCTGCAAATTCAATGTAATATTCCCTTCTCTTCTGCCCTTCAAACTGAAAATATAACTTATTGACAGAAAAAAAGACGAGTCAAACTGAGATATATGATCCATATAGATGTTTCACCCGATGGTGAAGTTTAACAGGCCTTTAGCACTTCATTCTCTCTGCCTACATATTGGCGTATTTAAGACCATTTTCTGGCCCCTTAAAAAGTACATATTATGTAGTCTCTGACATGTCTTTGTGTATAGTTAAAGCTCTCCTCATCGTCAAACATTGCACCAAACAATTCTAAGGTAAGCACGGCTCATCCTGCGTCTCTTTTAAGGTACACCTATTTGCCTACTACGTAGGTGTCTAACGTGGAGATAGGTAAATAGATATGTACTTATGATCATCCTCATCACGTCAACCAGAGGGAGACTTTGTACAAAAGTCGATTGCTTGGGTACCTCTGTCCCATTCGTTTTTCAACCATGAAGCAGTTGTATTGGCATAGCTGTGTTTCGGTTTGAAGGGTGGGATATGGCGTGAATTTACTGGGTACAGAGGAATAACACCTGAGTCCTCAGGAATGGCAACGCATGGGGGGTATCATGGGCAAAACAATATACTCTGTGTCTATAGGCGACGGTTATCACTTTCCATCAGTGGACCATCAGCTTGTTTGCCATTCTAAGTTGTATAAAAAAAAGTTAACTGTCTACTGCTGAATGTAGGCTTCCCCCATAGGGGGGGGGGGGCTTTTGTCAGTAGTTACCGCTATTGGCAGGTAGGTTGGCATCCGCAATTAGGGTTTGGAGACGTTTTAAGAAGGATGATGCTGCCCATCCTTCGACCATTAAGTTCCCTTACTCGTCACTTTCGACATCCATGGGAAAGGAAGGGGGGCATAATTGCATACACATAAATAACATCAAATGCACCTATAAACAAATCTAATCTTTTTATATTTTGTTTTAATAGATGATAATGGAATGGTAGCCCCGCTTGCGCTAACGGTATACGCTGACGGAGCACCAGTGAAGGATGATAAGTAAGAATGAAAAGGCAGGTCAGTTATCCCATCGTGATGAATACACCTGGAATTCAGCACGATGGTTTCCAGGGAGGATCTCGTGGACCTGACAGAGTATATTGCTAGCAAAGGGACTACTAGGGGGGAAAGGGATTGTTAGTAATGGAGACTGAGAATCCCATTGCTAGCAATATACCCAACCAGGTCGACCTCCTCGCGGTTCTCCCTGGAAACTATCATGGTTAATTCCTGATGAATTCATCATGATGGGCTAACTGGCCTGTTGTCATTCTTATCTATCACCCTTCACTGGTGCTCCGTCAGCGTATCCCGTTAGGCGGGATTACCATACCATTTTCACCCAACAAAAAAAAATTTTTTTTTTTTTTTTTTTATACAACTTAGAATGGCAAACAAGCTGACAGCCCACCTGATAGAAAGTGGTAACTGTTGCCTATAGACATGAGCAGTACCATGGACATAACAGAATATACTGTTTCGCCCATGATACCCCCCATGCGTTGCCATTCCTGAGGACTCAGGTGTTATTCCTCTGTACCCAGTAAATTCACGCCATATCCCACCCTTCAAACCGAAACACAGCCATGCAAACACAACTGCTTCACGGTTGAAACACGAATGGGACAGAGGTACCCAAGCAATCGACTTTTGTACAAAGTCTCCCTCTGGTAAACTGGGACTACTAGTCCACATTACTAACAATCCCTTTCCCCCTATCATTTCAGATTAGGTGTATACAGAATATCAGAACGGCGGGGTCTGACGGCAGATGTGAATGGTCGGACTTCGGTGTTGAAGGGCGCTGCGGCGGCCGGCGTTGGAGGCGCGTTGGGATCTATCGCTGGTACGCCGTTCTTCCTCGTGAAGACCCGGCTTCAAGCACAGGCGGCGCGAGCCATCGCAGTCGGGCACCAACACAAGCACTCCAGCACTTTTGGTGCTCTCGCTGATATTTATTCTAGAGAAGGGTTTAAAGGTTAGTGAGGATATCCGAAATGAGGATATCCGCAAAAGAACCAAAGTCAACGACATAGCCCGAAGGATAGGCAAGCTGAAGTAGCAATGGGCTGGTCACATTGCTTGAAGAACCGACAACCGATTGGGAAGAAAAGTTATTAATTGGCGACCCTGTACAGGCAAATATAGTGTAGGACTACCCCTCACTAGATGAAGTGACGACCTCAAATGCATTGCGAGAAGTCAGTGGATGCAGGTGGCTCAGGACCGTTCCTTACGGCAGTCTATGAGGGAGGCCTATGTTCAACAGTGGAGGGATTACCTCTTAAAACATCTCTAAGGCCTAACTGCGGTTGGCGGCAATAATAAAAATAATGTATTTGGCAGGCTGCTACTAAAAACATCAATTATGTTTATTAATCAATATTTATACACAATGGAGTTTGACAGCCCCATTGCTAGCAATATACCTTATTAGGTCGACCTCCACGTGATTCCCCCTGGAAACCATCGTGAACAATTCTTGTTGAATTCGTCACGATGGGCTAATTGACCTACTTCATCCTCACCTATCATTCTTCACTGGTGCCCCGCCGGTGTATACCGATAGCGCGGTTTCCATTCCATTATCATCCATTTAAAAAAAAAAATCTTAACAGCGCGAGTTAAGCGAGCATACTAGAATTAGTTCTGACTGACGTGATATTGAACGTAACCAGATGACAGCGCGACGATGACACTGTATATCCCACAGGTCTTTTCCGTGGCGTTTACCCCCAAATCCCTCGGGGTGCGGTCGGTAGCAGCTCACAAATGGTCAGCTTCGCATACGCCAAGGAGTGGTTACGGGAGCGCAACTTTTTCACTGAATCGCCAATTATGCTTTCATTCATTGGAGCGAACCTCGGTGGAATAATAATGACGTTGTGCCTCAACCCGTTCGATGTTGTGGCCACCAGATTGTCTAACCAAGGTAATGTCCTCAAAAAATTTTATGGGATTTTATTTTTTCATACTGCACCCCATGATCACTTGCAACACTAGATGTATCTTGCTCATTGCCAACTTTATGGCAAAAGACAGGGATTCTTAATAATAGGGATTAGCAGCTCTATTTCTAGGAAAACAAAAAGTACAAAGTTTGTACAAAAGTCGATTGCTTGGGTACCTCTGTTCCATTCGTGTTTCTATCGTGAAGCAGTTGTGTTTGCATGGCTGTGTTTCGGTTTGAAGGGTGGGATATGGCATAAATTTACAGGGTACAGAGGAATAACACATGAATCCTCAGGAATGGCAACGCATGGGGGGTATCATGTGCGAAACAGTATACATAACAAATTATGTCCATGGTACTGCTCATGTCTATAGGCGACGGTTACCACTTTCCATCAGGTGGGCCGTCAGCTTGTTTGCCATTCTAAGTTGTATAAAACAAAATATCTATTTTTTTTTAACACTAATAATCATTAGTCAAGTGTATTTATTACTTGCATACATGTTATTTCAGCGGTGGACGCGCAAAACCGCGGGCAATTATACAGCGGCATGACAGATTGCTTCATAAAAATGATACGCACTGAAGGTGCGAGCTCTTTGTACAAAGGCGTTGGAGCTAACTACCTGAGACTGGGCCCACATACTGTACTGCTACTAGTGTGCTGGGACCAACTGAAGATACTAGAAGATTACTTGAGGAAATAGTACATTACTTATTTTAAATTTAGTTGATATAATATGCAGTGTGAAATTGAAATTTTTATGTTCTTTCTAAAGCAGTGATTTTTTTTTTTTTAATAGCAACACTTCTGAATATTGATAGCCTAGTACAAAAACCAGGGGAATTCAGCTTTCGAGATACTGTGAGGGACTCTAATCCCCTTATTCATAAAAAAAATCCATAACATCTCATAAACCTATTTTAACTGTTAAACTGTTTTGTCAATTTTTTTTTTATTATTCCTAATTTGAAAGAAAGTGACAACACAGTGTGATAGATAATACAGATTTGCAATAGGATTTAGTTTTTATGAATAAGGGTGAATCGTTAATTATCAACCGTACTTTTTTTGTAAATTATTTGTTTCCCTGGATGATATTTAAATGAATTTTAATTATTTATACTATTTCGCTGAATATCAAGTGGTATATTCACTATAACGACAAAATACTACGTATTATGTATTCTCTGACAACAACTCACTATAACTCTAACTACCTTTTATTACTAAAATCAGAGTGTACTTATTTTTACTTTTTTTATAACGTGTTATTATATGTAATAGTATTAAGTTAAAATTTTTGAACAAACTTTTATAAATATATAAGTACTACAAATTTTGTCTTTGATAATAATAAATTTACACTTTGTTATTGATTGTTAAAAGCATTTTACAAACATTTTATATAACTTTTATAGTAGAAACCTAACTAAAAACATTACCTTCAAGTCTAATCTCTAAGAGAACAATTTTGTGAAGTGCTCTGTCTTTGGTAACCATTCCAACGAACATTCGTGTGCTTCCTTGTATTTTTTATATTTTTTTTTTTCTTTTATTGTTGTTTTGTGTCGCTTCATTATTATATTGTCTATGGTGTCATTATTTTTTGTGATTCTGCTAGTCGCTTAAAACAAATCTATTTTCATTATAGCAACTCCAATTTTTATATCTATTTTTTTTTTATAAAACTTAAATAATAATGACAATAAAATATAAAAGTTGTTGTTTTATATTATTTTGTCTATGTTTTAATTATCTTTACGAGATCTATTATCTTTTCTCATCTCATACTAACTTGGGAACTCAAATTTTTATTTTTACACTTTTATTTTTTCAAATCTTAAGTTGAAAAAATAAAAAGTGTAAGCTTTGTGAGAAAAATATTTAATAATAGGTACTGGTATAAATATTACTTCTTTAAATCAGTATTAACATTTCTACTCAATATTTAACCCTTTGCACTCGAGCGGCGCCGATACGGCGCCTGGCCGATTCGAAGTGGCAACTCAAGCGGCGCCCGAGTGTTTTAAAACTTTAAATTGAACTACGCTGCTACGACGCTATGATCTTTTGTAACTAGATCTCCTTATTTACAATATGCGATAAGATAGTTTTCTCGGAAGTACTTTCGTGGACTAGGCTCTGCTTACATTGTAGCCAAATCTTAGCTCAATTTAGTTAGTCTCAGCGTAGCATTCGCTTGAAACAGTCTTGGCAGTAAATATAGGATCTAAAAAGTATTTGCACCCTAAAAATATGAAGGAAGATCAGATCAGCTGACAAACCTAGGATGCATCTTGGATATTGTTTCACAAAATATCACACCAAAACTAATTACAGAGTGTAATATTTATTAAAATGTTGTAATACTTATTAAAATTTCTTGTTTTCGACATATAAATGAATAAACTAGTGAAATTTTATTATTTATATACGTTTGTTTGCTTATAAATGTTTTTCAATTACTTGTAATGTGTTCGCCGAATTTGGCCGAAATCGTCTCGAGTTGCTGGTTCGCGCAAGCGAAAAAGGCCTCGAGTGCAAAGGGTTAATACATACTTTAGTAATTTAATTAAAAGAAAATATTTTTTGGCAATCATTTATTATAGGTACATATAAGCACACATGATTACCGTGTACACTTATTAATTACATTTGATTAAATTAAAAATAACAATATCATTTAAAAATAAAAATCGTGCTCTACTAAAAACGTTACCTTGAAATTGAGCGACGGATTTCTATCACACAAAGTATCAAGATGGAAGGCATAGACAAGTGTTTAAATCTCACGGTCCGAATTTTGGCGAATCGTGACGACCACGGACGACAGGTCGTGGGAACATAAACAAAAAACTTGCAGTTAGTATACATATGAAAAAGCCAGAAAGTCTTTGTATGCTTAAATAAACTTAATTTAAGTATAGTACATTAAAATTAATACACATAATGTTAACAAAGATTTAATAATAATAATAATTAAATTTATTGCCATTCTTCACAAATTATAATGTGACATATATTAATTAATCAATATATTGTGCAGTAATCGTATGCGCCTGGCAATAGGTACAAACTCAGCTTTTGCTGGACTGATGTTCGTTCAGCGCTGATTTTCAGTTTGCACCTACACGGGGCACCGTTTCATTATCAAATATATATATTGATGTAGATATTAAATAAAAAGTAAAAGAAAAAAATACAGAAACTAAAATAAACAATTTTGAAAAGAGTAACTGTTGAGTTTCTTGCGGGCTCTTCACAACAGATAACAAACTTTCGAACCCTGCAGTAGATAAAAAAAAGACGATGTAATAGTACTTGTAAAGAAGCCTATTTAAATAAAAATGATTTGAATTTGAAGAATACAACTCACTACAAAAAGGGAGATTTTGTACAACTCACCAGAGAAAGGGGGATTTTGTACAACTCACCAGAGAAAGGGAGATTTTGTACAACTCACCAGAGAAAGGGAGATTTTGTACAACTCACCAGAGAAAGGGAGATTTTGTACAACTCACCAGAGAAAGGGAGATTTTGTACAACTCAACAGAGAAAGGGAGATTTTGTACAACTCAACAGAGAAAGGGAGATTTTGTACAACTCACCAGAAAAAGGGAGATTTTGTACAACTCATGCGAGGGAGACTACAAAAGTGGTCTGCTTGAGTACCTTTATAGAACTCGAGTTTCTGTCGCGAATCATCTGTACATACATGGCTGTATTTTAGTTAGAAGGGTTGGCAATGAGATGACTGTATAGTAAGGCATATCGTCATTCTCAGGAATGGCAACACATAAGGGGAATTATAGACTATCGCCTACACTTGTGTTCTGTGATGTCAAAAGTGCTATTCGAGTATTTAGGCAACAGCCAGTTTCCATTAGGTGGACCGATCTTGTTTGCGATTCTAAATTACATATATATAAAAAAAAAGACGTCAGATATTACTATCTCATTCCATCTCATGCATATAGGAGAGATAACATATCTGTCGATAAATTCGTCTGCCACTTGTTAACGGAAGCGAATATTCTGCTACAATAGACAGATCGTACTACGACCTTCCATCTGGCTTATTGAAAATTCAGACCGTGGGACTTACATTTACAGAATTACCATAAGTAAATTGACATAAAGTAGTTGATAAATTAAAAATCAATCAATAATTTTGCATGCTTTAGAATATAAGGCGAACATTTGTCAATATCTGTAAAAAACAACGTTCTCGCAAATAAAGAAATCTAATCTAATCTAATCGAAGATTATCTACATCGAGAACATTGTGTATTAAATAAAATTTTCATTAATTCATTCCGACTGTAACATTGTCTATAAGTATGTCCGTTCCGATTGATCCAGTGTTGTTTGTTCAAGAGATTCTTCATAAGCCTTCGATACGTTTCTGGCAACTTGCATATTTCCAACTGAGAATTATCACCAATAGAGCATTTTTTTTAATACCATCAACAAAAACATCCCCAAGGAGGTGTGACGTCAGGCAGGCGACCAATCGTAAAACCAAAAGGCAAAACTTTGTGTAATATGGATAAATTTAAATCGATATAATAAATATATAGTCTCAAATAATTAGGACAAGAGCAAGAATATGATGAAGGCTTATTTTTTAATAAATCGACATTTGACGGTAAAACTCTGCGTAATAGTTTTATATCTTTACATAAATACATTGTTTAGGGGGGAAAGGGATTGTTAGTAATAGAGACTGAGAATTCCATTGCTAGCAATATACCCAACCAAGTCGACCCCTCCTCGCGGTTCTCCCTGGAAACCAGCATCGTTAATTCCTGATGAATTCATCATGATGGGCTAACTGGCCTGTTTTCATTCTCATCTATCACCCTTTACTGGTGCTCCGCCAGCGTATCCCGTTAGCGGGGTTACGATACCATTTTCACCCATGAAAAAAAATAAAATACATTGTTCATTACGTTGCACCGTCAATTACATTTTCTGTTATTCCTGTCCTACGGTCGACTAGTAGATAACGCCATATGGTGTTAAGTCCGCCATTTACACATTTTAGGTGTATTAAAGTTAAATAAATAAAAAAAAAAACTAATTTACGGTCTCTGTAGACCTAACTACTAAACGGATTTTAATGAAATTTGGTATAAAGATAATTCAGTAGCTGGGTATATTGTATTTTTATTTTATTGCAAAAAAATAATACTTTTTTATTTATTTATCATTAGTATTGGAGATTAGTGATTTCTAATAAATTAAACATGGTGGACTAATTGACCTTATTTCATCCTCACCTATCATACCTCACCGATGTCCCACCAGCGTATACCAATAGCGTAAATGGGGTTACCATTCATTTTCCTACCCTTATCCCAATTATTATTTGGGGTCGGCGTAATATGTTTTTTATCCATATTACGTAAATGGGGTTACCATTATAATTATATTCACAAAAAAAAAAAACTTTTAGTTTGTACAAAAATTGGTCATAATTCTCAGTATCATAGCATTTTTTTGTAAAATATCAATTTTATATATATTAAATTTAAAATAAATATACAATAAAAAAAAACACCACTACTAATAAAACTATAATGTGAATAATTATACATTACATTTTTTGTGCCAAATTCAGTCCAAATATAACGCCGTAACAAAATTATATTAACTTACTAACAATTGTGCAAAAGCTAAATTATATATTTATTTATATAAACCTATCATAAATATTTGTACTTAAGCCAAAAAATATTTGTCTATGGTTCACGCATTGTAGATTTACTTGTGTCGTTATGTCAAGTAGTCATAAACATCACAGTGTTCATACCGAATATGGCAACATCTGAGTTACCTGTCATTTTAAATAATCAATCATTTCCCTACAGCTTGGTAATTGTCAAAAATAATAAATAGTATTACATAGCATTGCTTCCTAATGGACTTTCCGCAGTCAAATAGCGCCACCAATGGCCATCTAATCATGGACGGGCCTTATAATAGTTACAATGCAATTTTTTATTCATAAATCGCCCGGCAAAAGGAGTGCCAACGATAATTAGTACCTGTGGCCCCGTGAGAACTATTCAAAATGAACCTCTTTAAAGATATTATAATATTAGACTTCTTTCAAGTGTTAAATAAATTAATTATAAATAAAAAGATATCAACAAACATGTATTTGGTTTGTGCATAAAATAAAAATTAACAGAACCATCTTATTGGTCCTTCGAGCCGGAGACCTCTTTCGACTTTTTGTTTAAATAAACTATTATTATAATAGTTTGTGTCATCTGTGAAAGAGGTACATTTTGAACAGGAATCTATTAGTCAAAGATTTAAGAATTTGTTCATATTTTTAGTGATTACTCCCATACACACAATTTGTTCATAACCCTACCTAATTTGGCTAACTAGAATCAGTACCCGAGCACCAACATCTCTCGTATTAGCTATCCTTTTCTAACGAACACGTTTTTCAATTATTTTTATTAAAAATGGCAACCCAGTATATCTAAAGAATTTAGAAATGTTCATGTCTTCCATTTTAGGACATTTTTTTTCTTTCTTTATAGCCAATTAAATCTATGCTTTAATACTAATATTATTATAATATAAAAATAAGCTAATATAAGGCTAACAGCACATTTGGCGTATCTTCGGTCGTTTGTCTTCGACGCCCGAAGATACATCAAATATGACGCTAGCTTATGCTATCACAACGATAAGTATGTGTTTCTATTAATAATATTTTGTTAATTAATTCATAAAATTCCTATATACTTCAAAGGTCTTTTGATAAGCTTATATGTAAATAATCCAATTTATTTTACTTCTATCTGGCAACATAAAATTCAACTTGAGCATAACATCTTATTTCCAAGACGTTTAAATTCCAAAAATAATAATTTTCAAGCTTAGAATATTTTTAATAATACCTATCAGTCATGAACGAGTGTTGCCAGATTTATTCAAGAAAATTTTAATGCTAATGAGATATATATTTTTAATATATTATTTGTTATATTTTGGAAGTAGTATATTGGTAAATTTTTTTTTTTATAAGTTGATTAAGATTTTTTATTATTGAAGTGGTTGTTTGGACTATATTTAGTATATATATATATATATATATATATATATATATATATATATATATATATATATATATATATATATATATATATATATATATATATAGCTATTTTGCTCCAAAATATCACTATCGCAAGAGATTCTAAAGGAGAGATTAATTTTAATAGACTTATTACTTAAAATCTCGCCGCCGACTCCTGGAAGACCTTTTATTGAAAATTTGTTTAAATGAAAAATAAGCTGAAATATAAAACAATGGACATGGGTTGCCCGTTTTCAGTTACCCACCCGCTAGTAAGGATTGCCAGATGGCAACAAATTTTTTTAATAGCAACCCTTATATTTCCATATAGGAAAAAAAAATAAACTTCCATTTAGTGTAGGTTTAAAAAAAAAAACAAATTTCCTATAATTACAGCACTATCATCTACAGCAAAACTTTAAATGCTGGCAATCCTTAATTACAACCATTTTTTATAAGCAACCATAAGTTACAGAGTATAGAATATAATTTTTTTATTTATTTATTTACACTTTATTGCACCAAGTAACAAGAGAAATAACAAATACAGTAAATATTAATGAGAAGTGATACAAAAGGCGGCCTTATCGCTAAGCAATCTCTTCCGGACAACCTTTGGATATAATAGATATATAATATTCTGTTTGGTATAGATCTTATCAAAAAAGCATGATGAATTTACCAAATTCATCATGATTACTATTAAATAAAATTAAAGCAGATAATCCAGGTGCATTGTATTATATTTTAGCTCATTCTTTCAAACTTTTCATTTTTTCATTTAAACCAAGTTTCAATAAAAAGTCTTATACTTGCAAAAGTCAAAGCTAAAAAATATGGTAATGATTTCTATTACACCTACTGAAGTGCTTATCAGATGCAAATAAACCAGCCAAGATTTAAAAACTTGCGGAATTTTAGGCTATTAAATGAGGAATACTAGACTTACTATAACATTATAACCTTGTGCTTCTAATTAGTACTTTAAAATATTACTTGGTGTTTACAATTTATTAAGGAATAATATATGAAAAACATATTTAATATAACCATCACAAACCGCTTTTAAGTGAGGTAAAAAAGAACTGTTATTCACAAAAACGTAATCTCCTACCACTATTTCTTTGTCTCTATCGAATTCCACTTGAAAGAAAGAGACAAAGCATTTCACAGCAGTTGATTAGAAGTTTGACGTTTTTATGAATAACTGCCATTCTAAATTATATCTTACAGAGATGACATTACGTATTATTTTCCACAAACAGATAAATTCGCCAGTGTCCCACTCGTCTGTACTCGGCGGCCGCACGGGCCGAACGGTGTCATATTCCAGTAAGGCCGGGGGTATTGTGCGGCCGAGATTGGAAGCCGCGGCTGCACAGTTGCGACACTTGACTCGGTGTTTTACCGCGTGTCTCCGGGAAATAGATTCTGTGAAGTGAATAATTGGCAATCGATTATCTAACAGGTATTATAAGTTTCTGTTATCTTCTCATGTGACAGAAGTGTCAAGTTTGCTATTGTGTGTTTATGTTTTTACTTTTTCTTAATAAATATCATGGGCGTATTGGGGGAACAGGGGGGAAAGGGGAGTCGTGACCGTCCTCCCTAGTATTCGAAAAAAGTTTCACAAAAATATGTCTAAGGGTATTCAGACATGTCTTTGTGTAAAGCTAAAAAATATGGTAATGATTTCTATTACACCTACTGAAGTGCTTATCAGATGCAAATAAACCAGCCAAGATTTAAAAACTTGTCACCAGGAGGCGCCGCCCTCGAACGAATAACACTAGTGCCAGGGAGGGGAAGGGATTGTTAGTAAAACGGACTACAAATCCCATTGCTAGCAATATACCCTGTCAGGTCGACCTCCGCGTGGTCTCCCCTGGAAACTATTGTGCTAAATCCCTAGTGTATTCATCACGATGGGCTAACTGACCTGCTTTTGCATTCTCACCTGTCATCCTTCACTGATGCCCCGCCAGTGTGTACCATTAGCGCGGGAGGGGTTACCATTCCATTTCCACCCATTAAAAAAAAATACTAGTGCCAATAAATCAGCAACGATATACTCACTTTAGGAAGACGTAGAGTGCTGCCGTGATGACAGAAAAGACGATGAAGGAGTAGGGCCCGATAGCTTCTCGCATTGTGGGGAAGGACATGCCCACCAGGAAGTTACCTCCCCAGTTGGCGAGCGAGCCCCAAGCCATGCCTGCAGGACGCGGGGGCACCTCGAAGATCTCTGTTCAGTATCAAATATTAACGTTTATTTGTAGGGGGCATTTATTAATCACATTAGATGTGTCTTTTTAAATCTAGACGCCTGTTGAGTCTCTTTATTTGATACTGGCAACCCTTCGCATAGTTTTATTTAAACAAAATACAATCCAAGTTACTAATAATGTAGCTTTCTATGGTAAATGTTTTAATATCGAATAAGTATTTTTCAATTTTAACATAAACAAACAAACACAAAAATAATAATTTTTTAATATTAAATTAGATTTTAGAGAAAATAAATGGAAATAATATTATCATTGTCCATCGTAGTCCACGCCTAGAATGAGCTGTTCCTTTGCCGTGAATATCGTAAGAAGCGATTAAGAAAACTTAATACTCGAGGGATGGACAGCTGCGTCCCTCTTGAAACGGCACAAAAGCCTAACTGCGGTTGCGCAGGACAAATACAGGAAAAACCCCCCAAGAGGGAGGTCTATATTCCACAGGGGGCAGTTAATAACTGATAAGATGATGATGACGATGTAGAAATAGTAAAAGTATGTTCTACCTTATAAAGATTACAAATAAGCTGTTATATCGACGACAAACAGGTTTCAAAATCGTTTTTTTTTATACAACTTAAAATGGCAAACAAGCTGACGGTCCACCTGATGGAAAGTGGTAACCGTCGCCTATAGACACGAGCAGTACCATGGACATAACAGAGTATACTGTTTCGCCCATGATACCCCCCATGCGTTGCCATTTCTGAGGACTCAAGTGTTATTTTTCTGTACCCTATAAATTCACGCCATATCCCACCCACCCTTCAAACCGAAACACAGTCATGCAAACACAACTGCTTTACGGTTGAAACACGAATGGGACAGAGGTACCCAAGCAAACGATTTTTGTACAAACTCTCCCTCTGGTTAAATAAACATTTCAGTTATTTATTGAGATTTTTACGTCGTTTATATAATATAGCTATGTCTATAACGTGACTACATGAAAAAAAAAATAATAAAATTAAATATTACTACCTGAAGCTATAAAATATGGTATGGGCCCAAGACCGAACCCATAGACTAGAACATACGACAGCACGGCCACCATACACACGTAGGGCATCCACGATAGCATATTCTGCAAAATAAATTAACCCATGACATCAATGTTTTGCAGGGCAGCACAGACACTAGACTAGTTAGACTGTTTCCACCTATAGGCGTATTTAAGAGGGAGTGAGGGATTTAATACAGGAGTATGTGCAATCCCAGACATGTCAATCAATTTTATATTAATAAAATCAAAAAAGCTCGACTAGTTTCGAGATCAATTCGTAACCCTTAGTTATGAGTGACTGCGACGTGATCATGAGCCTGACTCGAGCCCGTGCTCTAATTACATGTAAGTTAAAGCTTACGAAACTTTTAACATATTCGTTATAGGACCAGTATTAGTAGATATTGTAACTAAAATAGATAGATAAATACTCTTTATTGTTTTCTCCAAAAGATTACGATAGTAAACTTATTATAAATATAAATAATTACAAGAAATAATCACAATGAGAAAACAATGGGCGGCCTTATCGCTAAGAGCGATCTCTTCCAGGTAACCTTTGAATGGAGAGGAGTAATTATAAACAATTTGGTGGGAGGCACGATGAAAAATTTTGTTAGTTCTAAATATGGGAGATGTGATACATATAATAATATATTATCCCTACTCATTATATATATAACACACACACACACATATACATACATATATATATATATATATATATATATGTATATATATATATATATATATATATATATATACATACATACTGGTATATGTGTGTGTGTGTATATATATATGTGTACCCAGTGGGCACGGCCCAACCGCTATCCCCCCCCCCTCCTTTAAATACACCCACGGTGAAGCCTTTTTCTCGTTTCGTAGTAGCACTCACAATATATATCATAGTGACGGCGAGTACAGCGAGTATGACGGCAGCGCTGAGCACGGACGCGAGCAGCAGGGGCCGGCGGCCGCGGCGCGGCAACAAGTGCAGCATCAGCACCGCCGTGCACACGTTGATCGCGCCGCACCCGATGGTCGCGTACTGAGAGTTCGCCTCCGACAGGCCTGCTTGTTTGAAGATCGTTTGCGAGTAATAGAACACCTGGAGACATTATAAATAATACACGACTTACAACTGTGTATTATAGGGGGGGGGGGGGGTATTAGTAACTCGAACTGTCTCATTATAAGAAATATACTCTGTCAGATGGACCCCCACGTGGGGACCACGGAACCATCGTGATGAACACCAGGTGTATTCATCACGGTGGGCTAACTGACCTGCCTTTTCATTCTCAACTATCATCCCTCACTGGTGCCCCGCCAGCGTATACCGATAGAGCAAGCGGGGTTACCATTCCATTATCATCCATAAAAAAAATCTGTGTATTACATACATCTTCATATAGAGTCAAAGAAGAATACCAAGTCATAAGAAGAGCGTCATAGAATCAGTTTAGACTAAACAAGGGATCGTCTGTGAGTTTTTTTGTCCATATTGAGGCACCGTCAAAAATCGACCCAAAGACGCCAGGTAGGCTAAGGCCGGCCCTGGACTTACCCAGTACCAGCCGTAAGGGGCGGTGGAGTGATCGGGCGACGCCTGAAGGCATCATATATTAATTAAAAAAATATTGATTAAAAAAATTTACCTCAAATATGCCGTACTAACCTTCAGCCTACTCAGCCTGCTAGTAAATTCACCATTGTAAATTTCCCTAAAACAATAGCAAACTAAGAAAGAAAGGTCTTGAGTGGAGACTCCATACACGCAGTATAGGAGAATCCCCCCCCCCTCCCTCCCACTACATGGAGTGATAATCTCAAATACATTGTAGGGAATCAGTGGATGCAGATGTCTCAGGAGCGTTCTTTATGGTAGTTTATAGGAAAGGCTCATATTCAGCAGAATAGCTAACTGGCTACTCACAGCGTTGATCCCGCTGGTCTGCTGCCCAGCCTGCATGGAGCAGGCGAGCAGCAGAGGCAGCCGAAGTCGCGGTTCCATCACCAGCCGCAACATGCTCCAGTGGTCATCGTCGGCAACCTCCACGCGCGACTCCTCGCGCAGGCTGTCCACCTCATCCGTGAGAATGCTAGCCGACACGCCACGGACTCGGCTCAATTCTGAATTGGTACAAATTAGAAATTTATTTATGTTAAATAGCACAAATATAACAATAACCAGAGGGAGATTTTGTACAAAAGTCGTTTGCTTGGGTACCTCTGTCCCATTCGTGTTTCAACCGTGAAGCAGTTGTGTTTGCATGGCTGTGTTTCGGTTTGAAGGGTGGGATATGGCGTGAATTTACTGGGTACAGAGGAATAACACCTGAGTCCTCAGGAATGGCAACGCATGGGGGGTATCATGAGCGAAACAGTATACTCTGTTATGCCATGGTACTGCTCATGTCTATAGGCGACGGTTACCACTTTCCATTAGGTGGACCGTCAGCTTGTTTGCCATTCTAAGTTGCATAAAAAAAAAAATTAAAATAATATATAAACAAACTTACATTCAAATATATTCAAGTTTTTTTGTATCAGCCATTAACTGTCCACTGCTGGACGTAGACCTCCCCCATAAGGGGAATAACTGCGGTTGCCAACCCACTTACCAAGCGTGGCAACTACCAGCAAAACTCCCTTTATTGGAAAGGCCTTCGTTAAACAGTGGAGAGTTAACAAATCATATAATAATAAATAAATAAATCCATAAAACTCACCATTAATAGCGCTAGTTTCATTCTTCCTAACTACATAAAGATACTTTGGACTTTCTGGCAACATAAATAATATTGGTAAACATAAAATGACTAGCAACGCGTAGACGGACAGAAGGTAGGGCCAGTCGTCGACACCGCCTGTAAACAAAACATCCTATCAATATTATAAATATGAAATTTGTAACAATTAATCCATTCGTGAAAGACTAAAAAACATAATTTTTTTTTAAACCAGAAAGGTGCCAATAATTTTTTTTTATACAACTTAGAATGGCAAACAAGCTGACGGCCCACCTGATGGAAAGTGATAACCGTCGCCTATAGACATGAGCAGTACCATGGACATAACAGAGTATACTGTTTCACCCATGATACCTCCCATGCGTTGCCATTCCTGAGGACTTAAATGTTATTCCTCTGTACCCAGTAAATTCACGCCATATCCCACCCTTCAAACCGAAACACAGCCATGCAAACACAGCTGCTTCACGGTTGAAACACGAATGGGACAGAGGTACCCAAGCAATCGACTTTTGTACAAAGTCTCCCTCTCCCTCCAATCATACAGTAAGTCTGATTGTAAACGATCACTGTTGCCTATAGACGCCTGTAACACTAGGAGTGTCATGTGCGCGTTGTCGACCCTGAAGAAACCTAAAGATACCCTTTTTAAATAACCTCATACTGTAATCTCTATGGAATACCTACTTTTTTTTTTTATTAATGTATTGTTTAAAAAAAAGTAACAAAGTTTTCACTAGAGATTACAATCTGGGGTTAACATACAAGAGGGAGACTTTGTACAAAAGTCGTTTGCGTGGGCACTTTTATCCTGAAGACTGAATATTTTTAAAATAAAAAATTTTCAAAATATTTTCAAATAAGACTGAATATTTTCAAAATAAGAACTTTAATACGATTTTAAATAATTAAACATACCCAATAGGAACTTAAGCCCCATAACTTGTCCCACTAAGACTCCAACATTCACCCCCATGGGGCACGCGACACCCATAGCGCCTGTCAGACTTAGTGGAGCCAGTTCTGTTAAATACATTGGCACTATACTTGTTGTTAAACCTGTAACAAATTGTTTTGTTATTTTGTATATTTTGGTTTTGAAGTTTAAATACATTTATAATTTTATAAAGAAGAACTTGCACGCGGGTTCGATTCCCGCACAATACAAATATTGGTATTTATGAGTATGTACCGAGAATTAATATTTTTTTAGAATGTATGTAACACACGTAGATTGAATTATTGTTCTGAGTTAACCTAACCCAAATAAAGCAGGGGGATAGACCCTATCAGGTCGACCTTCACGTGGTCCCCCCTAAAAGCCATCGTGCTGAATTCCTGGTGTATTCATCACGGTGAGCTAACTGACCTGCCCTTTCATCTCACCTATCATCCCTCACTGGTGCCCCGCCAGCGTTATATAACGATAGCGCAGGCGGGGTTACCATTCCATTATCATCCATTGAAAAAAAAACCTAACTAAAACTGTGATAGGCTATAGCGCGAAATTTAATTATTATCTGTCACTTAATGGGATCACAGTAGCTGTTTTTGTTGCCTACACTTTTAAATGTTTGATTTGAGATTTTTCTATCGAAGTATTATTTGAACACAAACTTTAATTATTAAAAAAAAGGGAATTAAAAAACATAATTGCAAAGCCAAAAATTTTCCACATTTGAAAATGGCGCCATACAGCCGCCATACTGATTACTCTTTTTTCAAATAATTTATAGCCAGTACCACTCGAAATGTTATATGAAATCTGACAATAAAAATCATTTATGAATTTTGAAGTTACGGTGGAATAAAGAAAGACATACACCTGAAAACATTACACTCCTATTTTGAATAGTTGTGTAAAAATAGGGTAACTTTTGCGTGAATACCATACGAAATTTTCATGCTCATCATTGAAAACGATGTAAAAGATTTATTGTGATTCATTATTTCTTACAGTTTCTTTTTTTTTTATTTTGAAGTAATTTAGCAGTGTATTTATTGTTATATTTAGACACATTATTCATATTTATATATTTATTAATATATTTAAATTATACAATGCATTATAGGCGACATATTTCTTTTCTTACAATTACTAGACAGCAACCAGAGAGCATCACTCTACGTACATCAAACATAGACTAATAAAGTTGCCATATTAAGAAAGAAAGAAGCGTTGAATCGATCTAAAGGGCATATAAATTTGTTGAAGAAGTAGATGTCCCAATCAGCTTACGAAAAATATACAGGGGACTGTATCAAGCAATGGAGTCAATTCTCAGGTGGATTTTTTTAAACTTATCTCTAAAATTAATTCAATTTAATATCATAAAGAAATCCATAATATTTTTTAAACAAATTAAATTATTAGATTAAGAGATAGATAAGACCAGAAATTGCCATGTGGTCCCGGCATAGAATGGTCCACATTTTGCTTTCACGTGGATGCAGTAAGTGGCGACTAAGGGAAGTTAACGGTCAAGGGATGAACAGGAGCGTCCCTCTTAAACCCTAACCAAAGCCTAACTGTGGTCGACCCCACTACATACCTGTATTGAAAGAGACCCAAAAGCAACAAAGCACATTTTAGTGTTAATTTTTTTTTAATTCCCGGTACTTTTACACTGAATAAATATTTATATTGTTCCTCACCACCCGCCAGACCAACCAGTAACCTTCCGAGGATGAGCAATTCTACAGAGTTCGCGGCGCGGCACACCATGAAACATAAGGCACCAAACAAGAACAATACGCTGGTAACAATCGTAGCTTTCTTTCTGCAACAAAAAAAAAAAAAACAATATTTTCATAGACTAATACAAAACCAAACATATATAAATTAACACAGCATTTTAATTAACGAATTCCATTTTATAAAACTATTGTTGGTATTCATTATAAGGATCTTAAAAAAATCCTAGACAAAAAATTTTAGTACCATAAAGTTTGGGGGGGAAAGGGATTGTTAGCAATGGAGTTTGACAGCCCCATTGCTAGCAATATTAGGTCGACCTCCACGTGGTTCCCCCTGGAAACCATTGTGAACGATTCTTGTTGAATTCGTCACGATGGGCCAACTGACCTGCTTCATCCTCAACTATCATTTTTCACTGGTGCTCCGCCAGCGCACACGATAGCGCAGGCGGGGTTACTATTCCATTATCACCCATTAAAAAAAAAGTACCATAAATTAAAAAAAAATTAATATAAAAGGTATGAAAACTCTTTGTACAGTATAGTGCCCTTGGTACAGATACAAAGTGTTCTTCGTTTCAAGTATTTAATTTTTAATGACTCACGACTCACGATATTTATTATAACAAACTCATTTTTTTATGCATCTTAGAATAACAAACAAGCTGACCGCCCACTTGATGGAAAGTGGTAACCGTCGCCTATACACATGAGCAGTACCATGGACATAATAGAGTATACTGTTTCGCTCATTATACCCCCCATGCGTTGCCATTTCTGAGGACTCAGATGTTATTCCTCTGTACCCTTTAAATTCAATGCCATATCCCCACCCTTCAAACCGAAACACAGTCATGCAAAAACAACTACTTCACGGTAGAAACACGAATGGGACAGAGGTGCCCAAGCAAACGACTTTTGTACAGTCTCCCTCTGGTAAATATTAGGTATGAAAACTCCTTCTACTGTATAATGCCCTTAGTACAGACACACAGTTCTTTGTTTCAAGTATAAATTTTTTTATGACTCACGACTCACGATATTTATTGTACAACAAACTCATTTACAATACTAGTTTTACCCGCGACTTCGTCGGCTTTACCGTAATATGATCATTGACCGGGATAAAAGTAGCCTATGTCCATCAAATATAGTAGACTTCGAGCCGTTAGAACTTTAAGAGGTAATAAATAAACAAACGCACTTTCACATTTATAATACTAAGGACTCTTATGCCCTTTACAAGAACGATGAATTTTTATAAAAAAACAAGTACACCATACCTGCCCAATTTGTCGGCGAGTATGGCGCCGAGTACGGAACCCGTGCATCCTCCCACTATAAAGATGGAGACCACAGAGGACCAGAGCACGTTCATCCATTTCTCGTCTAGACTCACATCGTACCGGCTTATGAAACTCTCGTTGCAGAACTTTTTTATAACCTGAAAAAAAAAAACAAAAAAGTATTATTTATCTACTTTCATGGCAGGTCCCTTGCACAGCAAGCAAAGAGAATTGTAAAGCTTATACGGGACACGGGATTTTTATTATCTTTATGCAACTAAAAATGGCTTAAATCCTACTACCTCTCCCTTCAGTACTATTTCTGTCGTTACCCCTCCCTACTATTTCTGTGTTCTCTCTTAATTTTCCTTTGTCATTCTCTCTTGTATGTGTGCTATTAAATATATGATATTTATGCATATATTTTATATATATATATATATATATATATATATATATATATATATATATATACATATATAAGACCAATAAAAGACAAAACAATAATTTTCAGAAATTGTACAATTCTAATTTAAACTACTGCACCAAATTAGATACGATTTTCACATTTCCTAAGGTCTAATTGGGAGGAAGGAATTGTTAGTAATGGCGTGGCTAGTCCTCATTGCTATCAATATACCCTATCAGGTCGACTTCCACGCGGTTCCCTCAGGAAACTATCGTGACTAATTTATCGTTGAATTAACTGGCTGCCTTTCCATCCTCACCCCTCATCCCTCACTGGTGCCCCGCCAGCGTATACCTATAGCGCAGGCAGGGTTACAATTTAATTATGTCCATTTAAAAAAAGATATAACTTAAAATCTGATATCCTTCTGAAATCCATACATAAGGAATAGAAAAAAAAATAAAAAAAAAATATTATAGGTATAAATACCCTATAAAGCGTGCAAACGATGTTAAGGTTGTTTGTCACGCCACAGCTACTGCATCACAATATTCACTGTGCTGCATAAAATGTATAAATTATCAGTAATACCTATTTTCTAGACTACATCGATGCCACTTTGTCTAATTGCATTATTTCAAGTATTTAAGAGAACAATGTACAGCTATAAATATTCAACTGCTATTCATGTTACTATAAAAATACATATATACTTAATATTTTTTTCTTGTTTTCAATCCAGATTTCAGGAATTCAATTTCATTCAGCATAATAAATTTGTAAGTACTGCTAGTCGGCTTAAGAGCTTAACTAATCTATAAAAATTGGTATACACATAGCATTTGGGATGGAGAAGCACCACGGATACTTTCTACTTTTTTTCTAGGTCAGTCCTCAAAATAAGCTGACGGTCCACCTGATGGAAAGTACTAACCGTCGCCTATAGATATGAGCAGTACCATGGACATAACAAAGTGTACTGTTTTGCCCATGATACCCCTATGCGTTCCATTCTTGAGGATTCAGGTGTTATTCCTCTGTACCCTGTAAATTCACTGCCATGTTCTACCCTTCAAACCAATATATATATATATATATATATATATATATATATATATATATATATATATATATATATATATATATATATATATATATATATATATATATATATATATATCAATACATATCTATATATACAATAGAAGCTCATAATTACCTCAGCGGGCGTATTAACAACTCCGATGTTGTATCCGACCGGCAGTGACGACCCCAGGGTGGTGGCTACACCGGCCAGTACCAAGTAAAACGACCATCCGGCTTTGTACTCATTCGACTGGGTCAGATGCTGGTGTTCATTGGTTACCTGAGAAAGAGAAAGAGAATTTTAAAATATTTTTTATAATAGATAATAATGGAATGGTAACCCCGCCTGCCCCAATAGTATATATATCCCTCACTGGTGCCCCACCAGCGGCACCAGTGAGGAATGATAGGTAAGAATAATAGTGCAGGTCAGTTAGCTCATCGTGATGAATACACTCGAAATTCAGCACGATGGTTTCCAGGAGGACCACGTGGAGGTCGACCTGACAGGGTATATTGCTAGCAATGAGACTAGTAGTCCGCATTACTGACAATCGCAGTATCTTCCTTATACAGAGTGTTGCCGTGTGGTACCGGTACAGAATGGGCCACCCCTTACTTTCCTATGGGTGTTGTAAGAGGCGACTAAGGGAATTTAATGGGCGAAAGATGGGCAGCAGCGTTTCTCATAAAACATCACCAGTCTAACTGCGTTGACAACCCTACTGCCATGCGTAGCAACAACTGGCAAAACCCCCCAATAGGGGGAGATCTATGTTCAGCAATGGACATTTGACGGCTGATCATTGCCTTATTATCATGATCATCATCATGATAATAAGGGTGGAACCGAAATTGTTAGGATAATTTTAAGGATTTCCACATAAGCGTATTTAAAGGGGTAGAGGGGGAGTCGGGTAGATGTAGCAACGTCTTAGAATCGGCCCTAACGTATGCACCAAATCTTTAGAGATTATTCAAAATTATCCGTCAAAAAACACCATCGGGCAATGTGAATATGGGAGCAAACTCTATGGAATGCAAAAATGAATCAGTTCACAATTAAACGAAGATATCTCACAATAAAATACTAAATATTTAGTCATTTTCAATAATTCATATGAATTACTAAATGCAAATTATAATTTAAGCCTTTTTTCAATACGTCTACGAATAATTAAGTTTTTTTTTTATACCACTGAGGTGGCAAACAAGCATACGGCCCACCTGATGGTAAGTGGTTACCGTAGCCTATGAACACCTGCAATACCAGAGGTATTACGCGTACGTTGCCGACCCTGAAGAAACCTCTTTAGTTACAATACATAATATAGTACCGTACATACGAGCAGTATGTTATATTAATATTTATATGTAAACTGACAAAAAGTTGACCCATTTTTAAGAATCTATGCTCTATCTATATAATCTAAGAATACCAATAAAGCAACGATAGAGGGCAAATATATGTCAATTTTTCTTGAATATCTCTCAAGTCCTATTACAATTTTATTATATTTGTAAGGTATAAGACTGTCGCGTGACCCCTGCGCATATGGAATTTCTAAAGATATCTCTTTTAATTTATAAAACAAATATGAATACATTTCATGCATAAAGATGCCATCCGTAAGGAATTCCCCGGATTTGTCCTAGTTTGAAGGGCGTCCAGGGGCCGTCCGGCAGAGGTTTTTGTAAAGCGTCCGAGTATAACCCGGACACTTTTGTTGTCAGGGGAAATTCAATTTTGTTATAGGTAGGCGATCAATTGAAATAAATCTTAGTTACAAATTCATCCACAATAACCCTGTTTTTATATAACAATGTTTTTATTTTTGTTACAAAAAATATTTTTTCAGATGTGTCCGGGGAAAAACCATATTTCGCTCAAATGTCCGGGATTTTTGCCGTGTTCATCCGGTGTCGGCAATTTAGGTGACATGGCAGCCCTATTCATGCACAGTGCATGCACTCTGCACACTGAAACATTGCTTATTCTCATACAAACATTCACAGAAACATGTTACAGGTGAAATTAGCTTGTTGTTGACTGCCGCAAATGGAAATGGCATTTAAAATTAGATGACCCGACGTGTCTGAATACCAAATTTCATTCAAATCGGTACAATCGTTTATTTGAGCATCATTAAATACGAACATTTAGACAAGTTTTCTTTGAAACAATGCGCGTAATGTCCCTGATATTGCAGGCGTTCATATGCTACGGTAACCGCTTACCATCAGGTGGGACGTTTGCTTGTTTGCCATATCAGTAACATAAAAAAAAAAAACTTTACAATCTTTCTTATTCATATTAGTAAAATTAATAGAATGTGTTTGGATTAAAAATTGAGTCTATACTCAATTTCATTCATTACGTAGATTCTACACACAAAAAAAGATTTTTTTTCAAATTTTGTTGTTAATTAATTATTATATGGTATTAGAATTAACTTTCAAACAACCTTGTACTATATAATTATTGTAATTACAAGATATAGCGAAAAAATATATTATAGGAGTATGTCTAGTAGGCATGTGTAATATGGATACGGATCCGATATCTATATGTTGAGTTCCTCTGGACATTGATGGCGGGAAAAAGGTCATCACTCATTTCGATATCGCCCATATCGGTCGGATATTTATTTTCGAATATGTTGAAAGTCTGTTATCCAATATTATGTTTTGGATAATATTTTTTTAACATATTCGTTATTTGATCAGTATATTGTAACAAAAATATAGATTATTTAAACTAGATATTGCTATATAGTACCCACACCTACTTCGTAGGTCAGTGGATCCTAAACATTCGCGACATCCGTGGCCAAATATCAAAACTTATTGAATTGGCAAATGGCACAGAATTTCGAAAACCTGACTCTTTCACGGAACCCTCCAAGATCCAATTTAGAAGTCGCCGATCTAGATCACCACAGGAAAGCAAAAAGCATATTTAAAAAACACACAAACTTACGAATACACTGAGAAGTTTTTTAAAAGCCATTTAAGTAAACACAACACAAGCAAAAGTCACTTTTTCAATCCACATAACAGTCTCGTCACCACTTGGTCGTGCACAGGGCGAATAGAGCGACAAGGGTGTCGGCGAGCGCAGGCAACACTGAGCAGACGGCAAAGATCGGCCAGTACCAATCACACAGCCAGCCATCTAGTACAAAGTAGGTCAGGGCGATCGCAGCTGAACCGTGGGCACCAATAGCTGAAGTGGACTTAAGGAATTGTTAAAGGTACTATGCAAATGCCATTGTATCTGTTGACTAGATGTAAAATATGTCTTTCTTAATTAGTAAAATAAAATTATTAATTAGTTAAAAAAAAACCCTAGATTGCCAGTACCATAGTGAATTAAGATGGCCTTTTACGAAAGCACATCCTACAAGATTGACAATTTTTTTTTAAATAAACTAGCTAATTAGTAATTTATCAGTCTCTGGATTATCTGTCACGCTGTTTACCTTAAAGGGAAAAAGGCATGAAGCTAATGTTAAAGTCTTTTTGTGTTATTGCAATGAGCATAGATAAGACCAATGGCAAAAGAGAAATATTAATTTGTTGTTAGACAGACAGCAGATTTAACATACTAGATGGAAAAATAACATAAAAGAATAAAATAAAAAATTGAAAATATCAAATATGTATGGACATGGTACACAATCGACACTAATTATATATGTATGCGTGTGTATGTATATGCGTGTGCGTATGTGTGCGTGTATGTGCGTGTGTGAATGATGCAACACGAAGTTATTTCTTATCGATGATTATATGGTATGTACATGACACTAATTATAAAAGTTAGGTATTGTTTCTTAACTGTCATAGACAAAACCATTAACTACACAAAATAGAACGGTTAATAAAAAAAATATTAATCTTTAGACACTTGACAATTTACTTAATTTGACACAGAAATATTATGAAAATATGAAAATAATATTCCAATATGTTAGTGTGTGATTTAAAATTTCGAACCATTAATAACTTTAATGCGCATACCGCTATTTATTATATATTAACCATAGAAAGGGGTATAGTGTAGATTGTTTATGATAACATGGAAAGCCCCTCCAAAATCCAAAAAAAAATTTTATTTACACTTTATTGCATCATTTATAGACTAGTAAATACATTTAACTGTAATGAGAAATGATACAAAAGGCGACCTTATCGCTAAGGAATCTCTTCCAGACAACCTTTGATTAGAGGACATTGAGACTAGAAAGAAAAACAAAGGTTAGGTGGCGCACTATTATATATAAACAAATTAAAAATGCATGATTAAAAATATTTATAAGGTTTCGACACAGGAATATAATATTAATATTCCTCTAGCCGGAACGCTACCGAAGACCACCACCAACCACCACGTACCACGTCTATATATGATTACACACATTGAAGTAAAAAGTTGGAGGAACGTGCCATATCACCATCGAGTATCTATACTTATTTTTAATACTACATTCTTATTGTGTGCGTGTGTGTATGTGTATGCGTTTGCGTGTGTGTGCGTGCGTGTGCGTGTGTGTGCGTGCGTGTGCATGTGTGTGTTTGCGTGTGTGTGTGTGCGCGCGTGTGTGTGTGTGTGTGTGTGCGCGCATGTGTGCGCGTGTGTGTGCGTGTATGTGTGTGATGCGACACGAAGTTATTTCTTGTCGATGATTATATGTACATGACATTACAACAGTGGTTAATAAAGGATACAAATCAAAGAGACAGTAGGTGAGAACATTGTTAGCCCAAGCACGAATGTTGTCATCTCCAACAGCACTAGGGCTATTGAAGTTGCGAAGCCCGCTACCAATCTGAAATCATGCACATGCGGTTACTGAACAACCCCACATTTAAAACCTGACTAGCTTTAACCCGTGACTTTGTCCGCCTATTCGAATTATGTTAACTGGCCGAGAAAAATAATAACCTTCGTCCTTGGTGGAGAAGGATTATTAGTAATGGGGACGTTAATCCTCATTGCTAGCAATATATCCTGTCAGCTCGATCTCTTTGCGGCTCCCCCTGGAAATCGTGATAAATTATTATCGAATTCCTCACGATTAACCAACTAACCTCATCCTCACCTACCATCCGTCACTGGTGCCTCGTCAGCATATACTGTTAGTGCATGCGGGATTATGATTCCATTATCACCCATTAAAAAAAAAGCTTTCGGCCTTCTCCATGCAAAATAGTACATGTACCAAATTTCATGAAGTGTGGTCGAGTCGTTAAGACACCAAATAAATAAATGTTAATAAATAAATAAATAAACAAACACACTTTCATTTATAACACTAACTTTTACCAGAGACTTCGTCCACAGAGTATATTAACTGAGACGTCGACAATAAAAATGAGGTATGTATATAATGGATACCAATCAACTCTGAGGTGGGCACAGCCCACTCGGCAATTGTTTAGTTCATGCCCCCGCCAAATCAGCTTCAAGCTTATATTGTATAGGTGAGTCTCCTACTTCACTATCTCGCTCCAACATATACATGTTATATTTTTCTCTTTTATTATACATTGCCAACTTTTACTAAACCTTTATGAGAATAAGAAAATTAATCAAAAAATAATGAGACATCGTATCTACTATCCACACCGAACGTGGCCGAAGTTAGTAGCATAATTAGCTGACACATATAAGTCTGAATGATTGATAACTTATATACAAAGTAACTATAAGATACATTTCAAAACGCCAAGGTAGAGAGATATAACCTTGTCGTTTAATGTAAACAGGATTTTAATGGTAATTGTTAATACCTTATTAAAAATTTTGTACATATGTAAATATATTTATAAATAAATACACATAAAACAACAAAAATGAAATGAATTTATTTTGAAAGAATGCAAGTCTTACTTAAATAAAAGGAATGACCACTTCCTCCGTAGAGGAATATATATATATATATATATATTGGCGATTTTTATTTGAACTATTTTAAATTAAGTTCAAATAATTCTGACAATATTATTACTAGTACTAAAATCATATATTTTTGAGTAACAATTTTGTTCTTCAGAAAACAAAAAAAAAGCTGATTAATTCTATCGAAAGAAAAGGCAAGATTTGTTAAAAAAAAAATTGAATTAAAATCGAATCAGAATTAACAAGGATATCGCGTAACATAAATAAACAAAACACAAAAAAAAACATACACTCTTTTGAAGTCGGCGGCAAATTTTCTTTACGCCACCTTACAGTACCAATTGAGTCGATGGCCTACCTAACCAATACTTGACAGCTCTATGGAATCACAAAATGCGACGTTATGCCTATGGTACCATTCATGCGTTGTCATTCGTAGAGATTAGTGTTTGAAGTCTTTTTTTATGCTACTTAGAATAGCAAACAAGTTGACGGCCCACCTAATAGAAAATGGTAACCGTCGCCTATAGATATGAACAGTACTATGGACATAACAGGATATACTGTTTTGCCCATGATACTCTCCATTCGTTGCCATTCTGAGGACTCAGGTGTTATTTCTCTGTACCCTGTAAATCCACTGCCATATCCCACTCTTCAAACCGAAACACAGCCATGCAAACACAACTGCTTCACGGTAGAAACACAAATAACACAGAGGTACCCAAGCAAACGATTTTTGTACAAAGTCTCCCTCTGGTGACATTAACAAACAAAATATAATTAACTAATATCTATGATAAACTCCATCCCCCTTATTCACAACAACTAAAACGTCCCACAAGTCTACTTTAACTATTAGAGTATTTTGTCACTGTCTTTTAAATTGCGAAATTAGTGTAATAGAAAAAGACAAAACACTTCAATAGCTAAAGCAGATTTATAAGAAATTAGACATTTCTATGTATAAAAGAGCATCATATCTATGTACAGCAGTGGACAGGTAATGGCTGAGATAATAATGATGATGTATTTACCACACAAAAATTATGTAGTTAATTAACATTCAAACACAACACAGAAGAAACAGATAAATAACAGTTAATAACCTTTTTCTCCTCATGTTGGCGTAACATTTTACAATTCACAAATATAATTATTTCACTAAAACACTCCACTCGACTTAACTCAATACCCAGCAACGCATTAATGAGTACCTAACAGTAACTACAAGCGATTTCTGTATGTAGTTCTGTGTGTACAACCACCTTGAACTCCGGGTCTTACATTACCTTATAATACGTACGCACCTACACGTTGTATTATCCTTATTTATATTGTAAACAGAGCCCGATTGGGCAATTTTGCCGCTTCGGGCAAAAATAGTATTTCCAACTGTAATCGTCTTCTGTGAATCGCTTTGTTTGTACTCGACGTTCAATATTACCTTATAAAATATACGTGGATACATATTGAGTTATTTATTCTTATTTTTGTCGAAACAGTGGTCTATCTAGCAATTTTGCCGCTATGGGCAAAAATAATATTTACCCCCTTTTTGCCACCCCACATTTTGACCAATTTCTTTTATAGGTGGGTTTCTGTTGGAGGATGAAGTTAGTCCATCATGTTAAGGTCCCCCACTCTGGGCATTTGCCTAGCAACGCTTTAAAAAAAGACCATCCGATTCAAGAGGCCACGCCTCTTCAACCGACTTCAAAAAGCAGTAGGTTCTCAAATCGATTTTTTGTTTATCCTTTGTTTTTCTTACCCCGATATTTCCGTCAATTGTAAACCGATTCCAAAATTTATTTTTTTTTATCTGAAAAAATATACTTTCAGATTGGTCCCATAGAAATTTTATCAAAATCGGTTCAATAGTATTTAGATCAAAATAACTGGTTTGGCCCAATTGAAATCGATTTTTTTGGGAGCACAATCTTTAATTACCATATCGGATACTGGCTTTTATCCAGATAATACATTTTATCCACGACTTCACATGACCAGGACACGTTGATTGTCCGGGATAAATAATATATATTTTTCTCTATTCCAAATAGTACATGTATAATAAATCCCAAATCCAAGCCAATGGATGCCCTAATATTTCATTTGTATTAAAACGTAAATATATAATTCTACGAACGAGTTAATGGTTTCGTAACCAAAGGTCATCATTCATTGCGTAAGTTTATCAATATAGAAACATTCTTACGTTATAAAAAGGATCTCTTTTATTTATATATTTAATAATTAAATAACGGGCCATTGCCCATTAAACATATATTTATACATAATGGGAGCCACAGACAGCCCTCTACGTCGAGGCTGTTTTGACGCCGAAAAAATAGCTTCTCACGTAATCCTAGAAAGCGAAGCCGAGTTGAGGGGCCCAATGTTTAGAAATCCTCGGAATGGTGAGATCGCTCCATGAGGCCTGTGAAGATCCCAGGAAGCTTCTGTACTTCTGGGCGGAGCTGGGATGGCTGTACTAGCCACGACTCATACGCACAACGATCCAAATGAGAGGCTAAGCACGGAAAAGGGTTCAATTTACATGTATTTTTTAGAAAATGGTCTTCAGTTTCCTGAATTGTTTTTCATCGTCATTGACGTGTAATGAAACGTGTAATTTTATATCAGACGTAGACTGAGGTCAAAAGCATGACTGCAATGTTATTACTAAGTATCTACATCGTAGATACTTTATAAGAAAACTATAGAAGATGAGTGGAAAGTACATACCAAAACTTTCCAGAATGTCACCTTTGTGGTATGCACTGGTAGACAGTGTGATAATGGCCACTATCCTTGTTAAAGCATAGACATACTTATCCGTCATAATCTACAGGTGTAGTAGTGACACGAATTAGAATAACAAGAACTGGTTTTATGGGCATGAGCATTTCTTCCACTTGATCATTCAACGATAAGTGATGGTCTTGAAGTATGTTGGAAGTGCATAATAAGAACATGGCAACGACACGAGTAGCATACGTGGAAACAGATGGCCCATTGTTCACTCGCGGCGTGACGAATTGAGGTCAGACACGCTATATGCAGCGTCATCGCAGCTAGGTATCATACAGTCCTTACCGCGACCCCCTTCGATTAAGCGTTATCTGTTGTCTGTCTTCAATACTGAATAACGACTAAAATAATCTAAACAGGCACTGTGAAATCTTCTTCTTCCTACTCTTATCCCAATTATTATATGGGGTCGGCGTAATATATTCTTTATTCATATTACAAAATGATTTGGCTTAGTTTTACGACCGGCCACCTGCCTGACGTCAACCCTCTTTGGGAATGCTTTTAATAATAAGAGGAATGGACTTATGTGGAAAGGAAAAGGAAGGGAGGACATTGCTGATGCGGAAAGGACTGGGGCACTGTAGCGGCTCGGGAGGCCAGGGTCGCATACCCGTATACACTTATTCTAGAATCGAAGAATAAAATCTAGACAGATTTCTAGAGAACATCCTGACGTGTGAAACAGGCACTGTGAAATATATATAGGATTAACTGAGAAATCCTATACACTGATTGGATTAGCGATGTAATTTCATTGCCTGGATTTAAATTCCTGAATATTTTATTCCAGTTGGAAGGACACAGCCGAGCCGTAGATTAGATCGCTAAATTGAAATATTACTGGACTGGAATAATGTAAACCTGGCATTATAAACGAAATAACTGAAATGATCAACTGCAATTACTTTTTTTCAAAACCTTTCTTCATAACATTGATAACAAGACTCGTAAAATCAAAATGGTCTAACGTTAGAGATGACTGTTTGTTCGCATCGAGTACAAGGCAAATCAAGTGTTAGAAAGTGGTAACCATCACCTATAGACGTGAACATCATATTAGAATCGAGCGACGCGCCTCAGCTTCGCACGGTTAGATATATAGAACAGCAATTCCTAAAGTAAGTACCGCGAAATTTAGGGGTTCCGTAAAAAAAGCCACCAAGATAATGCGAAATTATTTATGCAGTGAAACAACTTCATTCTTCACATAAAAAATTAAAGAAAACTATAAAGTTAATTATACTTTTAAAATATTTCTAATAAAAGCTTTTGTTTTTATTTAAATTACAGTGTTTTTGATTTGTAATTGTTTGATATGGGGTTCCATAAAATAAAAGGTATTTGGTAAGTAGTCCGTTATCTTAAAAATTTAGAAACCCCTGATGTAGAGGATATGGACGAAAAAAAATATTTTCGTATTTTTTCGTTCACGGTAGAGGATCTCTAATTTATTTTTAAAAATAAAAACTGTTCATGTTGCTCGCTGGCAATGTAGCTCTCTTTAGTAATGGAGATTAGCAATCCCATTACTAGTAATATACACTATTAGGTCGACCTCCAAGCGGTTCCCTTTGGAAATCATTATGATTGATTTATTGTGAAATTCGTTACAATGAACCAAGTGACCTGTTTCATCATCGTAAACGCTAGTGGATCATCAGTGAAAGATGATAGATAGATGAAGATGAAATCAAGTCATTTGCTGTAATGAATTCCACAAGAATTAATCACAATGGTTTCCAATGTGAATCGCGTAGAGTCCTAACAGAGTATATTGCTGGCAATAGGACTTTTAGACCCCCATTACTAACAATCCCTTTCCCCTCCAGACGTTATGCCGCCGGAACTTGAAACATGGATTGTACCTTCCGCCGAAACCTAGAAAACAGCATGTCTATATGACAAGATTACATCCTTACTTACCTATGTAACGTCAAAGAACTTACAAGAAATTAAGTTACTTGACAATAAACAAGTAATTTTTTTTTACATACCTCACTTGAGGCAGTTGAACCCATAAATCGAGTTTCTACAATCTTGTTATGCGGATCAATCACTTAACACAAAATGCATTTATCTCATGTAGTTATTCTATTTCCCGCACTATCTGGCTGTAAATAATTAAACCATGAAGATACACAAAGCACTTCAAAAAAGAAGCGCCAAAATTACCTACTTGACACCGTTCGGTCCGAGTAACCGAGGACGCATTGCAGAAATGACATCGAACGCTGGTCATAATACCTCGTATTTGGTAAACATAGCATTACAATTGCAATATAACTAAACTTCACTGGATATGAGTTCAGTGATCGTTTGTAGGGTTGCCCACAATTCTGGATTGATTTTCAAAATGAACGGAAGTGGCATACGAAAAACATCTGCACTCAGCAAAAATGAGAACGGTGAGATGGATATGTTTTTTTATGCAACTTAGAATAGCAAACAAGTTGACGGCCCACCTGATGGAAAGTGGTAACCGTCGCCTATAGACATGAGCAGTACTATGGACATAACAGAGTACACTGTTTCGCCCATGATACCACCCATGCGTTGCCATTCCTGAGGACTCAGGTGTTATTTCTCAGATGAATATGTGAAATAACAAGGATGTATCAAATAAGGACAAACGAGGAACTTCGAAAGTACCACAAATGACTGATAATAGGCAGGTGCCTGTTGTTTTTTAGACCGCGCTTCCGCTATCGGAATACGTTGACCAACCACCGGTAAGATCTTTATATGTAATATTCGTCAGATCCGTCAGTATTCTACGACTATAATAGGCGAAATTAAAACCAAATTAAAGGCTTATTGTAACGAAATTGACAATAATTAATTACAATGGTTTCCTACTAGGAGGTCGAGCTGAATATACCCTGTATACGCCTGCGGAGTACCAGTGAGGGGTGATAATTAAGGATGAACGTTAGGCCCATTGTGACAAATTCATCACGAATGCAGGCGCTTGGTCAAGCAAACAAGATGAAAGCCTTCCTTAATTAAAGCTATTTTCGGGGCTTCTGAGACAGTCTAGACTCAATACGAACTACATTTTCAATCACGAAACCATGTATACTATCACTACGTCTGCTACCATCGGGACTACTTACGCCTTTTGCTTCCTCCACATTCATGACGGTATATATTTATAGCTTATACAATATACATATAAAAAAAGATTTTTTATTTGTAAATTTTAATGATAGCTACTTAATCACATCGTTGAATATACCGTGTGATCCCGGCATAGGATGAGCCACCTCTTTCCCGTGGATGTCGTAAGAGGCGACAAAGGAAACTTAATACTCGAGAAATAGGCAGCAGCTCGGTTGCCACTTCGCCTGTCAAGCGTGGCATCTATTGGCAAAGCCCAACAAATAGAGGAAGGTATATGTGCAGCAACGGACAGTTAATGGCTGATTGAATATTCGTGAATATATGTAATTCAAATTAACCTTTTGCCCTTTTATTTTCTTTGTATTGGAAACAAAAAGTAGGTTCATTCAATCCATGTAAATGTTTAATAAATTAAGCGACTTCTAAAAGAAGGATTTCTGAATTCGTTTGTATTTTTATGTGTGTATTTTACACAATATCTTATTAATTATGTTTATTTACATTAATACTGAATACCTACATATTTTGATAACTTTTCTCATATATATTATACTTACCCTATAAAGCTAGATAATCTGTGTTGGATATTTGGAAGTCGTCAATCCACTCACAGGAATCCATGAACAGAAATCCAAGGAAACATGCTGACCAGACAATTTTGTATAGTTAATTTTAAATTTTCTGATTATTGCCACATATTTTAAATACACTATCAGGACTTAAAGCGACGAAGGAATTTGCAGGTAAATAGTACCTACATACCTAAATTTTTATTGCCAACGTTTCGACGTGTAAATGAAACGTGTTTAAAAAAAACATATTTAAGATTTTGTATAGTGCTTTATAAGGAAAATTATTTGTTAAAATTAATCCTTTTTATTAGAAATTGACAGATAAGTGATAACCAAACGTCCAATGAATCAGCCCTGCCACTTACAAACGTATTGTAAAAGGTACACATGTGGAACAATGGTGTAGTAAATCAAACACAGGTCCCAGTTAACTGGATTTAACCAGTTCAAACTACAGTCAATCTGATGTATATTTCAAATGAGCAGTTATTATAAACATCTGGTGTTAAACTTATGTTTGAGATTATACCATAAAATGGGAAAAATGGATTCCTTAATATAATATTGTTCATTGGTTTATCAATGCCTTCTTTAGCTATATTATCAGCGTAAAAAGTAATAAATCTGTGTATTTAATCTATGATAAGTAGGTAAGAAAGCAAAGGAAGGTAGAGTTATCACCCTTATGTTTGTACCTCATATCGGTATCGAATTTGGAAAATTACTTTTTTATATGAAAAAATATACTTACAGACTCATCTCATAGAAAAGTTATCAAAATCGGTTCAGTAATTATTATGTCTAAATAACGGGTTTCACCACAATTGAAGTACATTTTTGGTAATATTATTTTCAGCCATCATTCTTAATTTTATAATTTTGTCATCCCTATTTTTTGTTCTAGATAATTGCATGCGAATATTTATATTCAAGTACGATTACTTCTAAGAAATAACTCAGGAATTCCTTTACAGTTATATCCATTCGACTATGGAATAGTCTGCCATAGGAATCGGCATATAGTTTTAAGCGTCGTCTAAGAGAGCATTACTTATCACTATGTACATATGTGTATATATATGTATGTGTATATGTATGTTTGTGTAAATATATGTGTATGTTTACCTTTTCATAATTTAGACTCTGCTACCTGTGTGCTTCATAAAAAATGTGAAAATTTATCAAAGTACTTTCATAACATAAATATAAATAGATCTAATTGCAAATTGAACAATTTGTTTTATTTAACATATTACATAACTTTCTACTATAAATTCATGTACATAAATCTGATTGTAGTTTTTTAATAACTTAAATATTTTGCTTGTTGCATATATCCTATAGAGACAACCATTATATCAAACATTTGGATATTTGATATAATCCATCCATAAGACATTGTTTATCAACATTAAACTTCAATTACCAATGACTGTTTTCTAAATATTACCCAACCAATATTACACAAGGAAATATCAAAATTGTAATTGTAATGATCACAATTTATAAAACATATAATATATACAAATAACAAATAATAAAAATATACAAATATAAAAAGTAAATTATGTGAGTGATACATATTTTAGCCATCTTTTTATTTTGGTCTTAACTCTCAATTTCGCTTATGTGTTATAAATAAATTTGTAAAGATCTAGAAATGTTAAATCACACTTAAACTATTGAAAGGATTTTAATTTAATAGCTTTTTATCCCTATTCATACAATCAAAAGGAGAAAATATACTAATAGTTTAAATAATTATTATAATTTATTATAGGTTATTATTATGTATCAGATGATTAGACTACCATTTACCTACTATCCGGCAGACCACAACACTTACCTGCTTATGTTGTAGTATAAAAAAGAAGCAAACTGTTTATAAAATACTATAGATATTTCTATTACTGCTTATTAGAATTATTAAAAATAGTACATAGATAATGTACTCATGATTTGTCATAATGATATGATATGAATATGAAATTATTAGTGACATCAAACACCTGAATTCCTTATCAAGCTCACCTTATTTTTTTGAAATCAGTTTTATACAGGTAAAACAAATATCCTTATAATATATATATATATATACACGAGATATTACAGCGTGGCAAATCACCCCCCAATTGTAAACTGTCATAAGATGACCGAAAGCCATATAACAGATGACTAATCCTTTTCATCCCCATAATATTCATTAAAATACACAATACGTTAATGCAAGGTATAAGGGAAGAAAAACCATAGACCAAGACAACCAGCCTGCAATAAGCACAATTTATTTTAAACATAATATACAAAGGTGAACTTATCTCTAATAAGAGATTTCTTCCAGGAAACCTTTATTACTATTATTCATTCAGTTCTTATGTATGGATGGTAATGAAATGTTTATGGGCTGTTGTCATGGTGATATATCTGCAGTATAAATTCAAAACAAGAAATAGAGTCACACATTGTCCATTGGCCTTTTTTTAGTATGGACCTGTTCATATAAATTGCTGTAATATTGTCAATAAATCCAGTGTAATTATATTGTTACTGTAATAAACTGATTTTTTAAACAGTTTTAGTCTAAATGAAATCTGAGATAATATAATGCATATTAGATTATATAATCTTATTTCATAAAACTCGTAAAACCTAGTTACATATTGCATATTTGGGTCAGTGATTAGCTATTAAACTTAGCAACATAATACATTAGCATATTTTGGTAAAATCTTAAAAAAAAAGTTTATTGTAAATTAATAATTGGTGTCTGTGATAAACAACAGACATATTTTAAGCTACAAGGGCAAAAAGACAATGGGTCTTTGCACTCACCGGGTGTGATATATCGGGATATAGCTGTGGTGTTGGCTCGGTGTGCAATGACGAACAGTCTGTTTGCTTTCCCATAATAATGTCACCAGCACACAGAGGTGGCCAACAAGGGTCAAAAAGCGTGCTGGTATCAATGTGCTAGCACCTCGCATGCCTTTTTAAAATTATTATAATGAACAAGAATAAAATATCGAAATCGTAACACTCACGACACGACACGAATTTCATATGTTTGTGATGTTTGTTTTTTTTTTTTTTGTTGTGAATAATACTGACTGTCAAGGTGACGGCAGACAGATGTCAGCAATAGTTCGACATAGATAAAGAATTATTAATATTTGTCTAAAAAATAACTTTGTTTATGAACTCACTTTATAATCTTACCTACTAGTCAAGTATATAGTTGAAGTTGATCATCTTGTCACTGTCAAAGTCAAACTGTCAGTGTGAAGATTATAAATTTCATTAATTAAATTATAAATAAAAGCTACACAAATTTGTATTTAATCCATTAGGGTTTGAATAAAAATTAAACTAAATACAAACAAATGAAGCTCTTAAAACCCAGTTGGGTGAATCACGATGGTAAATATAAATTTCCTTATTGTTATTCATTCAAAGATTTTCACGATTTTTCAATACTTATAAAAATGTTTTTATGTAACAAAACTATTTTATTTGGTAAATAGAACTTTCTAATATTCTATTAAAACTTATCTCTTTTAGATAAACCAATCTTTTCTGTGGATATCCATCCTACTGGAAAACGCTTTGCAACCGGCGGACAAGGCGGCGACTCTGGCCGTGTGGTTGTATGGAATCTCAATTCGGTCCTGTATGAGTCTGTTGAGGTAGACCCCAATGTGCCCAGAATGCTATGTCAAATGGACAATCATTTAGGTAAGTTTAATAAATTTATAGGTTAATATAAAACTCTTGTACTCTTAATGGGTATTTAATTGTTAATTTAATTTAATTGATGATAAATATTTACTTAAAAAGATTTTATTTTTTGCTTAAAAAATATAATCTTACAGGCAATTTAGATTAATGTTATTATTTTTTGTCTTAAAAAAAGATTAACTGCTTCAAAAACATATTTTATCATCATTTTAAAATAGAATCAATTATACATTTTCATAAAAAGACATTTTCTAGAATGTAACATTTCAAAAAAGCTCTTAAGAGTACCAATCAGTTTTTTGCACTATGTTCATATTAGCTTTTATCTGTGTCTTTATATGACTAGATTATGTTTACTAATAGAAAAAAAGTAACTTATCTCCTCTATTCAATATAATACCTGTATACCAAATTTCATACTAATTGGTTAAGCCATTAAGACACTGAAATGTAACAAACAAACATACTTTTACTTTTATAATAATAGTAAATATTGCTGTATATTTCTTTTTCAGCATGTGTAAACTGTGTAAGATGGAGTAATGGTGGTCGTTACTTGGCATCCGGAGGTGATGACCGCCTAGTTATGGTCTGGGGGTTGAGTGTGGCTGCTGGAACATCTGGTAAACACAAAGCTGAAACTTGGAGATGTCTATCCACACTACGAGGTCATGCAGGTAGATAAAAATTATTATTATTGGTACTTATTCCATATTTTCAAGAACAAAACTGCATCCATTACTCTAGTTCATATCATATGTCATAAGATCCTTGAACCACAAAGTACAGTAAAATATAAATAAAATAATAAAAAAAATAAGTGCAATACACAATACCTCTTTCATTTTCTTTAATGTATATAGCTGCCAATTACAATTTTAGGCACAAACTCGGTAAACTCATGGTAGATCTCTAATTGTCAAGATATAACATATATATATATATATATATATATATATATATATATATATATATATATATATATATATATAGTTGTATAATAGATTAATAATTAATAATAATTGATATCAATAAAACTTCAAACTTTTACATTCTTTGATATAGATGTAACTATTTATAAAAAAAGAAATCACATCTATCATAGATTTTATGTGTTAATATAAATAAATGCCCTTGAACATTTACATACAGCCAAAATCAAAATAATTCCAAAAATATTACTTATCAGTAGTTTTTTTAATAACTTCCATCCATAATGTTTGCAGGTGATGTCTTAGATCTAGCATGGTCACCATTGGACAAATGGTTAGCAAGCTGTAGTGTCGATAACACCATAATAATCTGGAATGCAGAAAAGTTTCCAGAAATGGTCTGTGTATTGAGTGGACACACTGGCCTTGTTAAGGGTGTTGCTTGGGATCCAGTGAGTTTAGATTTTCTTTTTTAATTATAAAGTTACTGAATAGAAGCTGATTTAGTAATTGTACCATATATTATTCAATTGTTTATAGGAAGCTGTGACTTTTGTATTAAAGCACACCTTATACTTTTTTTTATTTTATTAAACATTTGAATTTTTTTAGTAAATAGAAGATGTAAAATCTGTCATCACAACAATGAATATAGTCATGAACTTAATTATATTGTGCATAAGTTAATTTCATTTTTTTAGAAAAATAAAATATTTTGAACTCATTAAGAGAGAATAACCAGCATATGATCTCCATGATAGTAAGCGGCCAACACTACATTGCAACTCTATAATTGCTACTGCCTGTAATATAAAAAACTGAGTCATACATTCTAATTTATTCTAATTTTCAATTCTAAAGTTATTTTATTCATTGTAGGTTGGTAAATATATTGCATCTCAATCAGACGACAAATCATTAAGGGTATGGAAGACAGCAGACTGGGCACAAGAAACTGTTATAACTGAACCATTTGAGGAGTGTGGAGGTAAATGTTAATTATTAACCATTCATTATAGATCTGTTAAAATTGATGTTGTGCTAAGCTGCGTACTGATGGAGCTAAGCATTGTCTGATTGTTTTTATACAACTTGGAATGGCAAATAAAGAGCTGATGGCCTACCTAGTGGAAATTGGTAACCATCACCAATAGACATGAGCAGCACCAAATTATCAGATCATTCTTTAATGCTCATGGTAATTTTACTGCTTTCAGACACATTTTGTAATCTCTCACATCCTAGTTACATTCTTGAATAAAACTCAAGTGTTCTAGATTTTTCTTGACACTTCTTATCCTATGTTTAAACTATTAAATTATATAATATTATAGTGACATTTATTTTAAATTATAAAAGTGTTCCTTCTTGGTTCATCATCAGACTATTCCAATTCACTTCTGGATGTAGGACTTTCTTTTAACCAATTTTTTCCTGCTATCTTGGAAAGATCGGCGGCCCATTAGTAGGAGGTCGCGGACGCCGTCGGAGGCCTCTTCTAAAGTTTTTTTCCCACATATGTCGTCCCACCTACAGATGAGACTGTCCCTCTGTCACTTCAACTGGTAAACTTATTTACTTACGTAGGGCTATATCAACTATCTTAAATGGTTGACTTTAAAAAAATATAATCGAGTGTGGTGTGACGGTGTGCAGGCACAACGCACGTGCTGCGGTTGTCGTGGTCCCCCGACGGGCAGTACGTGCTGTCGGCGCACGCGATGAATGGCGGCGGGCCCACGGCGCAGGTCGTCGAGCGCGACGGCTGGCGCTGCGACAAAGACTTCGTGGGACATCGCAAGGCCGTCACTTGTGCGGTCAGTGTTTACAATAGAATCTCCAATTCATATTTTTTTTGTGATTTAAAACTTAAGGATCGTTATTGAGTCTTCCCTAGTTCTCATACGACTTTTGAATTTTAATTCACTCCTACCTCCAAATGCCAAGATTTTGACGGAATAAAATTCTATAGGAAGAAATAAAAGAATTATCTTTTTTCTCATCCTATCGCAAAAATACTATCACCGCCATGCAATATTGGAAGACTTAAGAGGGCAGAAGTCTCTATAAAAAATGCCTCATGAAAAATAAATTATACGGGACAGGAGCAATGGCCCTATTCTCTATAAAATAGTATATGTAACTTAACACAATTGGTTATAGTTTAGACGAATTGCAAATCCTACTAATATTAAGAGTAATTTCTGCATTTTTAATATTATAAATACGAAAATTTATAATAATAAATGGATGGATGTTTGTTACCCTTTCACGCAAACAATACTGAACGGACTTAAATGAACTTTGGTACATGGTTAGTTTATATCTTTATTTAGAACATAGGGTACTTTATGTAGTAATTCGCGCGAATGAATCTGCAAGATACAGCTAGAATATTAATAAAAAGAGAAAAAAAATTTCTTTCTTTCAGAGATTCAACAACAACATATTCGTAAAGGAAGGCAAGAAGTGCTGCTGCGCGGCGGTGGGGTCCCGGGACCGTGCTCTATCTATTTGGCTGACGTCGCTCAAGCGGCCTCTAGTGGTGGTACACGACCTCTTCAGTGACAGCGTTCTGGACCTCTCTTGGAGCTCTGACGGTCAGTAATAGACATTGTGCTGCAGTTATTATATACCATGCGACGTCTAAAAATTTAACTAAAAAATAGGAAATATTTCCATTCTGTGCATACATTTTTTAATACTAGTCCACAATCCGGGCATCGCATGTTGTTTTTAATAAAATATAGCCCATTATACTCACTGAAAGTGTAGCTTTGTATAGGTGAAAGAATTATTAAATTAGTTAAGATTTTTCTTTATTATATCTATTACAAACAAAAATCAAATTTTTCCTCTATATTAGTTAAATAACATAAATTGTTTGATGTAAGCGTTTTACCATTTAACATGTGAAAGGAAAGATATTGAAGGAATCGATCATGATCCCTTCGTAATGTTGAATAACCTTCCACAAGAAGTGAGCTATCAAATGCAAAAATATTTTTTTCAAATCTGACTGAAAGTTCTAAAAATTACTAATTTCAAGAATAAACAAAACTTCCTTTGTGTAGTAAACATGATAAAAATAAAACTTTTGCTTTTATTGTATCAATATAGATAATTTCATATTCCTATGAAATACTTTTCAGGGTTAAATCTTCTGGCTTGCAGCTCGGATGGTACAGTGGCTTGCATTCAGTTCACCAATAAAGAAATTGGCACCCCACTAACCATGGATGAAAAGGTATATACATATATGGCCTTCCTAACAATAATGTTCTATATAAACGTACTATCTATCCCCAGCATAAAATGTGCCACCTCTACCTATCCCGTGGGTGTCGTCAAACGCGGCTAAGAAAACTTAAGTGTCGAGGGATTGTCATCAGCGTCTTTCAAAATATCACTAAAGCCCAACTGCAATTGGCAACCCACCTGCCAAGCGTGGCACCCATTTGCAGAACCCCCCAAATAGGGGAGACCTATGTTCAGCATTAAACAGATAACGTTTGATATAATGTTACAAACGTTTAACAACTGCGTGATGATGATTATGATGAGTCCTGAACGTTTGCGCTCACGGTGACCGCTTTGATTCTGCTATTAAATAATAAAATTAAACAAACGTATAGTTATACAGTGAATAATCGGCCCCAATCTATAGACTGTACACATGTACAGTCTGTACATTGTATAAACTGTACATCTATGCATTGTGGCCGATTCCGACGCGCCTTTACTCTAAACTTATGTCTAAAATTAAAATTTCAATTCGATACCACAGCAAAATCTTTATTATAAAAACCAATATGAACTAATTGTCCAATAGATTTAATCAATATGATTATTATTTCAAATGTAGCCATAAAAAAGTGATTTCCCGAATGTTTCAAATTAAAATATTAGATTAAGAAAAATGACATTTCAGAATCGGCCCCATTGTTGCCATTAATAAACGGTGCTTAGCCATTGTATAGTTGTCCATCTGTTAAGCCAAAACTAATAAAAAATTCTTTAATCAGGTTATCAGGATCCAATAATTTTTTACACAGATTATTACAATTGCAACACTAATTTTTATTAATTAGTGGCAACACTAGATACTGCCGTTTTGAAACACCAATGCGTTATACTTTTGAATAATTTAATATAGTCATATAAAATCAAATAAATATAAATAACAAATTAAATAGATCTTAAATGGGTTAGAAAGCAAACTTTAAATGCTAATTTATTTTCTACTATGCGTATTATTTAATATAATCGGAAAGTTTACTGTAGTAGTGATGTAAAATGTCAGTGTGTTAGCTTTGGAACGTTATGTCAAATTAAAAAAAAAGTTGGAACTGCTTTACCGTGTGTCGCGCTGGTGCTGTTTGTGGTTTTTATTTTAATTTTATGTTAAGTTTTTTTTTTTTTATTATTTATTACACTTAGATGGACAAATAAGCTGACAGTAACATTATTACTTAATGTTTTCTTTTATTAATTCCATAATTCTGTAGATATATATTTTAGGAATGAATATTTGTTTTGAAATGGTCAGTTTCATCTTTCAATTGAAATGAGTCATACTGGTTTTTGTCTGTTTTTTTTAAAGGCGGTTTTGCAGTGTCTAATTTTTCCAATAAGGCCAAATAATGTACATAATTGATTATAAAAACTTGATAGGACGTTCTAATCTCAGAAGTATCTTAAAAATAAGAAACTAAATGTGTTTTTATTGTTGAAAGTTGTTAAAAGTTTGAACAATTGGCGAAACTATATTTCGGCTGTTATTACATTGTGTCCTTTGTCTGTATAACAGATGTGCACTTCTTCATAGTACTTGTAAAATCGTTATAACTATTGCACAACAAAATCGAGGATTGATGACTAATATGGAAAGTTCTAGAACTTTTATAAGGTTATAATAATAGTCGCAAGCGTATGCGCAGCGGAATTAAACAAAATAATTATAGTCTAATTCAGTAAAATATTAACAAAGATCAGTCAATAGTCGTTTATTAATAACACCGATCTTAGAACTTTAGTATATATTATGTAAATGTATATGTTTTTTTTTTATCTTTTTTATTTAGAGGCTTTCATCTTATAAGGATATGTCAGCCTCATCATACTCTAATTTTATAAAATACCTCACATACTTAAAACGTTGATACATAAATAAATAATACATAAATATCTTAGTAGGCTATTTTCATAAAGAGAATTATTGATACAAAAATATGGTAATTAAAGATTTTGCCATTCCGGAATGTGGTTCTGCGAGTATATTTGAAAATAAACCAATCTCCTGTCTATTGAGACTATATTTCTGTATCAATACTTCCCTTTGTGTTTTGTATTTCGTACATTCAAATATCATATATGTATGATAAATGTATATGTTGTATATGTGTGTACTGTTACTAATACGTCATTTATTCGATATTTATTAGTGGAAACAAAGAGTAAATTTATAAATAGGTTATTCAAATGTTTTTTTTTAAACACAGAATGCTTTCTACGAGAAAATCTATGGAAAATGTCTGGCCAACGAGTCTGGAGGAGACCTGTCCACTAATCTCCTGGTCGAGTGTCCTGAAATCTTGCTAGCCAGAGAGAAGCAAGAAGCTAAGAAGGAAGCTATCAAGGAGGACTCTATGCCTAAGAGCGAAAAGTCTCAGGTAATGTATGGAAATGTGAATTGCCAAGCAGTGCAAATACTTGGAAAACCCCCCAAGGGGTAGGATAATGTTCAGCAGTAGATACTTAAAGGCTGATATGAGAATAATATTGTCATTAAGTTTTAAAGAAGCAGACAATAGGTAATCTTGCAACCGAAGATCAGAGACTAAAAATATACTAAATGTTACTGCCATGCTCATCCGCCAAAGTTACGCTGAATGTAGCGCTAACTTTGCTGTATATTATCCGCAGACAGCGAAGTCAGCATTGGCCCCATTGTTAGCATCGCCCGTATCAGTTGCGAGCGGGTCCCCGCTGCGGCCGATGGACCGTCAGATCGAGACGCGAACCTCGGACGGGAAACGCCGCATCACGCCCGTTTTCATACCTCTCACTAATGCCGATGCCAAGTAAGACTCATCTATTTATTTCTCAAATTCCCAGATGACAGTTTTTCTTTGAAAAAATTTCGTGGGCTGTGTGGTCCCGGCATAGAATAAGACTACAGCTTCCTTTCCCATGTGTTTTTTTTTTTATACAAATGGCAAACAAGCTGACGGCCCACCTGATGGAAAGTGGTAACCGTCGCCTATAGACATGAGCAGTACCATGGACATAACAGAGTATACTGTTTCGCCCATGATACCCTCCATGTGTGCCATTCCTGAGGACTCAGGTGCTATTCCTCTGTACCCTGTAAATAAATTCACGCCATATCCCACCCTTCAAACCGAAACACAGCCATGCAAACGACTTTTGTACAAAGTCTCCCTCTGGTAAATGTATTGTAATATATTAATAATTATTAATGACGCTTGATATTTAAGATTTTATCGACCTTAAAAATAAGTTTTCATTTATGCCGACCTATGTAGATCGACCATTCTGGAAATCCCTGCTCTAAGTATTCGTTACTGATTTCTTATAACACAGTTTGAGGATCAGGCAAATGGTGTGATTGTGTGTCTTTATTATTATTGTTGTAGCGAGTCGCTGGGCTCGCAGCCGGGCGGCATGGAGAACTGCTTCAGTACATCGTCGCAGAGCAAGTCGCGGATCCGCGTGGAGGTGCGCGACGATATCGTCATACACCCGAACGTCAGCAACCACGCCATCAACACCTCGCAGGGCAGCACGCGGCTCAACGACAAGTTAGTAGCACCGTCCCTACAAATATACATATGAAGGGGGGAGAGGGGAGATTGTTAGTATAAGATCTAACAACCCCATTGCTAGCAATATATCCTAACAGGTCGACCTCGGAGGAAAAGGGATTGTTAGGAATGGACAGTGAAAATCCCATTGCTAGCAATATACCCAACCAGGTCGATCTACATGCTGTTTCCCTAGTTAATTTTTGATGAATTCAATTTATCAAGATTGGCTAACTGGCCTGTTTTCATTCTCATCGGTCACCTCTCACTGGTGCTCTGCCAACGTATATTGTTAGTGCAGGCAAGGCTGCCATTTTCACCTATAAAAAAGAACAGTTTGATCTCCAGGAGGGTTCAAGGCTCTTACTGGAAACCATCGTGGTTAATTCTTGATGAACTTGTTACAATGGGCCAACTGACTTACTTTCATCTTCACCTATTATCTCTCACTGATGCTCTGCCAGCGTATATTGATAGCACAGAGGCTATCATTTCATTTTCACCCATTAAAAAAATATATTCATAGTCATATGGATGAATGAATGAATGAGTATGTTTTATTTGCATTATACAATATAGGAAATAAGCAAGACAATTAACAAACAACGATACAATTGTACAAGTACAATAAGCCGGTCTTATTGCTGAGAGCAACCTTTACAAGACAACCTTTCCATGTCGAACGTGAGAGACGAGGCTTTTATTTAATTACGAGGTCTAGTCTTTATGCACGGTTATTAGGAATAAGTTGACCTCTGTTTTTAAGTAGCGTAAAGAGTATGTGTGTATAATTTGTAGCGGGTTGGACCAGCGGCTGCGCAAGCGCACGGCGGCGGCGCTGCCCGGGCCGCGCGCGGACGACGTGGCGGCCAAGCGCGGCCGCAGCCCCGGGCCCGCCGCGGCCGCCGCTGTCGCCGCGGCCGCCGCGCCTGCACCGCCGCCGCTGCCCGCGCCCGCGCTCGGCGCCGCCGGGCCCGTCGTCCGCGCCGCCGGCTCGCTGCGGCTGCAGGTCACTGCACTCTGCAAACTGTCACCTTCACTACATACTATAGAACTGCCAAAGATAGAAGCGGCTCACATATATTTGGAGTCGGGTTAAATACTTTTGTTACAATTTTATATGTTGGCACACTAGGTTTTTAACATTGATTTGGCTTTTGTTGTCATAATGATGGAATTATTTTTAAAGAATATATAAATAAATAAGAACAAGTCCTCCGCCGCGTTTGTATGTCTGTTCGCGATTAACTCAAAAATAATTGCACCAATTTTCATTCTGTTTACATCAGCGGATAGAGTAGTTCTCGAGGAAGGTTTTAGTATATAATTTGTTAAGTTTTTATATACGTCGACTAAAATATAACAATATTTGTTGGAGGTGTCGGAAAAAAATAAGCCATCCGGGAGTTTTCAACGAAAATGCTACTTAACCCTTTGAAATATAACAAAATAATGTATGGTGGAATTGTGTATCTTATACAGATCTATAGAAAAGTCCGCGATGGCATATGTTTATCTCTTTAAAATAACATACTATATCCATTTTAATACTTTAAAAATGGACAATTATAAAGCTATTACGGTATTAATCCTTATGATTTTAAATAAATTAGTTAACTATTTTGATATTATTTTTTCTTTTTACATCGTGCAAATTAAATTTAAATTAATAATTAAAATTAATAACCTTAAGAGATATAGCAGAATCAAAATAATGCGCAACGAAATTAATTTGGCGTCGCCGTGGTTCAACTGGGCCGTGGGGGCGCCCTGTAATCCCGCGCCTTGCGTCCGATTAGGAGCATCCGAAAGTTTAGATAGTGTATTAATGTAAATTAAAAATAACGTGAAAATTTTTGATATATGATAAATTTTTTGTTTGTTACAATTTAACTCAAAAAATACTTAACAAATTTTACCGAAAGATACATCTCCTCATCCAAGAAGGGTTGCTAGTAATATACCGTTAACTATCCATTACCAAACATAGGCGACCCTATTGGCGTATTTGATAGTAGTTGCCACGCTTGGCAGGAGAGCTAGCTTTGATGGTATTATGAGAGGGACACTGCTACCCATCCCTCGGTAATAAGTTCTTCAATTGCCTCTTACGACACCTACGGGAAAAGAAGGGGTGGTCCATATGCCGAGACCACATAACTATTTCTTATATATATATATATATATATATAAGAAATAGTTATATATTATTATATATACTAGCTGACTCGACAAACGTTGTTTTATCATATACATAATTTCGAGAACTATACATGAAAATTTATCGTACTACAAATTTGAAGTTATATTTTTCAATGCTAAATAATAATAAAACAAAAATAAAAAAAATTGTTATAAAAATAAAATAAAATTTAGATATGGGTCACCCTTATCATTGAGAGGTATGAAAAATAGATGTTGGCCGATTCTCAGACCTACCCAATATGTACACAAAATTTCATAAAAATCGGTAAAGCCGTTTCGGAGGAGTTTGGTAACAAACACCGCGCAGCATTATATATAAACAAGAGGTAACAATAAATATTATTCTACAGATTGTAAATAAGGCGTACAACACACACTACGGCACGCTCTCGCGGTTGCAGTTACTGCCCAACAACTCTGTATCCAACGACCCTGTTTGGGAAACATATCTAGGTAAGATTCGTTTCTAGTTCAACACACAACAAATTAACAATTGTTGTTTTAATAATTATTTTGTGATTGAAATAATTTAGAAATGGCCAGAATTTGCACTTGGAACCATTAAACTTTTTCCTCTTGAGTTTATTTCAATAATTTAATTTTCTTTTTTCTCTTATATATATTTTTTATACCACTGAAGTGGCAAACAAGCATACGGCCTACCTGATGGCTTACCATCAGTAAGCGGTTACCGTAGCCTATGAACCTCTTTACCCCCCTTTTGAAGACTTCTTTAAATATTACTTAATGCCTATTGAACTCAGTAATAAAGATAATTTAGTGTTTTTTTTTATACAACTTAGAATGGCAAACAAGCTGACGGCTGATGGAAAGTGGTAACCGTCGCCTATAGACATGAGCAATACCATGGACATAACAGAGTGTACTGTTTCGCCCATGATACCCCCCATGCGTTGCCATTCCTGAGGACTCAGATGTTATTCCTCTGTACCCAGTATAGTCAACCGAAACACAGCCATGCAGACACAACGGCTTCACGGTAGAAACACGAATGGGACAGAGGTACCCAAGCAATCGACTTTTGTACAAAGTCTCCCTCTTTATTAAAGTTTACGACTATAGATTTGACGACTAAGAAATTACAAAATAGCGGAAAATCAGTGCTGTTACCAATTTTTTTTTATTGCACAATAAAACTTTGTACAAATGGCGAGCTTAATGCCATATGGCATTCTCTAGCAGCTAACCATTAAGTTTGTGGTGTGCGTGGTGCAGGGTCGCCGGTGACGTGCGTGGCGTGCGACGCGCGCTGGGCGTGCGTGAGCTGCGCCGACGGGCTGCTGCACGCGTGGCGCCTGCACCACCAGCCGCACGACCAGCGGCACGTCGCCAGGGCACTGCCGCCAATAGGTAACACTGAACCGTTGGTGGAGAAGAGGTTGCTAGTAGTGGACACTTAGAGCGCCATTACTAGCAATATATCCTATCAGGTCGACCTCCACGCGGTTCCCCTTGGAAACCATCGTGGTTAATTCTAGTGGAATTTGTCACGATGGGCTAACTGACCTTTTTTTTTAACGTGTGAAAAATGCTTTATGCATACCCTTGTGGGAGGTGAATGGGTACTGTGGGAATCCCCCCATAAGGTAAGGGGTGTACCCACCAAAAACCAGACGATATACCCTCGAGGTTGGACTAACTGACCTGCCTTTTCATTCTTGCTTGTCATCCCTCACTGGTGCCCCGCCAGCCTATACCGTTAGCATAGGCAGGGTAACCATTTCATTATCATTCATTAAAAAAAAATATATACCCAACCAGGTCGATCTCCAAGTGGTCCTCCCTGGAAACCAATTTTTTTTAATATCAAATGAATACATTTGGAATTCAACACGATGGTCTCCAGGGGTCTCCCATCCGAAAAATAGGTATTGACGACCCGCACGCATGCTAAAGGTAAAGGAGTTAAGGGGCCGCCTGAAAATCAACGCTATATAGGTACATCTCGCTGGAGCTGTACATATATAGCAACAGCTGAGGCGGCTTCTATTACCAGCAACATTGTTTTTTTTTTTTCTTTTTGTTTTAATTTTTTATTTATTTATTACTGGTAATAAAGGTTATCTATCTATCTATCTAAGTATACACTGGTGGGGTACAAGTGAAAGGTGATAGGTGAGGATGAAAGACAGGTCAGTTAGCCCATCCTGACGAATTCAACTAGAATTAGTCACGACGGTTTCCAGGGGGAACCACGCGGACGTCGACCTAACAGGGTATATTGCTAGTAATGGGACTATTTGACCTTATTATTAACAATCCCTTTCCCCCTATACAAGTATGTTTACAAGCGATCGGTGATCCGAGTACATGTTGTGTCGCTGTCGCGTCGACAAACCAGTAACTGAGTTTTTTTTTTTAATGGATGATAATGGAATGATGACCCCGCCTGTGCTATCGGTATACACTAGCGGGGCACCAGTGAGAGATAATTGGTGAAGATGAATAGGCAGGTCAGATAGCCCATCGTGACGAATTCATCGATAAATTAGTTACGATGGTTTCCAGGGGGAACCACGTGGAGGTCGACCTGGTACAGTATATTGATAGCAATGAGGACTAACGTCCCAATTACCAACAATCCCTTCCCCCCAGTAACTGAGTTTGTTGTTGGCCGCAGCGCTGATGTCGCAGGCGGCGAAGCTGTCGCTGAGCGGCGAGCGGCTGGCGGCCGTGACGACGGCGGGCGAGCTGAGCGTGTGGGACCTGGCGGCCGGCGCCTGCCTGCTGCGTCCACTCAGCTTCCGGAACCTGCTCGCGCACAAAGGTAAATAATATATATAATAAATAAATCTATCTATCTTCTTCTATCTATGCTTATAATAAATCTGTAGACAGGTCAATTCTGTACATGAAATATATTTCCAAAATAACATTTCTTGGGTGTGGATGTGCAGTGGCTGGGCCCGAGCATGTCGTCCAGTATACTGCGCAGCTGATCTTCAGAGCCTGCATAGTCCACTATTTATTATAAATTTGTTACATTATTTATATCTTCTATACTTATAATAAATCTGTAGAGAGGTCAATTCTGTACATGAAATATATTTCCAAAATAACTATCAGGGGGTGAATAGTGATCGATACTGATGTCAAAAATGCAATCAGTAAAATTTTTGTCTGTCTGTCTGTATGTTCGTTATAGAAACAAAAACTACTCGACGGATTTTAACGAAACTTGGTACAATCATTCTTCATACTCCTGGGCAGGTTATAGTATACTTTTCATCACGCCACGGTCAATAGGAGCAGAGCAGTGAAGGGAAATGTTGGGAAAACGGGAGAAGTTACTCCATTTTTAAGCTTCCGTCGAGTGTGCAGCCTTAATGGCCACTTCTTAAAATGTAAACATGTCCACACGTGCGAAGCCGGGACGGGCCGCCAGTATTAAATAAAAATTGAAATTGAAAGGTTACCACCTCCACTGTCCACTCGCTGCCTACTGCACGCTGCTGGCTAGCTAACAATTCTTTCCAGAACGAAAACGTTGAAACCAAAAACGTACCGTACACATCATTAATACCAGAGGGAGACTTTGTACAAAAGTCGATTGCTCGGGTACCTCTGTCCCATTCGTGTTTCAACCGTGAAGCAGTTGTGTTTGCATGGCTGTGTTTCGGTTTGAAAGATGGGATATGGCGTGAATTTACAGAGTACAGAGGAATAACACCTGAGTCCTCAGGAATGGCAACGCATGGGGGGTATCATGAGCGAAACAGTATACTCTGTTATGTCCATGGTACTGCTCATATCTATAGGCGACGGTTACCACTTTCAGTCAGGTGGGCCGTCAGCTTGTTTGCCATTCTAAGTTGTATAAAAAAAATCCTTGGAGCTGTTTCTGCAGCACTGATGCCATGGTAGAACTCGTATTCATACATATACCAATATTTCATGTTTTCCATTGTGAGGTAATAAACGACCCCAAAGAAAAAAAATATGAGAAAAAACAAATGAGTGACTGTTTTCAAAACTCAATAGTACCAGCTAAATGAATTTATAAATTTGAATTTGGAATTCTTAACCAAAGAGAAGATATTTCAGATCAAAGTGGCCAGTACGACAAAACGCTAATTTCATATGTAAGGACCTAATATTGTAATTACTAAATTATTAATATTTCGTTTTTTTTTCTAGTGACGGTGACAAACTGCTCTCTTCTAGAGGATGGTAACCCGATGATCTCACTCAGTAATGGCAAGACTTACATCTACAGTAAAAAGTTGTATGCATGGTGAGTTCATATTATACGCAATGTATTGCAAACCGTGGTCGTACGTGAGATATGCAATGACGTGTCAGTGTCGATGTGCGTGTGCGCATCACTCTGGCCTCCGCGGCGCAGACGGTTTTTTTTTGTTGTATAAAAATGGATTAGCAACCCCGCCTGCGCTAACGGGATACGCTGGCGGAGCACCAGTGAAGGGTGATAGATGAGAATGAAAACAGGCCAGTTAGCCTATCATGATGAATTCATCATGAAGAATTAATCATGACAGTTTCCAGGGGGAACCGCGCGGAGGTCGACCTGGTTAGGTATATTGCTAGCAATCGGATTTTTAGTCTCCATTACTAACGATCCCTTTCCCCCCGGCGCAGACGGTCGTGTCTCACTTGCTGTTGATGTATATTACATTTTCCTTTCTCCTTTTTTCTATTGACAGTGAACGTATCTGTTTTTGTTGTTGTCAATAAATGTTTCGTTGGTTGTGCCTGTGCGCAGGGTGGTGTGGGCGGACGCGGGCGACCCGGTGTGGCGTGCAGGCGGTCCGCTGGCGGCGCGGCATCCGCGGCCGCCGCCCGCCGCCGGCGCCGCGCCCGGCACGCCACTGCACCCGGCGTTCACCGCGCCGCGCCGCGACCGAGCGCTGCCCTCGCGCACCTCCACGTACGTTCCTTTTTTTATATATTTTTTTTATTTATACAACTTAGAATGGCAAACGAGCTGACGGCCCACCTGATGGAAAGTGGTAACCGTCGCCTATAGACATGAGCAGTACCATGGACATAACAGAGTATACTGTTTCGCCCACGATATCCCCCATGCGTTGCCATTCCTGAGGACTCAGGTGTTATTCCTCTGTACCCAGTAAATTCACGCCATATCCCACCCTTCAAACCGAAACACAGCCATGCAAATTGAAAATCTATTTTGAAATTCTCATTTCAAATCTACTTCTAGTTCTGTACACGATATACGGCGGGAATTTACTGGGTACACAGGAATAACACCTGAGTCCTCAGGAATGGCAACGCATGGGGATACCCCCCATGCGTTGCCATTCCTACGCATGCAACGCATGGGGGGTATCATGGGCGAAACAGTATACTCTGTTAGGTCCGTAGTACTGCTCATGTCTATAAGCGACGGTTACCACTTTCCATCAAGTGGGCCGTCAGCTTGTTTGCCATTCTAAATTGTATTAAAAAAAACACGCGAAATTTGAATTTCGAACTAGTAGTAGTATCAATTGTTCAGAATAGTAATGACAAAGGAAGTAAGGTTCCTATTTTGAAAATTTCATTTTAAATCTACTTCTAGTTTTGTACACGAGAAATTTGAATTTCGAACAACTAGTATCAGTTTGTATACAATGGTAAAGGCAAAAGAAGTAAACCATACAGCCGGAGCTTTAATATTGAATTTCGAATTTGATGCCGTCGTAGATTTTTATTTTTTAATTTATTAAGACTTTGACGAGAAAACATTCTTATATGCACCTTAGAATAGTCACGTAACCAAACTTATCCCTCTTTAATCAATAGTAAAAGGTCGTATTTTAAAATTTATTTATTTTACAATGTTAAATATATATAGCTTCATATGAATGTCACTTTAATTGTATAATAAATTCTTATTTTACAGTTTATCCAATGATTTATAAGCTTTTTATTTTAACTTCAAATTTACATAGCATACGATGTGAAGTAACAATATTAAAAACTTATTTTGCTTAATCAAAAACACTTTTGTGCCTGTAAAAAATACCAAAAAAATTGATTCAATTTTTCCAATAAACCTCGGGATTATCTAAATTTTTTGAAGTCCTATACAATTACTCGGCCCAAACTAGTGATTTCTCGAGTGTATTCATCACGATGGGCTAACTGAACTGTCCTTTCATCCTCGCCTATCATCTATCACTGGTACCCTGTCAGTGTATTCAATTAGCACAAATGGTGTTATTATATTACGTAAGTGAATGAATGAATGAATGGTTTATTTTCCCTTCACAAAAGGTGGAATAAAGTAACAACATGAGGTACAATTTGATATGAAGACCAATTTTGTGAGAGACTGGTGCTTGTGTAAGTATTTACGTATCCATTACATTATTATCTATAAAGAAAAAGTGATTTGTACATAAAATGTCAAAATGATTTACCAGAGGGAGACTTTGTACAAAAGTCGATTGCTTGGGTACCTCTGTCCCATTCGTGTTTCAACCGTGAAGCAGTTGTGTTTGCATGGCTGTGTTTCGGTTTGAAGAGTGGGATATGGCGTGAAGTTACTGGGTACAGAGGAATAACACCTGAGTCCTCAGGAATGGCAGCGCATGGGGGTATCATGGGCGAAACAGTATACTCTGTTATGTCCATGGTACTGCTCATGTCTATAGGCGACGGTTACCACTTTCCATCAGGTGGGCCGTCAGTTTGTTTGCCATTCTAAGTTGTATAAAAAAAAAAAAAATGATGTACTTAGTTACAGCGCAGAGTGCGCGCGCAGCTGGCTGGAGGCGCAGGCGGCGGCCAGCCTGCACCTGCGGCTGCCGCGCGACTACCGCCACTGGCTCACGTCGCTGTTCGCGCACCTCGTCTCGCACGGTCAGTCGATCATTTACCAGAGGGAGATTTTGTACAAAACTCGATTGCTTGGGTACCTCTGTCCCATTCGTGTTTCAACCGTGAAGCAGTTGTGTTTGCATGGCTGTGTTTCGGTTTGAAGGGTGGGATATGGCGCGAATTTACTGGGTACAGAGGAATAACATCTGAGTAATAACATCTCAGGAATGGCAATGCATGGGAGGTATCATGAGCGAAACAGTATACTCTGTTATGTCCATGGCACTGCTCATGTCTATAGGCGACGGTTGCCGCTTTCCATCAGGTGGGCCGTCAGCTTGTTTGCCATTCTAAGTTGTATAAAAAAAAAAAAAAAAGATGAGTAGGACGCATCCCTGGCGCAGCGGCAGGCACGTTGCGTTGCGTAATTTGGACCCGGGTTCAATTCCCGGTCGTGCCAGATTTTTAAGTTAAGTTTAGGGAAATAGGAACGTTCAAATATTACGTAACGCAATTTGGGGGAGGGTCTTGTAATGTTTAATATGATCCCCTCCCCCCCCCATCTTGTGTGACGTTACGACGCTTTACAGGGGGAGGAGTGTTCGAACAACACGTTCCGTAACATTGTTTTTTTTTTTAATTTTAATTAAAAAAAGGGAAATTGACAACCCTGTTCGTTTTTTTTTTTGGAGAATCTTTTGACTGTATTGTACGTCATTTTTATTTTGTTTTCTATGTACGACGTATCTTTAAATATTTTATTTTAAAATCTAAGTAAACTAATTTTTTTTATGCAACTTAGAATGGCAAACAAGCTGACTGCCCACCTGATGGAAAGTGGTAACCGTCGCCGTAGACATAAGCAGTACCATAGATATAACAGAGTATTGTTTCGCCCAGCGGTGCCAATCCTGAGAACTCGGGGTAGTATTCGTTTATAAATTCACTGCCATATCCCACCCTTCAAACCGAAATACAGCCATGCAAACACAACTGCCTCACGATAGAAACACGAATGGGAATGTAATGAAAATTTGAACTGTAAGATATATCTCTGAATATTTTAAACTAGCGGCCCGTCCTGGCGTCGCACGGGTGGACATTTTTACATTTAAAATAGTGGCCATTAAGGCTGCACACGCGACGGAAGCTTAAAAATGGAGTAACTTTTCCCGTTTTCCCAACATTTCCCTTCACTGCTCTACTCCTATTGATGTATGTATGAAGAATGATTGTACCAAGTTTCGTTAAAATCCGTCGAGTAGTTTTTGTTTCTATAACGAACATACAGACAGACAGACAAAAATTTTACTGAATGCATTTTAGACATCAGTATCGATCACTAATCACCCGCTGATAGTTATTTTGGAAATATATTTCATGTACAGAATTGACCTCTCTATAGATTTATTTTAAGTATAGAAGATATAAATAATGTAACAAACTTATAATAAATAGTGGACTATGCAGGCTCTGAAGATCAGCTGCGCAGTATACTGGACGACATGCTCGGGCCCAGCCACTGCACATCCACACCCAAGAAATGGCAGTCGACCATATTGGTAAGTTGTATTAATTCAAATACACGGTATATAAATTATCATAAACATAAATATTCACGTAGAACTGGCACTCCTGTGAATTTAATGATCCACGACCCTTAATAATATTATAAATTTGAAAATGAGTTTGTTTGTTTGTTATTTTATAGCGCCTAAACGGCATAATCAATCACTATGAAATTAGATAGTATATGAGATGGAAAACTTTATAGACTATCTCCTTACCTTACTAATATTATAAACGTTAAATTGAGTTCGTGTGTTACCTCTTAACGCCTTAATAGTTAACCAATAGCTCTAAAATCTAGTATCCACATTCGTTTGGGATAGACAAGTACATCGGATACTTTTTGTCTTGGTCTATGGATGCATCCCGGTTACGCAGACGAACTTGTGGGCAAAGCTTACTTTGTAAATGCATTGGTGCTTTGTAAATGCAAATAAATCGCGTCGTATTATGAGCTTAGTCCATCATAGCGGAGGGGGAGGTGAGGGACTGTTAGTAATAGGGTCTAACGCCTCATTGCTAGCAATATTGCTATTGGTTCTAATTCTACGCAATTCGCCCTAGAAATCATAGTGGATATTCTTGTCGAATTTGTTACGATGGGCCAACTGACCTGCTTTATCCTTACCTATCATCTTTCACTGGTATATACGGATCGCGCAAGCGCGTTTACCATTCCATTTTTACCCATCAAAAACATCTGTCAAGTTTTTCAAATGACGGACACCGCATTGAAGTTGTACGTCTCGTTCACTCTACGAATATACCCTATCAGGTGGACCACCACGCGGTACCCCCTATAAACTAGTTTTAGTTAATTAATTCATGTGGAATTCCTCACACCTATTGCTATGTAACTGACCGACATTCATCCTCACCTATTATCTCTCACCGGTACCTCGTCAGCGTAAACCGATGGCGCAAGACGAGTAACTACCTTGTATCTATTGTGTGAATTATTTCTTTTGTAGGGCATAAAGAAACACGACATATTAGAAGAGATGCTCGCACTTCTAGTGAGGCAATTACGTTGGCAACGGATGTACTCAGAGTATTCGGAACAGTTGAACGACATCAAGCAGACCAACGGCGTCGTCAATGGACACTGACGACGTCATCTCCAATATTATTGACGTCACATCACGTACAAACGACGTCACGCCATTAGTGATTATCGATACATCACATACAAACGACATTACATCACTAGTGATCACCGGCACGTGACGTACAAACGACGTCACAGCACTACTGATCACCGGCACGTGACGTACAAACGACGTCACAGCACTACTAATCATCGGTACGTGACGTACAAACGACGTCACAGCACTACTGATCACCGGCACGTGACGTACAAACGACGTCACAGCACTACTAATCATCGGTACGTGACGTACAAACGACGTCACAGCACTACTAATCATCGGTACGTGACGTACAAACGACGTCACAGCACTACTGATCATCGGCACGTCACAATCAAACTATTTCATCACTAGTGATCGCCGAAAACGTCACAAGAAAACGACATTACATCTCTAGTGTACGCTGACACGTCAGGCACTATGACTACGTCATATCACTGGTGTTGCTGTGATCTGCCTACGTACCACAAAAATATGTTCGAAATTTCGGAGTGAAACATTACGAGCTTAAAGTTAAAATCACGAAAGTGAAACTTCATACATTTCCTAGAAGTGTCTGTGACGAACGAAATGTTTTATATTTTGTCTTGTTGTCTAAATTGTGTCTAATTTCGATATGAACGTCCATCGCTTCATAATCGTTATTCAATTTTCGTACCGAAGCTTCGGGATTACGTTTCGTGGTAGCCTCCCTGGTAGTCGACGGTAGGCATGGGTAATATTGGTACCAATATCTATATTTAGGGTTCTTTTTGAATATTGACGGTGGAAAAGTCATCACCCATTTCGATATCACCCTTACCGGTCGGATAACTATATTAATTGCCATTCTAAGTTGTATAAAAAAAAATTCGATCGGGTTCGTAATTTCAACATTAAATATTGGATAACAGACATTTAACATAGTCGTTATTGGACAAATATATATATTGCTTATATATTACCCAACCCTAGTCGACGGAACGTCACGTACGAACGTTGTACCGTCATTTGGGGTCGACCGTACGTCACATAAGTGACGTCACCGTCAAATATTATTAGAGGGCCTACCATAAAATGTTTTCCGAAATTTCGGAGCCAAACGAAACACTTTGGAAACATTAAAAATGTTAAAATATCGTTCCTTTGGACTTTTATGATAGGATGTATGACGAACGAAATGTTAAACTCCATTTATTGGTCCGATTTTGGTATAAATAAAAACACGAAATTGAGTGCGAAATTTCGGAATTTCATTTCATGGTAGACACGCAGATCGTGCAACGTGTTTCGTATCATTCTTATATAAGTGTGTATATAGTATCTAAGGTTTGGTCTACATTTTGTATACTATGGGCCAGATTTTAAGGTGCCATTTCTCTAAATAAATCCTATTAGACTTATATTCTATGTGATATGTGATAATTTAGCAAAATTACGCTTTTATGGGCCATCATGAACTAAAAATATAATAAATTTGGCTTAAATCTATTGAAAAATTAGTTGATATTGGTTTTTACAATAAAGATTTCGCCGTGATTTTTTTTATGCAAAATAGAATGCAAACAAGGTGACGGCCCATCTAATGGAAAGTGGCAATCGTCGCCTATAGACATGAGCAGTACCATGGACATAACAGAGTATACTGTTTCGTCCATGATACCCCCCATGCGTTGCCATTCCTGAGGACTCTGGTGTTATTCCTCTGTACCCTGAAAATTCACTGCCATATCCCACCCCTCAAACCGAAACACAGCCATGCAAACACAACTGCTCCACAGTTGAAACATGAAAGGTACAGAGGTAGTCAAGCAAACGACTTTTGTACAATGTCTCCCTCTGGTATTTTATTTTGATTACTGAATTTTAAATTGTCATTTTAATTTTAAAAATAAAATTTAGAGAAATGGCGTCTCGGAATGGACCCCAATATAGGCATACTCTATTAGTTATAGAGGTCTGATCTCAATTGGTCAAAACAGTATCTTTTATACTATTGTGATGTGGATATAAAGAACATTTTTTCTTAATTATAAATAATGTTTGTTGTGAGAAGTTCCACAGATATGCTTATTTTTTTTTTATTATTTTAATAACAATACAAGCAATAAATGTGAGTCATAAAATGAGTGGAATTTGAAAATAATGTATGTAACAGTCTGCGCATAAATTATGAGGAAATATTGAATATATTTCAATGAATTTTGTCGCCGTAGTAGATTTATATCTCGGGATGTTTAGGCCAAGTCTTTTTTCCGTAGCAAAATCCTGTACATAAAGCTGGCGACAGACCTGAAATTATTTCGACGTGTAACATTTTTTTTTTTGTTCGGTTCGCTGCATTTATACGAATGCGCACAGTGTAATTATTAGACTAGTTTTCAAGATATTAGAATTAGGAAAACCAATAAAATAGTGCACTTCGAGGCGTGTCAAAATAAAACATACGCCAGATTTGAAGTTAGACCTTCAGGTATATAGTTGTGGAAACCGCATTCAATTTGATATAATTATCTTTGCATAATGTATAAACAGACAAAATCTAAAAATTATTATTTTGACATCTATTGGTCTTATTAAGATTTCAATTTTGATTAATTTGTCTTTAATTTATAGTATTTATTATTTTTTATTTATTTCCCATATACAGATATCGTCCAATAACAATTTTATTATAGTAAAAAGTATATTTTTGTCGCGTATGGGGTCAACTTTCCGGACAGACCTCGTATAAACAGACAAAATCTAAAAATTATTATTTTGACATAACCTTTAATTTATAGTATTTATTATTTTTTATTTATTTCGTTGCAATAACGACGAACCGTTATAAATAAAAAATAAAAATGTTTATTTGGGAACCTTAGCTTAATTTACAGTTTAAAATTGGGATTATTACATTGGGATCTTTTGTGCTTCCCCTGCCTTATACCATAATTTTATAGGTCCCATGTATTATCTTTACATTATCCCGCGGTTTATGATATTTATAGTCCTCTGACTCTGGATAAGTCATTCCCAGTAGTTTCTTACGCAACAAATCACAGTTTCACTTCAGGTGTTCCATGCATTCCGATTCCTCACCGCACAATCTGCACAGTGTGTCCGAGAATATACCCATCTTGTATATGCCTTACTGGCATATGTCCAGTTAAGGCACCTACTATGAGTCTTAAGGAAGAAGTTAATTGAAGTCGGTCGCCAGCTTAATGTCAGAGACAGCAGCTATATAGCTCGTCGAATAAATGTGCCACACTCCTATGGAGTGATGAATGTATGGGTAGCATGGTATGGTAACCATCAATTTTATGTAGTATAACTAATAACTAGGTTAATATAACAAGGGGTTTTTAACCATTGTGCTGATCTCCTGGTAGATAGAATTAAATGTTCATTGCCAAGGTTTCTGATGTTGATATGAATGGTAGGTTATAAAAATCAAGCTGTTGTAGTGATGTCTAACGTCGACTTATGGTTAAGTCAGACATACAGTCGGAATGTCGAGTTCAGGTTTTGAAAAGAACTAAAGTATATATTAACCATTGTATTTATAATCCCTCGTTTCCACCCACATACGAATAGTATAATTTGTATAAAATTATTTTTTTTTTTTTTGCTTAATAAAAAAGCGACTTCAATTGTGAATACAAAATATTTCGTAAATATAATACATTAAAATGATATTGAATATAGAACGTGGTATACAATATTTATAAGTAAAGTTTTCTTAGCAAGTAATAATACATTAAAAATATTTGAATTTAGAACGTGGAATCAAATGTTTAAAAATAGTGTTATTTTCGCAAAATGTACTGCATTGAAAATATTTGAATTTAGAACGCGGAATCCAGTATTTTTAGATCGTTTTCTTCGCAAATGGTAATATATTGAAAATATTTGAATTTGGAATGCGGAATCCATTGTTTACGAGTATAAGTAGAGTTTATTTCGCCACTAGGAGGCTTTTGCTTAATTGTCTTTATTTATAACTTTTTAGGCAGATGGCTTTCTAGTCGAAGTCTTAATAAATTTAAAAATAAAAGTCATTTGTTTTGCGAAGAAAATCTTCACTCGTTAAAAAATTTAATATGAGACCAACAAGAATAAATAATATATGGATTGGGATAAAATTGTGAACATGAGAATTGGCTTAATAGTTATAAAAAAAAAGTTAAAAAATACAGACGAATTGAACCTCCTTTTTAACCGACTTCAAAAAGGAGGTTCTCAGTTTAGACGTATTTTGTTTATGTTTGTTATCTTAAAACTTTGACAGTTATAAACCGATTTGGAAAATTCTTTATCTAAAAAGATATACCCTCATATTGGTCCCATAGAGATTTTATCAATACTTTAAATCACAATAACGGGTTATGCCACAATTGAAGTCGATTTTTTTTTCAAAGTCGCTTAATAACTCAATATATTATTATTGTAAATCTTTATTGTGCATAATTTACTTTAGACACGTTAAAAAGATGTAATACACAATGGCGGATTTATATTTATTTGACTGTAAGAGATACCTCTATAGGTATCTCTTACAGACAACCTTTGAGAAGCTGAAAAAAATTACTTAAATATTTTATACTTGTGTATATATTTATTTTAAACTGTATTATTTTAACACGCACGTGACACACCTAGTGTTACAGGCGTACATAGGTTATAGTAACTGTTTACCATCAGACTGACTATATGCTTGTTTGCCACCGTCCTTGTATAAAAAAAAAATTAACGTATGTTGTATATTGGTGGAAACGTATTATAAATGCAAGTGTTCTGTTAGTATTCAATGTTTAATTAATTTTTGTACTGATGTAGAAATTAAGTCATTTTTTTATTGAGTGATAAGATTTTTATAAGTACGAGGGTGAATTGAAGACCCAAGTCGACTACGACTGCCCAAAATTGACAATGAAATGGTGAAATAAATTATGTATATATATATATATATATATCCTGGTTTAACTCTAAATCAGGCAATATTCTACCAGCTGACTTTTTTTGTAATCAAATTATGAAAAAGTTGAAATAGCATCGAATAGACATAAAATATTGATACAAGATAAACTAATTTAAAATTTGTTTCATAATAAAAATCGACTTTATAGTGCAATAAATTTATCCTTTTGATTAAAAAAAAATAAAATACTGAACTGAAATTGATAAAATTTCTTTTGGACAAATCTAAGTATCCTTTCGGATGAAAAAATATTTTTCTAAATCAGTTTACAATTTACTAAATTATTTATAAAAAAAATATCAATCAAAACACTAGATGGAGTGACGACCTCAAGTGCATTGCAGGGAGTCAGTGGATGCAGGTGGCTTAACACTCGTTCCTTATGGCAGTCTATGAGAGAGGCCTATGTCCAGCAGTGGACAGATATGAAAAGCAGTGGGTGATGATAAAACAAAAAAAAAATACAATTGAATTAAAATTCTCCTCCATTTTTGAAGTTGATTACGTCTATTCGATGTAATTTTATTTTTAATTCATTCGGATTGCGACAAAAGTCAGTCTGCTGTCTACTTAAGCAAAAAAACACACTGGAGACAGTTCTGAAGTGCTATTTTCTATCTTTAAAACGACAATTTCAATTTAATATTACCGAAAGTCTGAACTTTTTTAAGTTTAACATTTAGGTTGAAACTACTTGGGTTTATAACGTAATACTTTCGCTAAACGATCAATATGAAATAAAAATATTAGAGACTAGGTCAGGAAATGGCTCTTCAAGAAGTGACCTCACTACTGCCCAGCAAGGTGAAGCCTTTCAGGTTTTTCACCGTTGTATGAATTAATGCGTACGTCTGATATCACGCGTGACGGTGCGCAGTGTTGCCATTTTAGTTCGGGGCTACATCTAGTAGTCTTTTTATGCTCATTCGTCACCATCTGTTTTCATTTTGCTCTTAGCCCCAAATCTACCCCAAAACAAAGGAAAAGTTTTTTATTAAAAAAAAAAATAAACCGGCTCAATAAATCAATTCCATTATTTGATTTGTAAAGTTTAGCACATGTTTCTTTTACTTTTAATATTTCAGAACTGTTTGGAAATCTTGTATACTTTACTGTTTTTGAGAGTCAATGAAAAGACACCTATCAAGTAGTGGACAGCAGCGGTATATTTTGGTAAAGAAGATCGTGAAACGTAGAAACAATAGATAAAGTCATAGATTTAAGAAAGAATACAATTTAAACTATTAAGAGGTATAAAAAAAAAACACGTTATGAACATACCTATATCCTGGAGTCCATATTAAAAAAAAAAACTAAATGTATAATCTACTTAGCCCTATTTTCTTATTTTTAAATAAATTAAAGTGATATTTAAATTTGATTTAGCTCGACCTTATACCGAATTGGCAACACTGGTCGTCCGTAATTGGCGTGCGCATGACCGCGTTTCACGCGCGTGATGCATGTCACTATGTTTTCCGCCTGATATTTGTATTGGAAAATAATTATAAATTTTTTATAATATTAGATAATAATCGTGTTCATATCAATCTTATGAGAGTGTTTGATGATGTAGCCTTTTGACAGAATGCCTTGAGTGTGTGCTAAGATATTAATGAATATATAAAAGACTCCAAATGTGTTAGACACCTAAATATGTTTTAAATTATAGACTTTATATAATAATAAAAAGGTTGTCACAAACGATTTTGTCTCGGAGTATTTTTTTTTTTAAATTCGTGTCTTCTCCTATCATAGACAAAACATAGACTTTAATCCACAGATAGAGATGTGTAAATAAAACATTCAATTTGTATGTCAACTTTTGGCCTTTAATGAGCTCGTAATGAAGTTTTTTTTTTTTAGATTAGTACCGCTTGTATAACTTGTTGTCTGAAATTGTTCGAAATTATGTCTACAGCCATCTTAGCACTGCTTGATGTCGACAGGAAATTCATCCTTCTCTGTTCACTTCCCGCGTTCTACAGTATAGGATTCTACGAAAACAGGGTGTACAAAAATTTGTTCAGGGCCGACAACGCGCGTGTGACAGACATCCCTAGTGTTGCAAGCATCTATAGGCTACTGTGACCCTTTACTATCAGACGAGCTGTATGCTTGTTTTTCACCTTCGTGGTATAAATAAAAAAATATATAATTGTTTTTTGTATTATATTATATTGTGACTATTTGATAGAACTTCATTATATCAACTATATAATATTATTTAAAATATTTGAAAAATATATTTACGAAATGGTTTACTGTGAAAAAGAGTTTGCCATAAAAAAATAGCTTTGACCCATTCTTGATTATGCCGACTCATGTTATTTAGACGTCACTGAAGAGCAATTAAACAAGCTTGAGCGTCTCCAAAGTTTATGTATCCGCTTCATATTTGGTCTTCGCAAATATGATCACATTTCTCAATTTCGTACTCAACTCAAGTGGCTCCCTATCCGTTTTCGTCGTAATCTGCATATCCTGTCTCTTCTTTACGCAATCCTTTTTAATCCTGCTGCTCCTGATTATCTAAAAGACCGATTCTTGTTTCTCACTGAGGCTAATGATCATACTTTACGCAGTGTCAATAACCTCCTACTCAAGTTTCCCACTCATTCTTCTTCCTTTTAGTCTAAATCCTTTACTGTTCAGGCAGTTCGTCTTTGGAACTCACTACCTACCTCTATTCGGTGCGTTCAAACTCTTACTGGCTTCAAAACCTCTGTTAAATCTTACTACCTCTCACTTTAGTACTATTTTCCTGTGTTCTCTCTTCGTTTTCCTTCGTAATTTTTTTTCTGTTGTATGTGTGCTGTGTTAAGTATGTGTATATTATGTATATATTTAATTGTGTATATATTATATATGTATGTATATATGTTTGTATATGATAATATTTATATAATAATGCGCCACCTACCCTTTGTCTTTTTCTCAATGTCCTCTACCCAAAGGTTGTCTGGAAGAGATTGCTTAGCGATAAGGCCGCCTTTTGTATCACTTCTCATTAATATTTACTGTATTTGTTATTTCTCTTTTTACTTGGTGCAATAGAGTGTAAATAAATAAATAATAATGCAACAAGCTATTTAATAGTGGCATGCTTACTTCTCTTCATCTACGTCTGTTGATTTTATTTGTAAGTCAACCTGGATTTGTTTATTCTTGTAAATTTTATAACCGAAAGAATCTATATTTGGATAGATGTGAATGTGAATGTGAAAGACTCTATTTTCCGCGCTTAACCTCTCATTTGGGCCGTTGTGCGTATGAGTCGTGGCTAGTACAGCCAACTTAGCTCCGCCCAAAAGCGCAGAAGCTTCCTGGGTTCTTCACAGGCCTCACGGAGCGACCTCACCGTTCCGAGGATTTCTAAACGTTGATGAGCCACAGCCTCACATTCCAGGATTGCGTGAGCAGCCGTTTCTTCAGCGTCGAAACAGCCTCGACATAGAGGGCTATCTGTGGCTCCTATTGTGTATAGATGTTTGTTTAATGGACAATGACCCGTTATTGTCCCTATCATTATTTTGAGGGTTTTTCTGTCTAGATGTAATAAAAGTTTTGATAGTCGTTGATTCAACGTAGGTACAGGTATTTGGATAGATATTGGATAAAATATATTTCGTATATTAGTCTGATTTGTATGATAAGCAGATACATCGAGGTAGACTCTGAAGTACCTTTCTGGATCTTTACACAGGCTATATCTAGGAACCAATGAGTTATTGTCAAAGCATACAAATGGTTTTCGTCAATAAATTAGTCACTCTTTAAAACTAATATTTTATTTGGTTGTACAACATTTTTTTTTTTATTCTTGTTAATGGATCATAATACACTAAATTTATAGTAATTTTTACAATTACATATTTAATTTCACACTAGAAACTTAAATAAATTAATATTTTAAAAACATAACATTTCAAAATCGGAGTGTGACAACCTTAATAAACGAAGTGGCTCGTAGGTGCGTGTGTATACGAATTCACTTCATTACTTGTATTGTAGTGTAGAAACCTAATATATAAAATGACTGTTCTACTGCCAATCTCTTATAATGAGAAATATTATACTGTTAAGGTGAGATTATAACCGAGTGATGGGTTTTTATATGTCAATGGTTGTCAGTTGCGTTGTTTGTGTCGCGTAATTTACGTTGTATTCGATTTTTTATATAAGTTGGATTGTATCACACGGCAGCGTAAAATAAGTTGCGATAATTACGTTCGTTTGGCGTCGCCCTAAGTCTATTTAGCTATAGTCTGTACGTTATAGCATGCTGCGAATGACAGTAGATATTTTAGTAGCTTTTACTGTAAAAGTTTATGGAGTCGAAGTCACGAAAAATGTTTTCAATGCGTAAATTACGTTTTAGTAATTTTTTATTCCATAATTTTAATGCTGTTATCCTGCACTATGCTATAATGAACAGCATATGATACTGTCATAGCATTATTCTTTAAAATCCTGTATAACAATTAAGAAAAATAAGAGTGAATGAAAGCAAAGGAAATAATGAGAGCGTAAAATAGAAAATTTATAGGTATACAGGATTTGTTCAGAATTTAGGTCGCAATCATCACGAAGTAAGCAGTGAACTAAATAAAGACTGGAGGAGGAAATAGCTTCTTTATACGAATCAGCATACGACTCGTTTTCTATAATCCGTCGATGAAACTTCCAGTCCTTTAATACATCCTATTACGAATATTGATTACACTAAAAGTCGAATAGCCGATTAGCTACACTTAATAAAGAAGGTCATAAACAAAGCACATGCTATTATAATTTAAAAAATAAAATTAATAACAATTTTGGTGGCATGATTTACTTTTTCTATTAAACCACCTATCATAATTTTACTCCTTCTAATAACATTCCTAAGACTATAATGAAAGGTTTTATAGATACATTTCACTCAATGTTTAAACCTTAGATTATATAGATAGAGCATCGAGCCTCAAAAACGAGTCAACTTTTTGTCAACTAATTGTCAAATTAGTTTACACGTTTTTTTTTTTTATCACTATTCTATATTTTTACGCATAAAATGTATCTTGACGTATTATTTAATAAATAAAATTAGTGTTTACGCATTAAAAGATGCAGAATTTATAAGACAAAATAAATATAGAAGTTATAAAGAAATCACTCATAATTTATCACGTAAAACTGTATGAAACAATTGTCCCGTTTTTCTCGAAGCATTTCTATGGAGACACTCTATAATCTAAGGTTTAAACGTGGAACGTCTTCCGACACCAAAATATGAATTTATCTATGAATTAATATTATCGTAAATATATACGTATTACGGTGCACTAAATACGAAAATTTATTGCATCGCTAATTTGAATCCTCCAAGTCTAAAATGTTCACTATGTATCATTCATGCATGCAAATACATCCAATTTGCTGTATTCTATAGGAATTGAGAAACCCTAAGTAGTAACATTTAATGTCTGTGAGGTTACAGTTTATGATAGAAAAATAGTTCTCAAGCATATTTTCAAATCATATTCGAAGTTTCGAAGCGAGCGGAAATTTTTATGATATATCTACAATAATTATTTGGAATTAATAATTGCCACGTATCTAATTATAACATTCTGTATTTTTTTTTATTTGGATATATTATAAATTCTAGTCAAATTGGTTCCCTTTTAATTATGGTATTAATTTCAAATGTATGTACTCGTATACTCTGATTTTCTTTATCATTTTTATTATAACAATCTTGACGTGGATTTTTACTCGGTTAATGGTTAACGAACAAATTGCTGGGATGAATTGTCAATAACATAACTATATTATTCCTTTTTATAGCATATGTCATATATGTGTAAGTATATTTGTTATTTATATATATTTATTCGTTTATATATGTAATTTTAATACGTATGTATATTCAAATTTAAACATACAAGGATGTTTACTGTATGCACTAATTTGTGCATTCTAAATGCAACAAAATGTTGCAAATATGAAATTGGAATAATTTTGTAAAATCAATTTATTAGTTTTCTTTACTGTGTAGTAGGAAGCATTGTCTGTGTATTATTCAAATAATGTATTTAGCATTTGATTTCCCATAATATTTTTATTGTATAAGCAATCAATATTGAGACAGTATTGTACTTATGTTTATACCTAATTATTAACTTAATGAAATTTGCATGTCGGTCAAGATTTTTTCAATTAATAGGACCCATAGCTGAAAATACTGTAATCAATAAAAATAATAATTTGTTCTCATGTTTGTATTATTATCTCTGGTTCCTAAAGTAACATAAGTCGATAAATCATCTATTTCTCTTGATTCGAGGAAAATTCGTAGTTCCCCCGATGCCCCTACCATTTTATTCTTCTAGTAAGCATACTACTATCCTGTCATTGTGTAATAATGATAGCGAGAATCACCATTATATGAGTCATTCCAAAGCACACTGCTTGTCTTATGGCTTTTTTTATATCATTGAGGTAGCAAACAAGCATACGGCCCGTAAGCGTTGCTAAGTTGGTAGCGGTTGCCGTAGTTTAGGAATGCCTGCAATACCAGGAGCATTACGCATTCGTTTCTGACTCGGAAGAAACATCTTTACCCCATTTATATAATTTATTTATTATTATGGTAATGTGTTTAGGCTCTGGGCCCTTAACTTATAAGTACCCATTAACGAGATAACGAGAACAGGTCTTCCTCACAAGATATCTTTTGTTAGCTTCATATTAGGTATTCGGACAAGGTATATTGTATAAATAATAAACCATAAATATGTATCACAATAATTTATTTTTACAAATGAGAGGGATCACAACAGGCTGAAATGACATCATCATCGTGTTTATTTGAGAAATGGTTAAAAATTAATCTTCCTCATGAATGACAATGAAACAATTATACACAGTAAATAGACATATTTTAATATGGATGGTGAATTAACTAAGAAGACAACTGCGCGAAGGCACTCGATGATTTCATTAATTTCTATAAATTAAGTCGCAAGTTTGAGCTCACGGTTCGGCGTCCATTACGTGTCAACAATACGTCTATCTAATAACAATCCAAAAACGGTCCACTCTTAGTGGTTAAAATCTCAAAATTGTACATCAAACGCGACAACAAGTTCTACACCGATATGGATCTGCGACTACGCAAATTTGGTCCCGCACAAGGGTCAACACGCCGGCGGCACATCGCCACCGCTTCAACCTACGCAACATACATTACTCTGTTAAACTATCTAAACACTTAGATACTAGAATATATGTTATACGATGTGATCGACACATTAACAATTTTATTACCTAAGTAGTTATCAACCGGAGCGGTGCGCCTATGTACAGCTCGCGGCCGGCCCGACCTTACGATTATGCCGTTTGTACCGTCGCAGTAGGAGCGCGATTACTCGACGAACTCCGGCCGGCGCGGCCCGCGACCGACGCGACCGACGCGCGGCGCTGACAATAATCGAGGCGAGTTCGCGTAATCGGGTCCCTACCGTATTAAAATATACAATTGGTGTAAGTCTAACTTAACTAGATATGTACAGGTGGGGCTAGCGGCCGGCGGCGGCAGCACAGCAGCCGCTAGCAGAGCACGGCGCGGTCGGGCGGCGGCGCGCGCGCGCGCAGGCGGCCGCAGTCGAGCGCGCAGTCGCAGCCGCAGTCGGCGGCCGCGTGGTGCGCGTGCGGCAGCTTCGCCGGCTTCTCGTAGTCCGGCTGGAACTTCTTGCACAGCGCGAGCACCGACGGCGGGTGCGCGTGCGACTTGCGCGACACCTGCAACCGTACGTCCGAGCGGTCAGCATCCACGATACGGAGCGAGGGGGAGAACGCCGCGATCACCGCTAGCTGTTAAATTAATCGGCCGTCAGAACAGGCTCCACTATGTGATATTGATATTATGTGTGATATCGTATAAGCTGCGGTCGGCGCGCCTCACCTTGGGCGTGGAGGGCGCGTCCGGGAAGGGCGGCGAGGTGTCGCGCGTGTGTGCGTGCTTTAGGGGCTTGTCGCGCTCCTCCGCTTCCGCTGCTGCCGCCGCCGCCGCTGCGTCCGCCGCCCGCGACTCTGATTCTGCGGAAAGAAATTAATCTATTAACTACACTTCTATTAGTCGTACCGACTTTTTAAATGCTACGATAAAAAATCTCATTAAATCCCAAAAAAAATCACTTCTTAAATTTTTCGTCGTTATTAGGAGATGTTTGGCGCTGGTCATTTAAAATCGTAGGCTAATAAAATAATTAAAGAATAAGAATAAGAATAATTTATTTGCTCGAAATGTGGTACAAAGGTCTTAAAATGGTAACTGAACTACACATTTCGCCTTATCTAAAGGCATGCAAATTTTGTCTTAGCACATGTTAAGTAAAAGTTTATCAATTATGTATGTCCAAATAATTATTCTAAATACATATTAATTGTTACATTGAATTAGTTAATTATGTCAACATTTAAAAATAGTCGATATTATAGTTATAAAGCATTAAAATTGTACATGTCATATTAATAATATTATTACGTAAAATACATTCTTAGTCTAATCTGCCATTCAGACTTACAAATTCTTTTATCGTGTAAAAACACTTTTCAATAAGCCAATTTCGTAGTTTTCTTCGGAAAATTTCAAAGGGCATTTCACGAAATGACTGGGGTATCTTATTGTAAATATTTATGCACATCACAAAACAATTTTTATGATAAAGGCTACTCTTACATATAGGCATGTGTAGTTTGGTAGGGTCCCTTTTGATAAATTTATTAATTTCACAAATTTTATTAAATAACTGTGGGTGTTTTTTAACAAAGATTCCAATTTCTAAGATATATAAACTCGTAACTGTTAATATTTTTATATCTTAAAGAAAAACAACAATACCTTTACTGTCATCGTGTGTCCCCTTCGTGCCGTTGCAAACGTTAACATCTTTGTGACCGTTAACGCCATTAACACCGTTCACGCCGTTCACACCGTTCACCGCTGTGACACCGTTGACATTGGTCCCAGTGACGTCACTGCCGGCGTCATCTGAGTCCGCGTCATCGTCGTCGTCACTGCCCACATCAGCGGTGTTAAACCCCACACCCATGATAACTGCGGGTATGTCTGACTCGTCTTTCAACCAGGGGTGCTCCAGGCACTCTTCCACTGTGAGACGACCCCTGAAAAAAGAAATAATTAGATTAACACCCGTAACTACTTAGGGTACTTAGACCTTTTCTGTGAATATGCCTCTCCATAAGGAGGATTTTGCCAGTAACTGCCACGCTTGGTAGGCACATTGACAACCGCATTCAAGTTTTTGGTGATGTTTTATAGATACTCATAGATCTATTAAGTGTCAATCCATAAACGTTCCACGGCAAGGCGCATATGTCCCCTTATGAAGAGGATATTAGCATACTATTCCACATTCAGTACAGAATTGAGACGAGAGGGGGGGCAGTCCAGCGGCACCCGGGGGCGAAATACTCTAAAAGTAGAATTGATAAAGGAATAGAATCAATAAAGGATGACATTAACTACGAAGATTCCCTTAGTCTCTTCTAACAACATCCTATGGATCATGAGTGGTGAAATTGTCTTCTTATTATGTCACTACATAGACAAGATACTTACAAATATACTCTCAATATAAAATTTTATCGACTGATTGCGCAATGTAATTTCGGAGCTACGCATTAATTTTACAATTTCGCATATTTTATAGATTTAAATCTTAAAGAACTACTTACTTGGGATCAACGACAAGGGTCTCCTTTATAAACTGAACGGCTCGCTGCGATACCTCGCGGAACAGACTCCGGGGGAAGGTGAGCTGGCACTGGGCGATGTTGAGGTATGTCTCCTGCTTGGTGTCGCCTGCGAACGGCGAGCACCCGGTCAGCAGAACGTACGCCAGTACGCCCACCGACCAGATATCCGCTGCCAGCGACAACGGTTCGTACGATAGGATTTCAGGAGCTGGAAAACAAAGAAATCACGATTAAGATCCAAATTTTCATATCTTCTACCACCCATGTATATGATAGTTTAATGCAACAGTAACCAGTACAAAAATTACAGTATAGGTGGTTTGATATTACAGTTCAACCTATAAATTTGATCCTTCGAGCCGGATAGAATGATGTGCAGTAAAAGTTAATAATTTGTGATTTAATTCCCTTTTTTTAACTTAATTAGTTCGTGTCGTCAACTTGAATGACACTCTTTAGTCGTACAAACGAAGATGTAACTGGTCGACATTAATTACCATAATTTATGTTAAACGGTTAAAAAATTAGAAAGTGTATAAAATTTTGAATGCGTGTTGACATATTACTGATGTATTGTGTAAACTTTGAGAAATTATACATAATTTACTTACCAACATAGTCTCTTGTGCCCAAAATTTCTCTGACATGTGCTCCTGGCTGTATTGCGCGGCTGATACCAAAGTCGCATATAAGAAGCTCTTCGCCGCCGGCGGACAGTAGCAAGTTCTGTGGTTTCAGGTCAAGGTGTGCGATGCGACGTGAATGTAGATGTGCTAGTCCTTCTAGGACGTGGCGCAGGGCACGCCGGGCCGCTCCCTCCGACAGACGCTCGTCGTCGTCCAGAAGACGCTGTAACTCGCCACCCGCGCATAGCTCTAGTACGATGGCAACTTCTGACCGCGTATCGTATACCTGGAATGCAGGAAAAAATGTGTCCGTTAAGAATGTTATTGAAGATAATAAAAAGTAGTCTGTATTAAGAAACAAAAGCCTTTGTCATGTTAAGAATTTGATTTTGATGATCTTATTATATTTATATAATAAACAGATAATGTCATTGCGCCTCAGTCCAATTAAAGTTTCGATCAATCAAGAAATGTTGGAAAACACCTTAAAGGTAAGTGCCTTTAATAATTAATGGCTATCATGATCCGTATAGTTTCTGATCCCTTGAAAATACTATTAAATAATAATTCGATAAAATTAAAATTAAATTATATATTAATATTAAAATTTTCATTTTAGAAATTTGTTCTAAGAATCAAAAGTCAATATCAATAGGATATCAATAGGTTCGTATCTGAAATAATATAATTGTAGTAGTTTTGAATACTACTTGAAGTTGGAAAAGTAAAGTGTTACAAATTAGGTGCAATAAGAGAACGTAATTTGTGACAACTGACCTCATGCAAACGAACGACACGTGTGCAATCGTGGCAAAGGGCAAGTACTGCCACTTCGTGGAGAATCTCTCGCGTAGTGTCCGCCGCGCGTCGACGCTTGCGGATGAATTTGGCTGCGTACTCCTCACCCGACACTAAGTGTCGCAGTTTACGGACTGACGCAAATTTGCCTCTGAAAATAAGAAAAGAATAAATTCAGCTTCTGTTGACATAAAATTAATACAAATCTAGTTCTCAATTAATCCATTTAGAGTAACAAGTTTTTAGTTTACTAGAGCTATCTAATGAAAGCGTAGAAAGTTTAATGACTCAGTAAAATTTATGCGCTGTTCGCATAGACTACAACAAGAGCAAAACCTAAATCTACATTAGCAATTGGCCAATTTCATTAGCCGTCGCCGTGTAAGATACTCCAGGGACCATAAACATTTCAGTAGTGTCGTAAGCCGCGAGTTAGTCACGATAATTACCAGCCTGTAAAATATCGGCGCCTGCGCACGCACCCGGCGATAAACAACGAGATCCACCTAGTCTATCTTAGAGATTTCTCCCATTAAATTGTTGTCAAGTAAACGTCACTATACAAATGCACAAGCTCATTAACTAGTAGTTTAAGCTAATAAAATGCCTGTTGAACCTTCGTATCTATGGAATTTCATAATATGGGGAAATTCAGCATAACCTACCTCGAGAACAATGGCTAATTTATATATGCTGTGTGAATAATTTAACAAACAAAGCGGGAGGCGTAAGAGGTGCAAACCGTTTTACAGCTAATTCTAAGTAACGCGTGAATGTGCGCGCGCGCTGCACTGGTACGGCGCCGGCGCCGGCCGCCCGCCGCGCTCCTAGCTGTCGACGCGAACGTTTTAGCGCGGAATACTACAGGGAAATATGATGTACCGCCTAAACTGAAATTTAATGTATAAAATACAATAAATTTTGTTTTAATTAATAGATAAATAACTAACTGCAAGTAAAATATACGTCCCCCTGTTATCATGGATAACATCCCAGTTATAGAAGTCGACTAAGATACAAAATCAATATCAGATACAGACCAAGATAAGAAAAAATATATAAATATATCCATGACAGAAACATATCATGCCAGCAAACTGCTTGGAGACAGAATAGATTCTACTCATTTGTCTGCCAACAAGCAACTTTGCTTCCATGACAATGTTTTGGTAAATATAGCAAATTATATTGCCATAATACTTTAATAGTAAGAATGACGTGAGGGGTACCATGGACATTACAATTTTATATAATGAAGCTATACATAATTTACTGTAAATACTTGTTCATAGAGGACAGCTGCCATTTTTCAGGTAGAACTGTCAGATTGGCTTTTTTTATACAACTTAGAATGGCAAACAAGCTGATGGCCCATCTGATGGAAAGTGGTTACCGTTGATAAAAAGGAAAACAGTAAGTATAAAAAATGCTAATGAGGAGGTTTCATTCAAAATACATCAATTAAATATTTTTTATTTATTGGCAATACGTAAATTACCAGAGGGAGACTTTGTACAAAAGTCGATTGCTTGGGTACCTCTATCCAATTCGTGTTTCTACCGTAAAGCAGTTGTGTTTGCATGGCTGTGTTTCGGTTTAAAGTGTGGGATATGGCGTGAATTTACAGGGTACAGAGGAATAACACCTGAGTCTTTAGAAATGGCAACGCATGGGAAGTATCATGGGCGAAACAGTATACTCTGTTATATCCGTGGTACTGCTCATGGAAAATGGTAACCGTCGCCTATAGACAGGCGACGGTTACCATTTTCCATCAAGTGGGCCGTCAGCTTGTTTGCCATTCTATATTCTATAAAAAAAATTGTAGGTATAAAAACGAACACAAAAATTTCGCCGTGCAGAGCTTACTTCATTGAATACACTACATTAGTTCAGTAGATTTGTTTATTGCTAATCTTCTCTATTGTTTATATTGTGCGTGTAATTACAAAGAATATAGATCTTTATTAAACAGCGATCGTTTTATAACTGGGTCTCGGTAAAAAATCGATTCAATTGAGTCATGCCTCACACATTGTTTTTGCATACCCACGTTACACCTCAATGATTTACGAGTAAAAATTGATCAAGAATCAAAATTTGGATCTTTTCACGCAGTAGGAGTAATACCACATAAAAATAATTATTTATTTATTAAATTTTAATACACCTGGATAGTGTAAATGACGGGCCTAACATCATAAGGCGTTATCTACAAATCGACCGTAGAAAGGAATAACAGAAAATATAATTACCGATGAAAAGTGTTGAACAATATTAAATTCAAACAGTATTATTTAAATCACATACTTACAAATATTACTCTTATTACCAAAATTATACATATACATATATATTCTACATTTTTCTATTATATATATAATAAAAAAGAAACGGAATTTAACAAGCTATTTTAAAATTAGCTAATTGGTTTTGATAATTAGTAAAAAACAAATTCTCTCGTTACAACGTGGAGCCTCGGGATTTTTGGAACCCCGTGACCTATTTCACACAGTCAACGATGGTGTCCATGGTAGCTTTATCGATTTTTCGCTTGCCCTTAAACATTTCAGCACATAGACAAAAACGATGGTTCCTTTTTCGAATTCAAAAACTATTTAATACTTTTTTCTACATAAATAAAGATAAGTATCATAAAGTAAAACATTTATTCTTACAGTAAAACCTTTTGTGGTCACGTTTATTGGTGCACAAACATCTCTTTGTTTCAACGGGCTCATTAGCATTCACCAGCGAACATTATGAGCAATATCTGGGTGATCGTAAAATGGCAAATAACAGTGCATCGTAAATCGTAGTTTAATGACCTGTCCGTGTGCAGTATCAAAATAGAGCGCCGAGGGCGGTGGGGCGATGGGTCGTGCCCTAAATGTCCTGCTCCTGACAATCTGGGCCGAACGAACAGCTGACATTGTCCCTATTGCTTTACTCGGGAGTTATAAACAAAAAAATACAAATATTATGTACATATTCGGCAAGGATAATGTTGGTATCGCTCCAATAAAATCTCTTTTCCCACAATATCTATATACATATATGGGTGAAAAGAGATTGTTAATAATGGGGAGATTAGTCCCCATTGCTATCAATATATCCTATCAGGTAGATCTGCACGCGGTTCACCCTGGAAACCATTGTAACTATTTTATCGTTGAATTCCTCACAATGGGCTAACTGACTTGCCTTTTCATCCTCACTGATCATCCTTCTCTGGTGTCCCATCAGTGAATAGCGATAACGCAGGCGCGATTACCTTTCCTTTGTCATCCATTAAAAAGAACTACATATAGAATGCTTTTGGAGACTGACGGCGGAAAAAGGAAAGATTTCGATCCATCGTTTTTTTAATTGTTCTATACTTATGAATTTTGATAACAATTGCTGTCCATAAATAAGAGTTCTTAAGTTTTAAAAGGCCGCCATTGTGCGGTCTAATTATAAAAAAAAAACTAACCAATCAATAATACCTATATCACAATGTTAGATGCATAGGTGTAGTGTCCAAGTGGGTCAGCGGCGGATCGAAGGGTCGTGCCACGGCCGTGCCCTCATTTTATTGTCCTGTAACTCTTGTCCTGTTGACATTGGCCTATTACTGGAGCATTGTTTATAATAAACACGATTAACAGTTACACACGCATCTAAAATATCTTACCACATTGTCAATATTACTCACAAGAACTATATTTAAGACTGGTCGTTTCCCATGACTCAGTCCTCGCGGAAATCTTTATCATCCGTCACTATGGACATTTTGGGAAATCCTTCCCTATGGTGAAGGCCTGTATTATAAATGGAACTTAAATTTCAAATTTGTCGCTTCGAACCCAGCGGTTTAGACTGTTTGTCAATATATTAGTCAGAGAGGTATTCCATAGAAATCAAAACATTAAAATAAAAACTATTTCGTTATTGTTATAATTTTTTTGTTTTTTTCTTTTGTTTTATATGTAATACTTTTTATTTGTCAATATAGAACACATGCACGTTCATATACAGTCAAAAATGCACGGGCTTTTTAATGACAATGCAATTTTAGGCATAGTGTATTGTACACATGCATGTTAACAGAGATTTAAGAGAGTAACTGTCGAGTTTCTAGGAGATTCTTCTTAACAGGTAATAACTTTCTGAACTCTGCATTTATGAAAAAATTACGATTTAAGTGTTTGTAAACAAGTTTATTTGTATAAATATGATTTTATTACAAAAAAAACAAAAACACTTTTCGAAACATATTTGCTCCTAGTACATTTTAAAAATCACATGATGAAGAAATTACGCGTGGAATATTACAAAGAGGTAAAATGTAATTCTATTAACTAATGTGTAATAAAGGACAGATAAGAAATATTAATAAATTCGACACGACATCGACACAAGGAAAAATTGTATTTGCTTATACATATTTAGAAATAACTTTTCCGCCGCTATTTCGTACACGTAGATTACAGAAGTAGGAAAAATTATTAAAGTAGACTATTTTTAGATGGCGTATCATAATTAGATTTTAATATAGACCTACAGAAAGACAATTGTGAAACCCACATCTGTTTTGGTGCAGTAGTTTGTGCGTGATACCGAATCAAACATAAAGACAGGCAGACAAAATTTCTAAAAACTATTGTTCTGGATTTTATTGCTCGTATTAAAGTCACAAAAATAGATTTTTCTTAAATATATCCCATGTACAGACATGGTCTAGTTACAGTTTTACTATATATATATTAATAACTAAAATAAATCCAGCCATAGAATGCGCAACCCTTTGGTTTCCAGTAGGTGTCGTAAGAGGCAATTAATAGTACTTAATGGCTGAGATATGGGCAGCAGCGTTGCTCTTAAAACATCAAAGCTTAACTGCGGTTGCCAACCCCCCTACCAAATGTAACAAACTACTGGCAACCCCCCCCCCCCCCCTCCATATGGAGAGGGTTATGTTCGGCAGTAGACAATTAATATGATTAATATGACATGAATAAGATAAAAGACTTCTTGAGTGGCGACCCCGTACGGGCAAACCCTCCACTAGATGGAGTGACGACCAGAAATGCATTACAGAAAGTCAGTGGATGCAGGTGGCTCTGGACCATTTTTATGGCAATCTATGGGAAAGACTTATGTCCAGCAGTGGACGAATAATGGCTTAAATGCTGATAATGATAATGATGAAAATAAGAGACTAAATTCGTAATTTAAACATGACCTAATAATAATTCAATAGAACATACTCGTATTACGTGTTTCCATAATAGACAAAAACCAGAGGGAGACTTTGTACAAAAGTCGATTGCTTAGGTACCTCTGTCCCATTCGTGTTTCAACCGTGAAGCAGCTGTGTTTGCATGGCTGTGTTTCGGTTTGAAGGGTGGGATATGGCGTGAATTTACTGGGTACAGAGGAATAACACCTGAGTCCTCAGGGATGGCAACGCATGGGGGGTATCATGGGCGAAACAATACTCTGCTATGTCCATGGTACTGCTCATGTCTATAGGCGACGGTTACCACTTTCCATCAGGTGGGCCGTCAGCTTATTTGCCATTCTAAGTTGTATAAAAAAAAACTAAAACAGTCAACTGTAAAATTACATATTGCTGTTACAATTCCCCTCAGGTGGACCGTCCGCATGTTTGCCATTCAAGTCACGAAAAAATATTAATGCTCGCACTTGTTAATGATGAGATGAAGTCCACCGACTGAGATAAACACAGAGCATATGGCGCGAGAGTGGTGGTTTCCGCCGAAAAAACCGCACCTGCCTCGACAGCTGCCATCCGAAATATGCACAGGACGGAACGCGTTCGAATTCAGGAGGTTTGTTGCTAGGTGACAAAGGTACAGCGATAAAGTATTTTGTAATAGGACTAAAGTTTACGTTAGCCTGGGATAAGTTTTATACTTTTTTAAATAATAATAATAAATTAAAAGCCGGACAAGAGCGAGTTAAACTCGCGTAGAAAAAGTAATGGCGTAGGGTCCGTCCGTTGATTATTAACGTCCAATAAATTTTAAATCTGACCCAAATTTGTTTGTGGACCTATTTTCTATATTTTTCTAAAATTTTAGGTTCACTAGTTTCGTAGATACGGGACGGGGATGGTAAATTTTCGCCTATTTTCTTAAATAAGTTCAAAATTATTTATCATAAAATTATAAAAAAGGCTTAGTTTGATAGTTTTTTTTTTTTTTTATTTCTAATTTATCCCCTAAAATTTGAAGGATTTATGTAAACAGATGTTTAAAATTCATTATTTACGTCACATCGTCGATCGTCCTACCTTTAGATCACAGACTCACAAAACACATGTGTACCAAAATTTAACTCAATCGATCCAGTAGTTTCGATGCAAATTAGCTATAACAGACACGCGAGTAAGGGTTCCGTTTTTTCCTTTTGGGTTACGGAACGCTTAAAGCTACACAATCTCATAATTTTCCTAGTTCTCAAGCTAAATTACCACTAAAACTCATCTAATTTCTTATAGGAATAAAATAACAAAAACTCAAAACACATGCTATAGCAAATTGAACATCTTAAAATATGGACAAGGATATATATTATAAAAGTCTGTACCCGTTGATTGTTGAATAGCGAAAAATATTAATAAACATTCTTTATAAATTCAAACCTAGATCACGATATTAGGTGTCGAAACAATTGGCCTACGTAATAGTAACAACGCTGAAACTAAGCGGCGATTACAATGGGAGCACATTTAATTGAGTCTAGCACCATTATTGCATTGCGTATGATACGATCACCTTTCACCCGGATTTATTTGACACGGTCGATAAATATGTTGAAAACGGAATAGATTTATTTTGCACAACGAAACGCAACCCATAACTCCGGCTGAGTCCAATCAATTGTGACGTCATATGCGGTGTACTAAAGAAAGAAAAATGGAATGGCCCTTAAAACAATATAATAATAATAATAACGCCGGTTTCTCTCCCTGGGGCCCTGAACCTCGGCCGACTGTGCTTCTGCCGGGGGTTAATTGCCATCTCCTCTCCTTATGAGGGGAGAGGAGAATTTTTATAAAGTTTAAAAAAATAATACTAATATTTGTTTATTGAGTTTTTAAAAAATAAAAAAAGATAGGCATAGTCATTATGTTGTGTACAATATAAAATTAATAATAACAGTCCAAAAAAGCGATCTCATAGAAACTGAAAAATTATGAAAAACAATGTTAATAAAACCGAATATGTACCAAAAGAACAACAAATAAAACAAAATAAAAATGAGATTATCATAGTACGAAGAAAAAAAAAATTATAACCGATGGCGAAGAACAAATTAAAGATGGTACATTGGACTGGAGCAAATAAAGACATGAAAAACGTTACTGTTGTTAAGGTCTTTGGAAGTATCTTATGATTTTAATGCTGTTATAAATATATGCAAATGAAACATCAGTTTTTTTATTTCCATTAGATAAATCGACACGAAAATTACAGGTGTATTTATTCATTTCTAACCTAAGTTGCCATCCATCAAACCTCTTTCAACTAAATACCTCAACGATCGAGGAATTTATGAATGACATAATAGCATTATAAATTCAATTCTATATACAGGTTTATTTATGATCGAAGCATAACAGGATATAGATAATACTAGGGTATTATTGAGGTGAGAAACGCATATTGCGATCGAGCATAACTTGCTTATTGCAATATCAAGAGGTCAGATATATTTCGCAAAAGATGTCATAGGCCATGTCACATATTTAGTTTGCAACAGTTAAGGCTAAATACTAGAAACATTATGTTCGAAATATAAAGTTTAATCTTTGAATAAAGCGCTGGTATCCGACACAGATGATTACCCAAAAGTGTAGCAATATATCGAACTATCTTATACAGCTTATAAATTGTAAATTAATTTGAAATGTAACACTGTCTGATTGCTTCATTAATATATTCAATGTAAAAGTCGGAGCAATCAACTTATTTCGTTCAATAACAACAAGTGCCAACAATTTTATCAATTGGTCAACTAACTAGGATATGGTAACCCGGTTTCAAGACCTGTATGGTCCTAGTCTGCTGAGAATAATAAGAACCAGAAGAGTTACTAAATCATGAACACTCAGATTGAATCACTGAATAGTTTTTAAATGTTTCACATTTAAAAACTATTCAGGAACTTCCAAAGATTTCATCTCAATAGAAGAATCGAAGGAAGTGTTTCTGCAATACGCGATACAGATTCAATTATCTTATCAGATAGGATACAACAATCTCAATTATATATTGAATAATATGCTATTAGTATGTCATAATCGAACGGCCGACGTGCAATATCTTTAATTGCGCAAGTTATCGCCCCCTATCTCCTACATAAACTTCTCTCAACAAAAATTTATTGCATCTGTCCAGTTTTATGAATGTGCGGAGCTGCGGACGTTGGGTTCATAAAATAGTAATTTTTTCATATGACGATTGCGGACGGTTCGTTTAAGATGGTATGACAACGTTATATTATCATGATTGCAAGACAAGCTCATGACAAATTTGTTTAGCTCTTAAGTCTATTAAGTAGTGGCTTGCGTAAGAACTACAGTTTTTCTCATTTCTGCCAGCAATGCGTATTTCAGTTTAAAAGATAGAGACAATTACTGAATTGATCAATCATATTCGATAACAAACATGTTACGTCTCTTTTTTGACAAATCATCTTAGTACTCAGAGAGATGCCAACGTATGGGGATAACATGGGCGTTATAATATCATGTCTGTAGGCAATAGCAATTCTTACATTTTTAAATTCTTACAACTGTAAGAAACGGTTGGACAAATCCCAACATCATTTGATCACATGCTGATAATAAATCGCAATCAACAAATGCTTTCATAGTAGCGTTCACTTTCTGCATATGCTGAGGCCCTAATAGATGCAGTTGGGTGCACCGCCGGTGCTTCCATTTGTTCCGACTCACTTTCTGCATAATAAAGCGATTTGTGGGCGGGTGCAGCGTTGTGCAACGCGTCATTAGTGGCGTGCACTTCTCACGGAGCGAGTCGCCTGTTGCATCGCGCTGGCGCAACGGGGCCGAGAGCGAAACACCATCGCCGTGGAACCAGTTGCGTAACAGATCGATGACCGACTAAAAGCGAAAAGGCGTCCTTGGCAGTGAATCAAGCGCGCGTCCGTCACGCCGCGCTGGTAATTATTCATAAGTTGTTACACAAGAGTACCCCGTCAGAGCCTAGTCCGCCGGCCACTGGCCGCGTCGCCTCGTCGTCGCCCGCCCGGCCGATCGCTATCAACGCTATCGATCGATCACGCTCTTGGTAACAGGATGCGCATCTCACGCCATCCATCAACTCGGCGGTATTTTTTTTTTTTTTTCTTTATTTTTATTTGCATAACTTACAGCACACAAACAAAAGACACAAAAGCAATGTGAAAAAAGATAAAAAGATACATGTACAAAAGATTAAAAAAAAAAAAAAACCAAAAACAAAATCAGAATGCATAATAAATTTTTTTTTCTTCATGCGTGTGCCACAGTAATGCAAAATGGCCACAACTCAGCTTTTTGCTTTGCCCTAAAAAGAGCAAAACACTGATATTCTGTTGTGGCCAAAAGTGAGCCGCGAAATACCACTAAAAAAAAATAATAAAAAAGAAAGAAATATAGATTGTGCGTTCGTTATACTCGCTATTTAGAAGAAGGGTAGTCAGAAGTTAATTTCTATCAGTTTCAAGCACTCAAAACAAAATGAATACCTAAATTATACAAATACAACTAGTTACATAAAAGCATATTAAAGAGGCAACAGCAGGCATGCCCATCGCCAGACAGCGATCCCTCCCAGACAACCCAAGGATGGAGAGAATTAAATTGTGTCTGTTAAAGGTGTGACAGAAAAGTAATAAGACTAAAATATGAGAGAAAAAATGGGTAAGAATCAATTTAAACACAGTATAAACAATATAAATAAAATAGACTTACATATAATCATAATAATAATTAAATCCTTATAATATACTAAAAAGATAAACGCAAATAAATAATACATATGTGTATATGAGTATGCATATATTGGTGTATTAAGTACTACGACGGAGAAGAATAAAAATGTACTGTACAAAGGGAGACAGCTTCCGCCACCGATTTTTGTTTTTCTAATAGCATTTCTTTAATATTTTTCCTAAACGTATGTAAAGATGTCATTATTCTGAGGGGCGGTGGGATATTATTCCAACATTTCGTGGCCTGATAGCGAAAGCTGCCGGTAAATGCCACAGTTTTATGACATTGAAGTGACAGTGGTGGTCGCACTGATCTAGAATAATACCTATCATAAAAAGTGGAGAACTTCAACTTACTGTGAAGATATTCCGGATTTTTAAATTTCATTACACCAAATAACAAAGTAGCTAAATGTAATTGTCGCCGGGATTCCATATTAAGCATAGACGCCATATTCAAGTAGGGTGAAATGTGACTACGAGGAGAAATGTTGAAAGAAAACCTACAACAGGCGTTTTGAACTTTTTGTATCAGCCGCTGCGTTTTACGAAGTAAACGAGGGCCGTACACTAGGTCACCATAATTGAATCTAGATAAAACTAAGGACTCGCATAAAGTGATGCGAACTTTAACCGATAACAAATGGCGAATTCTGTATAAAATTTTTAGACGATAGAAACAATTCTTAACCACATTCGAAATATGGCTTTCGAACCTTAATTGTTCATCAAATATAACACCTAAATTTTTAGCTTCCTTCACGCGTTCTATATTCCTGCCCAAGATACATAAAGATGGATTATTGTTTAAGATATTAACCACTTGTTTCTTGGTTCCTAAAATCATCCATTTTGATTTATCTGGATTAAGTACTAAGGAGTTTTTGCTTGACCACTCTGCGATTTTATCCATATCTTCATTTATCATTGACACGGCATACGGAATATTTTCAGGTGATTCAGATATATATAACTGAACGTCATCAGCATAACAGTGATATCTACAGTACTTTATCACATTAACAAGATCAGTACAATATAATGAAAACAGTAACGGCCCCAGGATAGAGCCCTGAGGGACACCACAATCAACCAATTTAGATTCAGAAATTAAGTAATGTCCATTGGCTTTAACAAGTTTAACTGATTGACGTCTACCTTTTAAATAGCTTTCGAACCATCCAATCGAAAGAGGATCTACACCGTAATAAGACAACTTAGAGAGTAAAAGCGAAAATCAATAGCGCCAAGATAGTACCACAACCATTATCCTCTGCAGATAATATATTGTCAGTAACATCTAGTAGTGCTGTTACTGTACCCCGCCCCTTACGAAACCCTGACTGAAATTCTGGTAGAATGTTGTTCGATTCCACATATTTCACTAACTGTTTATGTACGACCTTCTCCAAGATTTTCGATAAAAAAGGCAAGATACTTATAGGCCTGAGATCTTTAAATTCAGTTGGTTCAGTAACTTTGGGCAATGGGGTAACCAACGCTTCTTTCCATTGTTGGGGGACGGCATTATTGAGGATGGACTTATTAATAATGGCTGTAATAATTTTTAGTGTTCGAGGAAGAGTAAGCAGTATCATATCTCTATTAATGGCGTCTGACCCAAGCGAATTTGACTTTAAAGATGTTATATAAGTAGCAACTTCGCTTTCGTGTACAGGTTGCAACCTAAAAGATTTATTATTATTTGAGAACTGATGATTTTTAAAAAAGTCTATAACAGAATTAGGGACAGTGCGTATATTAGGAATATTAAGAAAATGAGAGTTAATTGCATCAGGATTATCAAAAGACGAAGGAGAGAATCACTCTTGCCGGGATCAACTAATATTTTATTTTTAAGAGCTTTCCAGAAACTCTTACTATTGTCAATTTGAGAATTTAGATAATAATTAAAATATGCTTTCTTTTCATTAGCTATACTACTCTTCACTAACTTCTTCAAAACTAGGTAATAACTTTTATGGACCTCTGAACCTGACCGTCTATATTTATCGTATGCAGCATTACGTAAATCCATCATCCGCCTACAGTTGTCAGTAACCCATGGCAAAGACTTATTATCCTTAATGACTCGTGTTTTAACTGGAGCATATTTATCATACAATGATTTAATCGTTGTATTAAATCTATCAACCATAGCATCGACAGACGGAAGCTCGCCAATACCTTCCCAATCAATAGAATTTAAATCGCGATTAAAGTTGTCAAAATCAATATTCTTTATGGGTCTATAAGTAATAACTCTGGGTGAGGATTTTGTTTTTTTCAAGGAGAGTACCACGTTAATCATAGCATGTCCAAGTGAGTCTTGTATGGTATTAACAGAGACTTCACGGACTACGGCATTTGTACATACTAAATCTATTAGAGTTTCTGTTTCTGTTGAAAAATGGGTAGGTTCATTAACTACTTGCTTAAGATCAGTGTAATGCAGAAACTGAATTATTTTTGAAGTATTACAGTACAATGTGTCCAACATATTAACATTAAAGTCACCTAGCAATACGACATAATCATGGTTGGAGAAACACGAAATTGACTCCGTCAAGGAATCCAAAAAGATATCTAAATTGACCCATTGTGGTCTGTAAGCGGTTCCTATAAGAATTTTATATCCATTAACGCACATAGATAGCCACATTTGTTCAATATCTGCTTCCGGATGCTTAAGAATACGTACACGGAGTTCACGCTTGACGTAAAATGCTACACCTCCTCCTCGGCCGCCACGCATTCTCGTAGGGCGAGGAGTACTAAGCAGTCGGTAATTAGGTACAGCGGGTGCGCATCCCTCCTGGCCCGGTCGCAGCCAAGTTTCATTTATTGCGACTATGTCAGCATTATACTGTGTCATAGCCACTTGGAAATTATCATGACCTGTATTTAACGAGCCGGCATTGTAAAGACCTAATTTGAGGTATTTATTATTAGGGATTAGGCCGAGTACGGTACAAAAAGATAAATACATAAATAAAATAAGGGTATTTGAGTATAAATAATATAATGATTAATTTGCTGATATGTGGGTATTTCTGTAAATATATGTAAATAAATAAATACTCACATAGTAGGTAAGTGACTGTTAGGGATGCCATTCGACGAGTGACAGTAATACATGTGTGCTTGCTGTTACATTTAAGCATAGTAAAAAGTTAGTGTGGAATATAATATCAGGTAATACAAACGAGAGCGCACGATACATCAGGAGCAACATTGTACTGTGATGGTTTCCTTCCCTATAATTTTGCATTGCTGTTACAGTATACATTATTGCGGTATATTTGTAAGAAGTAAAAAACGATAAAAGTAAGATTTTTGTCAGGATTACATATATAGTATTGTCACAAATATATAAGAAATAATAGATTAACAAATAACATGATGGTTTTTGATATATATACATGTTTGTGACATAATTGGCATAACACACATTCTGATAACAAATAATAATAAATAATAACAGATCAATCGGTAAATAAAAAATAAAAAAATATCCATATCCTCTCTTAAATTTCCTTTTTATGAGATTAAAGTAAATAGTCGTAAATATAATTATCAAAAAGAATATAATGTGCCGACATATAGTGTATTTAAATAGCTGCATCACACATATGTAGATATTTATTTCGTCTATTGTAACAGCTCTAAGAGGTAGTAAATTAAACAATTCACAAGTATAACAGAAGCATTGATTTATAAGCAAGCATATTTTAAAACATGTTATTATAACTTTGTAAGAAATTGGCGAATAAAATATTAGTAAGATAATGATTACGAGCATGTAGCATTTCACGGTGCATTTATACAGTCGGCGTATATAATGAGGTAAAATATTAGCTACTACAATAATAGTACTAAGTAGATTAAAGCGATTGAATTCATAATTATAATAAGTACATATAATTTGTTTATTAGGGCCTGTTATGACTGTGTAATAAAAATCATAAAAACTTAATATCAAAATTTGTAAATTTATAAATATGTGGCAGTCAATAATACAAATAAATGGCCTGAAAATATTAATATTAACCCCCTCCGCCACCGCACAGAACAAGTAGCTATACAATAATTCAATGCTAAAATGACCAATAATTGTATTATTACTAGATTTTAATTGAACTAACATTGTCCTGTCCAAAAACCCTCACAAGATCAAGTACTGAGCCGATACGGTGACGAACAGTACCATTTTCATTATTATGACGCACAAAAATTTTACCGTTTCTAGTCCAAACAAACCTCCAACCACACCGCTTAGCGACATCACGGGCCTGATGAAACACATAACGGTTAATTCTAGTAAGTCTCTCATTTACATAGAATCTACAAGATGGGCCAGGAAGGCCAGCGTCCCCGGTGGTGGCACCGCGGCGTATACGGGCTTCGTGAAGGAACTGATCACGCAGAGTACGCCTGGCCAACCGAACCACGATAAGCCGGGGCCGTAGTTGGTGTGTGGGTCCATCAGAGGTCCTCAGCACCGACCCCACTCGTGATGCACTAACCACATCCTCCTCAGACAGTTTAATTCCTAATTTAGTTGCCAGCGTTAGTGTAACATGTGTCACATTTTCACCTTTCTGCTCCGGGACACCAGATATTTCAATGTCATTGAGAAGGAGTTCCTGGTCCCGATCATTTAGTTCTGCTTTAAGCTGCTCAATAGCCTTCATCAGCGTATCCTCACATGGTGTAGCACTCGAGCTACCCTCGCAGATCTGACGTTCTAAATTGTCAACACGAATAGACAGTCGATCAACGCGGGCATTGCAATTATCCAGCCCTGTCGACAACTTAGCCATATTCTCATTGAGTAATTGCATTTGGATTCGTGATGCAGACAACTCTTCTCTGAAACGACGTATCTCGAGCGCCAGCATCTGTGTGTCCGTTATATCATCCAAATCCCCGCGCATAGGGGCATCCGACACGATAGACATGTTGAGCTGATCCACTGGACTGACTGCGGCAGCTCCTCTACGAGTCATAACCCCTTGAGTCACAGTACGAACTGGCGTATCAGTATTGTCAGTTTTAGGCTGTTTACTGACACATAAGGGGCACTTCCATGCGGCACGATGCTCGTGTGACATGGCATTGCAGAATGATTTCTCGGCCACATCAGCACAATGGAGATCGTAAGCTTGTTTACAGATGCTGCAGCTCAAAAACAGATTATTCTCGATTTTCTTAAAACATCCAGCACATCGCATCACTCCAGAAGACATCCCGACAGTAAATTGGTGCCGAAGCTATAATGCTAGAAAATGCGGTTAAGCAATCAGAAGAGGCCGAACAAACTCCGATATTGATAGAAGTACGTTCACAAAATAGAAAGCTGCACAATATTTCGCGTTGTGTGATGACAAACTGTCGCGATAGGTTGTTTACACTTTCAACAATTAATAAACTTTTGAAATTGTGAACATAAAATACGTATAATGATTAACTGTGTAGGTAGGTAGTTGCGGTCTATGACTTGTATACTTATTCCACTCACTTTACACTTGAACTACTACGTATATAGTCGTACTATTTACACTAATTTGAAGCAATATAATCGAGTAACAAATTAATATATATCTTATTTACTGCACTCTAGGTATATTTATTTATTATTTAAAAAAACTGTTAAGACGTTCAAAACATGTCCAATCCCTTTGACAGCTCGGACTACCCTGACTATTTCTTAATCGCACCTCGAGATAAAGATAAAGCATAACTAACTATATTAAAGCGTTTAATGCACGGAATGCGACCGTACTGTAATAAATGTGACTCATGTCATAAAAGTTTTAGGTTTGCACGGTGGATCGCGTGTTTACGCTATAAATACTATGCCCTTGCGGCGCCGGCGTCTGGACAAAAATGGCATGAGCAGGCAGCGATTATGGGCAGGCACCTCTCCATGGTATCGCAGAACTATGTTAGAAACAGAACGGTATGTGAGCGCCCGATTTAGTTGGGAGTTTGCGATTGATTTCACGCAACCACTCGGCGCGTCCATCTGTCAAGTTAGTATGCCAGGTTTAAAACTTTTTGTTGTTTTTAGATTCATGTTTCATTGAAGTGTTAAATTTCACTGCTAGAACACTCCCTCTTAAGTTCAATGACTTCGATTTCACCCCGTAGATATCATGCTTATTTGAACTAGCTAGAATACAGATGTATGTATGTATGTATTTATTTGTATGTATACCAGAGAGAAACTTTGCACAAAAGTCGTTTGCATGAGCACCTCTTTTTTTTTATACCACTGAGGTGGCAAACAAGCATACGGCCCACCTGATGGTAAGCGGTTACCGTAGCCTATGAACGCCTGCAATACCAGAGGTATTACGCGCGCGTTGCCGACCCTGAAGAAACCTTTTTATCCCCCTTTTGAAGAACCCCATGCTGTCTCTTGGGAAAACCTCGGCAGGGAGCTCATTCCATAACCTGAGTGTTCGTGGGAGAAAACATCTCTGAAACCGCGTTGTACGCGACCATTTAGACTGTAAGGTTCTATTCGTGTTTCTATCGTGAAGCAGTTGTGTTTGGTTGGCTATGTTTTGGCTTGAAGGGTGGGATATGGTAGTGAATTTACACAGTACAGAGGAATAACATCTGAGTCCTTAGGAATGGCAACGCATGGGGAGTATTATGGGCGAAATAGTATACTCTGTTCATGTCTATAGGCGACGATTACCACTTTCCATCAGGTGAGCCGTCAGCTTGTTTGCCATTCTTAGTTGCATTAAAAAAAAAATGTTCATTTAACTATAGTTGAAGCAAGTAGTTGTTTGTTAGAGCAAAACTATAGCCCGACAATCGTCCCTTGTCTACGAGCAGTGACCTCGCGAATAATGTAAGAAACTCAAACGGCGGGTCTGCGGCCGAGGGACGGAAGTTGTAAAACTTTACTACTGTTGTCGTTCCCTCGCGTTCGTTCGATTTATAGAAAGGTTTATTACAGCTCCCTGCGTTGTGCCTACATGCAAACGGGCCCCGGTAAGCGGGGTCAGCCGACTGACTGTTGCAACCATTAACGAGAGCAATGAGTACCCCTCGAGTGGGGTGACTGCAGCTTGTATTCAAATTTAAATCGTGAATAAGTCATTTAAATTTAACGCAATTTACTATACAATTGGTTTAGGGAATGTCTTCGCACGAAAGGCGCTAGTATAAATTTATTGTTTCGACAAAAGATAAAGCAATAAATGTTGATTGTTCTTTTGTTTAATTTGTTTTGTTTTATTGCCCAGTAGCCGTAATCGTGGATCTGTATTGGCCAAGATCAGATTTCGTGCGTTTACACAACGTAAATGGATGGGACGCGCAGAAATACATCACCAGAGACGTTATCAACAATGTTATCTTTACGATCAGCGCGTGCGCAGAGAGGAACAGCAACGATGACAGATACGCCAGAATTGCTCAACTTCGCACTCTTTTCAATATATATATATAAAGATATTTATTATATTAAATCAAATTCAATTACAAGCAGATTATCTTCCACAAAAAAAAACACACACACACTGACTTTAGTGATGGCATAATCAATTATTTTGATGAAAACTATTAAACCAATTTTGATAAAATTTCTATAGAACCAATGTAATAGTATATCAATCTTTTTTCTTAAAGAAGGTTCTAAGAAAAAAAAATACAACCTAAATGAGAACCTCCTACTTTTTCCTTGAAATCGATTGAAAGTTATATATGATATATATGAAGCCTTATACAATGGTTTCATTGTGGAGAATTTAAACAATTTCATATTTTTTCCGGCTTTCCTTTCAGCAGCGTTAATATATGAAAATAGGGGACACGTGTATAGTTTTATTTACCGGATACAATCACAACACTTAATTCAATAATAGAAATAAGACACACGTGAGAGATTGTAGATTACCGTAACTGCATAGTATTCAGTCGGTGATGTTTGTTTGCCACCACTGTTAACAAAAATAATACGCCGATAGATGGCATCGGTTCACGACATAGCATTGGAAAAAACACAAATCGAATTACTAACTAAATAAAATAATTGTAAAAGCTAGAAAATTGAAATTTTAACTACAAATCCTTTTGAGACATAGTATCTTCTAAGAATATTTTTTTTTAAAATACCATGCGAATAGGAGTAGATAAGCCACGGTAAATAGCTCATCGATAAATTACTGTTTTATCTATAAAACCGCCATACTTAATAAGTCATATATAATTTGTATTATTCTTCAAATAGTGCAATAAAGTGTAAATAAAGGACGATTTTCTAATAAATACACGCGAACCCAAGCCGGGATGTTTGAGTAGAGCTGACTCACCAACGTCATGGAATATATCGTATCATTAATTAATTAATATGCAATGTTTATCGACCCTATTAATATGAATATTTACAATGTCCCACAATAATAATCGGGGCGTATTGTGAGTGATCGATCGATGAGACAGAATTTTCCAAGGAAAACAACCAAAACAACAACTGCATCGAATAAATAAATAAGCTGGTACAATGTGCATTATTTTAAGCGATTTCCAAAAGGAGGAGACTTTAAGTTCGTCTGATTCTTTTTGTGGTTGTTACGTGAATGTGCCACCAATTTTGATACCATTTTCATAAACGATTTTTAGGTGGTTGGTCACTGAATAAAATTAGACAGGAAATACTAGATGGCGCTAGTATCAATACTTGTGGTTATTGTTGATTATATTTTGTAATTAAGGAGAATTTAAAATAAAATTTCTAAATTGGCGAGTTGTTTCATTTTGTACTGGTATATTTATTTCAATTTTTGTCTTTATCCTCTTGTATTGTACATTTTTGTAAAAACAAAACACATACTAACAACAACCATTTCAATAGTGAATTATATAATTTATTTTAGAAAAGATTACATATTATCTGTTACTTCACATTCATAACTAATAATAAAAAGCACTCACTAATTTAGAAATTTTATTTTATATTATCTTTAATTCCAAAATAATCAAGAAAAATGTCTATTCCAGCGCCATCTATCACCTTAATCGATAAGGTTTACTTCCGTCTTGGTACCATATCAATTGAATCTTCTTTGCGTTCTAAATTCAATGATATTTCCAAATGAACAAAAATGCACGCCCAAGATTATCCGTCGTCGTATGATGAAAGCAGCACCAGCATAAACTAACATTTTTGGTAATATAACATATTTGATATCTATCTTTCGTCCTCAAGCTATAATATATTAAACAGGCAGCGACATTACAAGTGTAATCTAGTACATTTATTTGTCGAAGTTATTAGAGCAAGCGCCCGCGCCGGCCGGGGGCGTGGTCGCGCAAGTGAGATATACTGACGTGTTTTATTGAGATAATTATCGTACAACCCATTTAATATATATTTATAGATTTGTTTGACAACGCCTCCGTTATTGAGGACACGTGTACTAAAAACACAATTAATACAATGTGACGTGTATTTTTATGTTCTTTTAATTATCATTTTATGCAATTTCACCACTTTCATTGATGTAGTAGGTATGTAGGGATAATGAAATAAATATATTTAATAGTAGCAGCAGTTATATAAGAAAATACATCGTAAATTATTAATTAATTAATTTTAACGACATTTAACCTGTGTTTTTACATTCATTAATTATCTAGGTTGTAAGTAATTCAAATTTTGTTAATTATGTGGTAGCTTTAAATTAGCTTATTATTGTCATGTATAGTTAATTATTAAGCTATTAGAGCTATAAGCTTTCCTCGAAAATAATAAATAAATAAAAAAAAAACAATTTATTAACACGTGCCATGACACACAGATGAAAAAACGTGTTTATACTGTAAATATATCACAAACGGATTTCCTTATCTTTAACCATATTAGTCGTCCTACCCTTCATTCAGTAATTAATTTTACATAATCGAGTTATTGATTGGATTAATATGCGAGATAAGTATCTGCTGAGTTGAGACCAATTAGGTTGCTCTTAGTGCAATATGAACGAAGGAGTTTGTTTTGACCTAAATGACTTTAAATGTGACATTCAAAGTCATGTAACTTTGTTTAGATATAACGAGGTTAGGTGAAAGGACGAAAATTAATTTTCAGTTGTGTGCTGTGCCAACAATTTCGTCTTCGTATTGACCTGTCCTTTTCCATCCCAATGAATGAATGCTAATAAACTGTATGACTATTGATCGATGCATTGAAGCTAAAGAAGTCAAACTTATAGAAAAGTAGTATATTAATTTTAAAGTTTACAAATAATTACTAATTATTTACCAGAGGGAGACTTTGTACAAAAGTCGTTTGCTTGGGCACCTTTGTCCCATTTGTGTTTCTACCGTGAAGCAGTTGTGTTTCGGTTTGAAGGATGGGATATGGCAGTGAATTTACAGGGTACAGAGGAATAACATCTGAGTCCTCAGGAATGGCAAGGCATGGTGGGTATCATGGGCGAAACAGTATACTCTGTTATGTCCATGGTACTACTCATCTCTATAGGCGACCGTTACCACTTTCCATCAGGTAGACCGTCAGCTTGATTGCTATTTTAAGTTGCATAAAAAACTTAGATCTAACCAGAAGACACACGGTTGTATCAGACTGGTTAATTATATCCTAACTTTGAAGATAGGATACTTTATTTACTAATTACCACAAGCAAAGCCACGGGTTATAGCTAACCCTGTTAGTATAATAAAAGCGAAAGTTTGTAACGATCGATGGATGGATGGATATTTGTTACTCTTTCATGCAAAAACTACTAAACAGATTTGAATGAAATTTGGCACACAGACAGGTTATATCCTAACTTAGCACACAGGATACTTTATGTACTGATTCACGCGGGTGGAGACGCGGGATAGAACTAGTAAGTAATATATATGTACGTCCAATGATGGCAAAATATTGTGCTGTACTTAATTGACAATAAATGATACAAAGAATAGTTATGCAAATATTTATTTATTGACTTCTCTAGTTAGTTAACTCAGCTACTTTTGAAAGCACTTTCATAAAACACCGGATTGGTTTCCTGCAGTGCAGATATGTAATCGTATAATAAGTGTCGAATCATTTGCGTTATGCACACTGCAGCATTCCAAAGGACCAGAATCTGCTGAGAAAATTCCTATTGCGGGTACACGGCGGATACATGTTTGAATACAAAATAATTTTATTGCGGGCGTGTCGCGGTGCAAACATGCAAATTAGATTAATTAAAATTCCCGCAGCGGGTGCAGAGCACTGCCGAGTGACGCGGGGGGCGAGGGGGCGCAGGGGACGTCGGGGGACAGGGTATCGCGCAATCGGCGCACGGGACGAGAGCACCTGCCGGGTGTGCGCGTGCGCACAGCTGGCGCCGACAGATACTTGGAATAAAAAGAAAATCTCAAAACCTGTAGAGAAATATTATATTGTAACCTTATTTAAACGTTTAATAATATATTTAATAAATTAATTTCAATCATAGATAATAGAAACCTACGTTAAGATATTTCATGTTCGGCGTCTAATTGAAAATTAAACTGAATCGTAACAACAAAGATAAACTTACAAATTTTTATCGGTCACCCTTTTAGATTATGTTTAAAACTTACAAGTCCTTTATTTCGTACCTACAACCAAGTTATCTTTAAAAGTTATATTCTTGTTTTAAAATTAGTTTATCAGTGTATGTATCAAACAGTAATGTTGGCAAATAAATAAGTACATCTTAAATATGTCAACTGCCAACCCTATTAAGTAATATCTCAGTGTATTTCTATTTTGAACAATGTCAATAACGGAAACAGCCACTAATTGATTAAATGACTGGGTATAGGTATTCAATAAACAATGGAATAATAGTCTACAGATTACAATTAGGGTTGTCATATCTTATAGACGGAACAAACATGCGGGATTGGGGGAAAAGGGATTGTTAGTAATGAAGACTAAGGGTCCCATTGCTGGCAATAACAAGTCGACATTCAAGTGGTCCCCTCTGAATACCATTGTACTGAATTCCAGGTCTATTCATCACGATCGACTAACTGACCTGTTTTCATCCTCACCTATCATATCATCCCTCACTAGTGCCCCGCCAGCGTATATGGATAGTGCAGTCGAGGTTACCTTTCCATTTTCAATCATTAAAAAAGTATGTTGGAGATGGTAATAAGCTTAAAATCCCTGATAATCGAATAATATAAAAGAGGAAAAAAAAAAAACTAATAGAACCAAGGAATACTTCTGGAAAATGCAAGCTTATACAGATAGGCATTATATCTAATAAAAGAAATAAGAGGTTATCACAGACACGAAGGAATTACAGAATATTCCTATAGTGAATCATGAACAATGCGCGGG